GGTCTGGGTCTGAGTCCAATTTAGTGATATGGCACAGACTGTGGACCGGACCATTTTTACTGCGTCTGATCCACTGCGTAACCACGGAAACCAGGACATTTGTGAGACTCTGCAGACTGGACCTCACATCAGACTGGGCCTCACATCAGACCGGACCTCACATTAGACTGGGCCTCACATCAGACCGGACTTCACATTGTGGAGACTTAACCAGAAGGGGTCAGACCAGATCTCAATAAATAAAGCAAAACTAAATCTTGGTCAGTGTCCTCACAATGGCGTTACCGTGACAACCACAGCATTGTTGCCACATTGTTGTGGCAACAATGTGGCATTGTTGTTAGCAAGGTCCACTGTGAGACTAATAAAGGTTTATCTTATCTTAACCACAGCGTTACCCTGACAACCACAGCATTACCGTGGCTACCGCGGCATTACCTTGGCGACCACAGCATTACCGTGGCAACCACAGTATTACAGTGGCAATTGTGGCATTACCATGGCAACCGCTGCGTTACCGTGACCACCGCGGCATTACCATTGTCAACCGCGGCGTTACCGTGCCACCGCTGCGTTACCGTGGCGACTGCGCCATTATTATGGCAACCACGGTGTTGCCATGACCACCGCGCCGTTACCGTAGCGCCAGCATCCACACAGGCATGATGACCTCGGGGAAGCCCTCCTGTCGCTCCAGCGCCACCACGCTGAGGCCGGCGTGCTTCACGATGTGCCGGATCACGTCCAGGTGGCGGCTGATGCTGGAATCCACCGGGTCCAGTTTACAGCCTTGACGCGCCATGTTGTCCTTCAGCACGATCACGCCGTTCGGCCTCAGCGCGCGCTTGCACTTCACCAGGAAGTTAGCCAGGTCCCGGTCCGTCAGGTGACCTACAACCAGAACCAGGAAGTTATCAAGGTCTGTCAGGTGACCTACAACCAGAACCAGGAAGTTAGCAAGGTCTGTCAGGTGACCTACAACCAGAACCAGGACGTTAGTCAGGAAGTTAGCCAGGTCCCGGTCCGTCATGTGACCTACAACTAGAACCAGGAAGTAAGCAACAGAAGGAGGCTCCCCAAAGCTCGGGCCAACATCAGGACCAGAGAACAATGTCTGAAAATATCAGATTTTTGGAAATTCAGCAACCAGAGACCAGAAAGACCATAGAGACCAGATAGACCAGATACCAGAAAGACCAGAGAGACCAGATACCAGAAAGACCAGAAAGACCAGAAAGACCAGAGAGACCAAAGTGAGGGACCAAAGAGAGATTAGAGAGAAGAGAAGAACCTTTCTGGTATGTGCATGTTTGGACTCACATGCGACCCACTGCATCCAGATGACGTCATACTTGTCTTTGGTCGGTGTGAAGTCCTGCAGACTGTAGCAGAAGTAGGTCTCCACTCGGTCTGCGTAGTCCCCCAGGTATTCCTCATGAGCGTGGAGGAGGAAGTGCTCCATCATGTCCGCCAGCTCTACCACCTCGAACACCGGGAACAGGACCCCTTTTGAGACGCGTCCAATGCCTGCACCACAGTCCAGAGCGCGGGACGTACCGGCTTTACCGGGACCCTGTGGAGGGACCAGAGAGAGATCAGAGACCAGGGAGGAACCAGAGAGAGACCAGAGAGAGACCAGAGAGAGACCAGAGAGAGATCAGAGAGAGAACAGAGAGAGATCAGAGACCAGGGAGGGACCAGAGGGAGACTAGAGAGAGACCAGAGAGTGACCAGAGAGAGACCAGGGAGGGACCAGAGAGAGACCAGAGGGAGATCAGAGACCAGGGAGGGACCAGAGAGAGACTAGAGAGAGATCAGAGACCAGGGAGGGACCAGAGGGAGACTAGAGAGAGACCAGAGAGTGACCAGAGAGAGACCAGAGGGAGATCAGAGACCAGGGAGGGACCAGAGAGAGACTAGAGAGAGATCAGAGACCAGGGAGGGACCAGAGAGAGACCAGAGAGAGACCAGAGAGTGACCAGAGAGAGACCAGGGGGAGATCAGAGACCAGGGAGGAACCAGAGAGAGACCACAAAGAGACCAAAGAGAGACTAGAGAGAGACTAGAGAGAGATCAGAGGGATCAGAAAGAGATCAGAGAGAGACCAGAGACCAGGGAGGGACAAGAGAGAGACTGCAGAGATAGATCAGAGAGACCAGAGAGAGAGACCAGAGAGAGAGACCAGAGAGAGACCAGAGAGAGAGACCAGAGAGAGACCAGAGAGAGAGACCAGAGAGAGACCAGAGAGAGAGACCAGAGAGAGACCAGAGAGAGAGACCAGAGAGAGAGACCAGAGAGAGACCAGAGAGAGAGACCAGAGAGAGAGACCAGAGAGAGACCAGAGAGAGACCCAGGGTTACTATGTCGTGGTCAGATTTGTTTACAATGTTTTACTTTCAGTTCAAACCACATCAGAATGACTAAAGTTACGTCCCTCAGCTTTAACGGCTCGGTCTGAACCCGGAGTTGGACCCGAGACCATGTGGTCCTATGTACATGAGGTGTCAGAGGATACGAGTCCTCCTTGGGTTCTCCTCAGGGCTAAACTTAGACCTGGTCCAGGTTTAGACCTCAGACCACCTCAAGTCCAACTTTAGACCCGGACCCTGGATCTGGGTCGTAACAGTAGAAGGTGCGGACAGCAGCATTACATCATTACCACTCACTTTACAGCTTCTGTCAGCCAATCAGGAGACAGCTCTGTCACTCAGCCAATCAGGAGACAGCTCTGTCACTCAACCAATCACAGCGCTCGTCTTTCACAGGTCCTTGTCTCCGACCGGAAGAGCTGAGTTTATCACTGAGACGTTTCACAAACACGGCTCCAAGTGAATGATTGATTATGAACTGAACACACGCACATGGTTCCTGGTTTAAGACGGGGGTGATGTGTTCTCAAAATATACCATTAAGAGAGAAATAATAGGTGTTTTAAGTCTGTTAAACCAGAGAGACCAGAGATACCAGAGAGAGACCAGAGAGAAACCAGAGAGAGAGACCAGAAAAGGAGACCAAAGAAAGACCAGAGAGACCAGAGATAAAGACCTGAGAGAGACTAGAGAGAGACCAGAAAGAGAGACCAGAGAGAGAGAGAGAGAGAGAGAGAGAGAGACCAGAGAGAGAGACCAGAAAGACCAGAGAGAGACCAGAAAGACCAGAGAGAGACCAGAGAGAGACCAGAGAGAGACCAGAGAGACCCCTGACCTAAACACTATCGGTGCGTCCTATTTCCGGTATGAACTGTTGTCTCCTCGCTCTTCTGTCGTCAAAGTTTGGATCTCTGAGTAAAATTAAACTCATTCAAATGTGAAAAAATGTGAACTATTTATAAAAAACAGGATCTTAATTTTTTGTACACCACTACATATGTGCCCATATAGACCCATGTAGATAGACCCACATAGACCCATGTAGACCTACATAGACCTACATAGACCCATGTAGACCCACATAGACCCACATAGACCAATGTAGACCCACATAGACCCATGTAGACCCACATAGACCCACATAGACCAATGTAGACCCACATAGACCCATGTAGACCCACATAGACCCACATAGACCAATGTAAGTAAGTAAGCTTTATTTATTTATATACCGCCTTTTCACTGCACATCGGAGTCTCAAAGCGGTTTACAATTGTTGGGTGGGGGTGCCAGTACAGGAGGCACATATTGTACATATTTTTAGTGGTAGGGGAAACCGGAGCACCCGGAGGAAACCTACGCAGACACAAGGAGAACATGCAAACTCCACTCAGAAAGGCCCTGGTCCAACCGGGATTCGAACCCAGGACCTTCTTGCTGAGAGGCGAGAGTGCTATCCACTCACCCACCGTGCCGCCCTGTGGGTCTATGTAGACCTACATAGACCCACATAGACCCATGTAGACCCACATAGACCCATGTAGACCCACATAGACCCACATAGACCAATGTAGACCCACATAGACCCATGTAGACCCACATAGACCGCAATGTAGACCCACATAGACCCATGTAGACCCACATAGACCCATGTAGACCCACATAGACCCATGTAGACCCACATAGACCCACATAGACCAATGTAGACCCACATAGACCCATGTAGACCCACATAGACCCACATAGACCAATGTAAGTAAGTAAGCTTTATTTATTTATATACCGCCTTTTCACTGCACATCGGAGTCTCAAAGCGGTTTACAATTAGACCCACATAGACCCACATAGGCCCATGTAGACCCATATAGACCCATGTAGACCCATGTAGACCCACATAGACCCATGTAGACCCACATAGACCCATGTAGACCCACATAGGCCCATGTAGACCCATATAGACCCATGTAGACCCACATAGACCCATGTAGACCCATGTAGACCCACATAGACCCATGTAGACCCACATAGACCCACATAGACCCATGTAGACCCACATAGACCCATGTAGACCCATGTAGACCCATGTAGACTTCAGATGAGGGGGTGAGGGGCAGAGGTCAGAGTTTAATTGGACCGGGACAGAACAAACTTACATTAAAGCTGAAGACCCGTAGCTCGGTCTCGCTCGTGCCAACGCTTCTATAGCATTAAACCACAGCTATTCTGGGCCCAGAGTCAGAGACAGAAATGTGAGACGAACAGCTGCAAGACTGAGCAGCTGAAAGGTCTGCGCATCCATCACAACATGATCTCAGAGACCAGAGAGTGACCAGAGAGTGACCAGAGAGTGACCAGAAGGAGACCAGAGAGTGACCAGAAGGAGACCAGAGAGAGACCAGAGAGTGACCAGAAGGAGACCAGAGAGAGACCAGAAGGGGACCAGAGAGAGACCAGAGAGAGACCAAAGAGAGACCAGAGAGTGACCAGAGAGTGACCACAGGGAGACCAGAGAGAGACCAAAGAGAGACCAGAAGGAGACCAGAGAGAGACCAGAAGGGGACCAGAGAGAGACCAGAGAGAGACCAAAGAGAGACCAGAGAGAGACCAGAGAGAGACCAAAGAGTGACCAGAGAGTGACCAGAGAGTGACCAGAGAGAGACCAAAGAGAGACCAGAGAGAGACCAAAGAGTGACCAGAGAGTGACCAGAGAGTGACCAGAGAGAGACCAGAGAGAGACCAAAGAGAGACCAGAGAGAGACCAAAGAGTGACCAGAGAGTGACCAGAGAGTGACCACAGGGAGACCAGAGAGAGACCAAAGAGAGACCAGAGAGTGACCAGAGAGTGACCAGAGAGAGACCAGAGAGTGACCAGAGAGAGACCAGAGAGAGACCAGAGAGAGACCAGAGAGAGACCAGAGAGAGACCAGAGAGTGACCAGAGAGTGACCAGAAAGAGACCAGAGAGAGACCTGAGAGTGACCAGAAAGAGACCAGAGAGAGACCTGAGAGTGACCAGAAGGAGACCAGAGAGAGACCAGTGAGTGACCAGAGAGAGACCAGAGAGTGACCAGAGAGTGACCAGAGAGAGACCAGAGAGTGACCAGAGAGTGACCACAGGGAGACCAGAGAGAGACCAGAGAGAGACCAGAGAGTGACCAGAGAGTGACCAGAGAGAGACCAGAGAGAAGCAGATGGACTGCTTCCCCTCTACTGTGAGGAGATGAGAATCCAAGAAGGGAGCTCGGGGTTGCCGCTGCTCCCTCTGTAAGGCCTGGTGAGATCTACAGCCTCAGTCCTGGATCTACAGCCTCAGTCCTGGGTCTACAGCCTCAGTCCTGGGTCTACAGCCTCAGTCCTGGGTCTACAGCCTCAGTCCTGGGTCTACAGCCTCAGTCCTGGGTCTACAGCCTCAGTCCTGGGTCTACAGCCTCAGTCCTGGGTCTGCAGCTGGATCTACAGCCTCAGTCCTGGGTCTACAGCCTCAGTCCTGGGTCTACAGCCTCAGTCCTGGGTCTACAGCCTCAGTCCTGGGTCTACAGCCTCAGTCCAGCCTCAGTCCTGGCCTCAGTGATGGTCTTACTCACGATGAGGTGGCTCAGGAACCTTCTGGACTGCTCGAGGTCGACCTCAGAGATCTCCACGAAGTCCCCGAGCATTCCTTCCTCTGACGGCTCCACGTCTTCGTAGAAAGTGTGAGCGCGATGATAAAACTGCTTCTCTCCTTTGATGTACTCACAGGTCACAGGGAACAGCTTCACTGCAGAGAGAGGGACCATGTGAGGACCAGGTGGGATCAGGACCAGGAGGGGACCATGTGAGGACCAGAGAGGCACACATGTGAGGACCAGGTGGGATCAGGACCAGGAGGGGACTATGTGTGGACCAGGAGGGGACCATGTGAGGACCAGAGAGGGGACCATGTGAGGACCAGAGAGTGGCACATGTGAGGACCAGGAGGGGCACATGTGAGGACCAGGTGGGGACCATGTGAGGACCAGAGAGTGGCACATGTGAGGACCAGGAGGGGCACATGTGAGGACCAGGAGGGGCACATGTGTGGACCAGAGAGGGGACCATGTGAGGACCAGAGAGGGGACCATGTGAGGGACCAGAGAGGGGCACATGTGAGGACCAGGAGGGGCACATGTGTGGACCAGAGAGGGGACCATGTGAGGACCAGAGAGGGGCACTGTGAGGACCAGGAGGGGCACATGTGAGGACCAGGAGGGGCATATGTGAGGACCAGGAGGGGCACATGTGAGGACCAGGAGGGGCACATGTGAGGACCAGGTGGGGCACATGTGAGGACCAGGTGGGGCACATGTGAGGACCAGGAGGGGCATATGTGAGGACCAGGAGGGGCACATGTGAGGACCAGGAGGGGCACATGTGAGGACCAGGTGGGGCACATGTGAGGACCAGGTGGGGCACATGTGAGGACCAGGAGGGGCACATGTGAGGACCAGGTGGGGACCGTGTGAGGACCAGGTGGGGCACATGTGAGGACCAGGAGGGGCACATGTGAGGACCAGGTGGGGACCGTGTGAGGACCAGGTGGGGCACATGTGAGGACCAGGAGGGGCACATGTGAGGACCAGATGGGGACCGTGTGAGGACCAGGAGGCACTCTTTACCGCTCTCTCTGACTGTTGCTCTGAGCCAAAACAATTTCCAATTCTGTGACTTCCTGTTACTTACATGGCAATAAAAATGATTCTGATTCTGGTTCTGATGAGGGATCAGGACCATGAGGCATCAGGACCAGGAAGAGAACATAGAAGCATGTATCGACTATCGCTGTCGAGGCCTGAGGCTGCACATGTGTTCTGTTTTAGAATATACAGGATTTATACTTTATTTTGCTAAAGTTAGATTTGATGTTATTCTATAGAGTTATTGTTCTTATCTTGTGCTGTGTGCTCCTCATTCCTACTGTTCTGTAACTGGTGATGCAACACTGACATTTCCCCGCTGTGGGTCAGAACCATGAAGCCTTCAGGACCATGAAGCCTCCAGGACCATGAAGCCTCCAGAGCATGTAAGACCTGCTGGACTCCAGATCAGGTGTGATTGGATTGAATTAAATTAGGAGGAGATAAGACCCTGGAATCCACCACATGTCCACCTGCCGGAGCCGGAGCCGGTCCAGGACTCGAGCCAGGTCCAGGACTGGGGCCAGGTCTCATTCCGGGGGCTTGTATGACAGAAGCGTTGGCTGTGAGTGTGTCACTTCAAACAGTTGATCTTGAGCTTAAACCCATGTGAACCTGGTCTAAACCCGGTCTGGGTCTTCCCGACAGATCCAAACCTGGTCTGGGTCTTACCGACAGGTCTAAACCCGGTCTTACCCAGGGGGGTCTTCTCCAGCAGGTACAGGTAACTGGCGAAGAAGTCCTTCTGCAGCGCGTGGTGCAGGTGGAAGCTCATGCTGTGGCGACACATGGAGTCGTCCGTCTGTTTCCATTTATCGATAAACGCCTGATGGATCATCTTGTACTGAGCCTGGAGGGGCGGGGCGGGGGCGGAGCCATCATCACACTCCCCTGACTCCGCCCCCTCTGCCCTTGCCCCCTCTGGCCCCGCCCCGTCCACAGATCCGTTCGTCACGCCGTTGGTCTCACTGTGCGCTGTGCCGTTAGCCGTTATGTTAGCGGTTCCTTTAGCTGTGATGCTAGTGGGGCCGTTAGCCGTGATGTTAGGGGTTCCATTAGCTGTGATGCTAGATGGGCCATTAGCTGGGCCATTGGCTAAGCCTTTAGCGTTAGTGGAGGTGTTAGCTGTTCCATTAGCAGTGCCATTAGCGATGCCGTTAGCTGTGATGTCGTTAGCTGTGATGTCGTTAGCTGTGATGCCGTTAGCTGTGATGCCGTTAGCTGTGATGCCGTTAGCTGTGATGCTAGCTGTTCCCTTAGTCTTGCCCTTCCCGAGGACAGGGGCTGAGGCCTCCATCTGAGAAGGGAAAGACAAAAGAACAGTTAAACTCAAAGTGTTTTACAGAAGGAAACAAAGTCCTGACTGTTGTTCTGCTGCGAGAGACCTCACTGGTCTCTCTCTGGTCTCTCTCACTGGTCTCTCTCGCTGGTCTCTCCCTGGTCTCTCTCTCTCTGGTCTCTCTCGCTGGTCTCTCCCTGGTCTCTCTCTCTCTGGTCTCTCTCTGGTCTCTCTCTCTGGTCTCTCTCTGGTCTCTCCCTGGTCTCTCTCTCTCTGGTCTCTCTCTCTGGTCTCTCCCTGGTCTCTCTCTGGTCTCTCTCTGGTCTCTCTGGTCTCTCTCTCTGGTCTCTCTCTGGTCTCCTTTTTGTCTTCATTTCAGTATTTTTGTACAGCTCTGTAAATTGAATTCACCAACTCACTTCAGAGAATCAACACAGAATATGAACTGATGATAAACACAAAGCGTCAGTCCCTGTGCTCCTCAGAGTCCCAGCAGGAGGCCAGTCCCTGTGCTCCTCAGAGTCCCAGCAGGAGGTCAGTCCCTGTGCTCCTCAGAGTCCCAGCAGGAGGTCAGTCCCTGTGCTCCTCAGAGTCCCAGCAGGAGGTCAGTCCCTGTGCTCCTCAGAGTCCCAGCAGGAGGCCAGTCCCTGTGCTCCTCAGAGTCCCAGCAGGAGGCCAGTCCCTGTGCTCCTCAGAGTCCCAGCAGGAGGCCAGTCCCTGTGCTCCTCAGAGTCCCAGCAGGAGGCCAGTCCCTGTGCTCCTCAGAGTCCCAGCAGGAGGCCAGTCCCTGTGCTCCTCAGAGTCCCAGCAAGAGGCCAGTCCCTGTGCTCCTCAGAGTCCCAGCAGGAGGCCAGTCCCTGTGCTCCTCAGAGTCCCAGCAGGAGGCCAGTCCCTGTGCTCCTCAGAGTCCCAGCAGGAGGCCAGTCCCTGTGCTCCTCAGAGTCCCAGCAGGAGGCCAGTCCCTGTGCTCCTCAGAGTCCCAGCAGGAGGCCAGTCCCTGTCCTCCTCAGAGTCCCAGCAGGAGGCCAGTCCCTGTGCTCCTCAGGTGTCAGAGTAATGATCTGTTACCGCGGTGACAGAGAGCTCCTGTCACTCACACGTCCAGCACATAGTTCTAATGAGACATGAGGAGCACACTGAGACCGGACCCAGGATGAGATCCACTGTCTCTCTGGTCTCTCTCTGGTCTCTCTCTGGTCTCCTTCTGGTCTCCTTCTGGTCTCCTTCTGGTCTCTCTCTGGTCTCTCTCTGGTCTCTCTCTGGTCTCTCTCTGGTCTCTCTCTGGTCTCTCTCTGGTCTCTCTCTGGTCTCTCTCTGGTCTCCTTCTGGTCTCCTTCTGGTCTCCTTCTGGTCTCTCTCTGGTCTCTCTCTGGTCTCTCTCTGGTCTCTCTCTGGTCTCTCTCTGGTCTCTCTCTGGTCTCCCTCTGGTCTCTCTCTGGTCTCTCTCTGGTCTCCCTCTGGTCTCTCTCTGGTCTCTCTCTGGTCTCTCTCTGGTCTCTCTGGTCTCCCTCTGGTCTCTCTCTGGTCTCTCTCTGGTCTTTCTCTGGTCTCCCTCTGGTCTCCCTCTGGTCTCCCTCTGGTCTCACTCTGGTCTCTCTCTGGTCTCTCTCTGGTCTCTCTCTGGTCTCTCTCTGGTCTCTCTCTGGTCTCTCTCTGGTCTTTCTCTGGTCTCTCTCTGGTCTCACTCTGGTCTCTCTCTGGTCTCTCTCTGGTCTCTCTCTGGTCTCTCTCTGGTCTCTCTCTGGTCTCTCTCTGGTCTCACTCTGGTCTCACTCTGGTCTCTCTCTGGTCTCTCTGGTCTCTCTCTGGTCTCACTCTGGTCAGTATTTATGGTATACTCCTTTATTGACTCATAAATAACTCTGACATCTCGGTAAACTTCAGACAGACAGAAGCTCACACAGAGTCACTCACCGTCACTGGGTCTGCGGCTGTGAGGGTCCCGAGTCCGCACGGTCCAGATCAGGCTGAGGGGCGGGGCCTGAGAGAGGGGCGGGGCCTAGAGAGAGGTGGGCGGGGCTTGTGCAGGGGGTGTGTCCTGGGTTCAATGCACACATTCAGATCCATGCATTCATACAGCGTAACCCAAGGTGCTTCACAAATGAAACAGAGAATAACATATGAAAAGTGCAAATACATGTGACACATTCAGGGAAAAGATCAAAGTAAATTATTAAAATGCTTCAAATTAGTCATATGCAAATTATTATTATATTATATGATACTAATGACTTCAGCTCAGTCAGAAAGATGTCATCTTTCTATCATTGGTCGTTTCGTGATTAAAATAAAAGAGGTCCCAAATCAAAGCCTTTCTCTCTCTCTGGTCTCTCTCTGGTCTCTCTCTGGTCTCTCTCTGGTCTCTCTCTGGTCTCTCTCTCTGGTCTCTCTCTGGTCTCTCTCTGGTCTTTCTCTGGTATCTCTCTCCTCTCTCTCTGGTCTCTCTTTCTGGTCTCTCTCTGGTCTCTCTCTCTGGTCTCTCTCTCTGGTCTCTCTCTGGTCTCTCTCTCTGGTCTCACTCTGGTCTCTCTCTGGTCTGTCTCTGGTCTGTCTCTCTCTGGTCTCACTATGGTCTCACTATGGTCTCTCTCTGGTCTCTCTCTCTGGTCTCTCTCTGGTCTCTCTCTCTGGTCTCTCTCTGGACTCTCTCTCTGGTCTCTCTCTGGTCTCTCTCTGGTCTCTCTCTCTGGTCTCTCTCTGGTCTCTCTCTGGTCTCTCTCTGGTCTCTCTCTGGTCTTTCTCTGGTCTTTCTCTGGTATCTCTCTGGTCTCTCTCTGGTCTCTCTCTGGTCTCTCTCTCTGGTCTCTCTCTCTGGTCTCTCTCTCTGGTCTCTCTCTGGTCTCTCTCTCTGGTCTCTCTCTGGTCTCTCTCTCTGGTCTCTCTCTGGTCTCACTATGGTCTCTCTCTGGTCTCTCTTGTCCCATGTTCGCACGCAGACTTTATTATATTTCCAGCATCAGAAACGTACAAAGGAAAATCCCTGTCTCCCCCTCTCCCCCCCCCCCCCCTGTCTCCCCCTGTCTCCCCCTGTCTCCCCCTCCAGCCGCGGTCAAAGGCTCATTCATGGTTTCTCTCATTATGCTAATGTGTCGGAGGTTCTGATGTGACACCTGGATCGACCAATCACAGAGCAGGATCTACGCCAACACAAACAGCGTAACACTAAACTCCCAGAGCAGTCACTTTGACGGCTTAGTTTGGAAGTGTAATCACTCAGCTCATGCTGTTGTGTTGCTTTGTCACTTTAGCAACACAACTTTTACTGTTTGCATTTGGTCCATTCACCTTTCATTTAGTCACGGGTTAAAAGAGTGAAGGTCTCTCTCTGGTCTCTCCCTCTGGTCTCTCTCTGGTCTCGCTCTGGTCTCTCTCTGGTCTCTCTCTGGTCTCCCTCTGGCTCTGGTCCCCCTTTGGTCCCTCTCTGGTCTCTCTCTGGTCTCTCTCTGGCTCTGGTCCCCTGTGGTCTCGCTCTGGTGTCTCTCTGGTCCCCCTCTGGTCTCTCTGGTCTCTCTCTGGTCCCTCTCTGGTCTCTCTCTGGTCCCCCTCTGGTCTCGCTCTGGTCCCCCTCTGGTCTCGCTCTGGTCTCTCTCTGGTCTCCCTCTGGTCTCCCTCTGGTACCTCTCTGGTCTCGCTCTGGTCTTGCTCTGTTCTCTCTCTGGTCCCCCTCTGGTCTCTCTCTGGTCCCCCTCTGGTCTCTCTCTGCTCCCCCTCTGGTCTCTCCCTGGTCTCTCTCTCTGGTCTCTCTCTGGTCTCTCTCTGGTCTCTCTCTCTGTGGTCTCTCTCTCTCTGGTCTCTCTCTGGTCCCCCTCTGGTCTCTCTCTGGTCTCTTCCTGTTCTCTCTCTGGTCTCTCTCTGGTCTCTCTCTGGTCTCTCTCTGGTCTCTCCCTGATCTCTCTCTCTGGTCTCTCTCTCTCTGTGGTCTCTCTCTCTCTGGTCCCTCTCTGGTGTTTCATGGTCTCTCTCTGGTCCCCCTCTGGTCTCTCTCTGGTCTCTTTCTGGTCTCTCTCTGGTCTCTCTCTGGCCTCTCTCTGGTCTCTCTCTGGTCTCTCTCTGGTCTCCCTCTGGCTCTAGTCCCCCTCTGGTCTCCCTCTGGTCCCTCTCTGGTCTCGCTCTGGTCTTGCTCTGTTCTCTCTCTGGTCTCCCTCTGGTCCCCCTCTGGTCTCGCTCTGGTCTTGCTCTGTTCTCTCTCTGGTCTCCCTCTGGTCCCCCTCTGGTCTCGCTCTGGTCTCTTTCTGGTCTCTCTCTGGTCTCTCTCTGGTCTCTTTCTGGTTTCTCTCTGGTCTCTCTCATGGTCTCTCTCTGGTCTCTCTCTGGTCTCCCTCTGGCTCTAGTCCCCCTCTGGTCTCCCTCTGGTCCCTCTCTGGTCTCGCTCTGGTCTTGCTCTGTTCTCTCTCTGGTCTCCCTCTGGTCCCCCTCTGGTCTCGCTCTGGTCTCGTGTGACTCGGACATGATTAAATCCACTGGGGCGTTTTAAACATTTATCTTACAACAACTTGTGCTGCGCTGCTCATTAGTCATGTGACACAAACCAGGACCAGATGTGATCCAGGAAGTGGCCCCTGACCACATGGTCCACACGGGCGCCACGGCTGCCCCTCATCAGAGCTCCCAATCCAAACTATAATGGCTGCATTTAAAGCTGGGGTCTGTAACTTTAGCCTCATAAATAACACATGTTTGAACAGAAATTAGATCATGTTATCTTGGTCCCTCTCTGGTTACTCTCTAGTCCCTCTCCAACTGGTCTCTCTCTGGTCCCTCACCCTCTCTCTGGTCTCTCTCTCTGGTTTCTCTCTCTGATCTCTCTCTCTGGTTACTCTCTGGTCTCTCTCTAGTCCCTCTCCAACTGGTCTCTCTCTGGTCCCTCACCCTCTCTCTGGTCTCTCTCTCTGGTTTCTCTCTCTGGTCTCTCTCTCTGGTTTCTCTCTCTGGTCTCTCTCTCTGGTTTCTCTCTCTGGTCTCTCTCTGATCTCTCTCTCTGATCTCTCTCTCTGGTCTCTCTCTCTGGTCTCTCTCTGGTCTCTCTCTCTGGTCTCTCTCTCTGGTCTCTCTCTGGTCTCTCTCTCTGGTCTCTCTCTCTGGTTTCTCTCTCTGGTCTCTCTCTGGTCTCTCTCTCTGGTCTCTCTCTCTGGTCTCTCTCTCTGGTCTCTCTCTGGTCTCTCTCTCTGGTTTCTCTCTCTGGTTTCTCTCTCTGGTTTCTCTCTCTGGTTTCTCTCTCTGGTTTCTCTCTCTGGTCTCTCTCTGGTCTCTCTCTGGTCTCTCTCTGGTCCCTCTCCCTCTCTCTGGTCTCTCTCTGGTCTCTCTCCGGTCTTTCGCTGGTCTCTCCCTTTGGTTCCCAAGCTGTTGTCTGAAAGTTACGTGCCTGAGCTTTAAAGTTATGTCCCTGAGCTTTAAAGTTATGTCCCTGAGCTTTAAAGTTATGTGCCTGAGCTTTAAAGTTATGTGTCTGAGCTTTAAAGTTACGTGCCTGAGCTTTAAAGTTACGTGCCTGAGCTTTAAAGTTACGTCCCTGAGCTTTAAAGTTAGGTGCCTGAGCTTTAAAGTTACGTCCCTGAGCTTTAAAGTTACGTGCTTGAGCTTTAAAGTTACGTGCCTGAGCTTTAAAGTTACGTGCCTGAGCTTTAAAGTTACGTGCCTGAGCTTTAAAGTTACGTGCCTGAGCTTTAAAGTTACGTCCCTGAGCTTTAAAGTTACGTCCCTGAGCTTTAAAGTTACGTCCCTGAGCTTTAAAGTTAGGTGCCTGAGCTTTAAAGTTACGTCCCTGAGCTTTAAAGTTACGTCCCTGAGCTTTAAAGTTACGTCCCTGAGCTTTAAAGATACGTGCCTGAGCTTTAAAGTTACGTCCCTGAGCTTTAAAGTTACGTGCCTGAGCTTTAAAGTTACGTCCCTGAGCTTTAAAGTTACGTGCCTGAGCTTTAAAGTTACGTGCCTGAGCTTTAAAGTTACGTGCCTGAGCTTTAAAGTTACGTCCCTGAGCTTTAAAGTTACGTCCCTGAGTTTTAAAGTTACGTCCCTGAGCTTTAAAGTTACGTCCCTGAGCTTTAAAGTTACGTCCCTGAGCTTTAAAGTTAGGTGCCTGAGCTTTAAAGTTACGTCCCTGAGCTTTAAAGATACGTGCCTGAGCTTTAAAGTTACGTCCCTGAGCTTTAAAGTTACGTGCCTGAGCTTTAAAGTTACGTCCCTGAGCTTTAAAGTTACGTGCCTGAGCTTTAAAGTTACGTGCCTGAGCTTTAAAGTTACGTGCCTGAGCTTTAAAGTTACGTCCCTGAGCTTTAAAGTTACGTCCCTGAGTTTTAAAGTTACGTCCCTGAGCTTTAAAGTTACGTGCCTGAGCTTTAAAGTTACGTCCCTGAGCTTTAAAGTTACGTGCCTGAGCTTTAAAGTTACGTGCCTGAGCTTTAAAGTTACGTGCCTGAGCTTTAAAGTTACGTCCCTGAGCTTTAAAGTTACGTCCCTGAGTTTTAAAGTTACGTCCCTGAGCTTTAAAGTTACGTCCCTGAGCTTTAAAGTTACGTCCCTGAGCTTTAAAGTTAGGTGCCTGAGCTTTAAAGTTACGTCCCTGAGCTTTAAAGTTACGTCCCTGAGCTTTAAAGTTACGTGCCTGAGCTTTAAAGTTACGTCCCTGAGCTTTAAAGTTACGTCCCTGAGCTTTAAAGATACGTGCCTGAGCTTTAAAGTTGCGTCCCTGAGCTTTAAAGTTACGTGCCTGAGCTTTAAAGTTACGTGCCTGAGCTTTAAAGTTACGTGCCTGAGCTTTAAAGTTACGTCCCTGAGTTTTAAAGTTACGTCCCTGAGTTTTAAAGTTACGTCCCTGAGCTTTAAAGTTACGTGCCTGAGCTTTAAAGTTACGTCCCTGAGCTTTAAAGTTACGTGCCTGAGCTTTAAAGTTACGTGCCTGAGCTTTAAAGTTACGTGCCTGAGCTTTAAAGTTACGTCCCTGAGCTTTAAAGTTACGTCCCTGAGTTTTAAAGTTACGTCCCTGAGCTTTAAAGTTACGTCCCTGAGCTTTAAAGTTACGTCCCTGAGCTTTAAAGTTAGGTGCCTGAGCTTTAAAGTTACGTCCCTGAGCTTTAAAGTTACGTCCCTGAGCTTTAAAGTTACGTGCCTGAGCTTTAAAGTTACGTCCCTGAGCTTTAAAGTTACGTCCCTGAGCTTTAAAGATACGTGCCTGAGCTTTAAAGTTACGTCCCTGAGCTTTAAAGTTACGTGCCTGAGCTTTAAAGTTACGTGCCTGAGCTTTAAAGTTACGTGCCTGAGCTTTAAAGTTACGTCCCTGAGCTTTAATGTTACGTCCCTGAGCTTTAAAGTTACGTCCCTGAGCTTTAAAGTTACGTCCCTGAGCTTTAAAGTTACGTCCCTGAGCTTTAAAGTTACGTGCCTGAGCTTTAAAGTTACGTCCCTGAGCTTTAAAGTTACGTCCCTGAGCTTTAAAGTTACGTCCCTGAGCTTTAATGTCTGCAGCCGGTTTGTTGAATGTGTTTTTTTCTGGTATAATGGACTTTTCTGTTTCCTCTGGTGCTGATTTCTCTCTGAAATATGATGAGTTTGTTTAAGGGCAGTAAACGCCTCGCTCTGCTTTTCTTTCTCCCCCCTCCTCCCCCCTCCTCCCCCTCACCCCCCCCCTCCCCCTCACCCCCCTCTCCTCCCCCCTCCCTCACCCTCTCCCCCCTTCTCTCACCCCTCCTTCCCTGACCACAGCTTCAAATTCTTCAAAAATCAAACCACAGCAACACCGCCCCCTTGTGTCTGTGCGCTGTCAAGACCAGAGCAGAGAAGCTGTATTCTGCCCACGGAGGGGAAATGTCAGTGTTGCAGCGCACAGACAGGACACAGACAGGACACAGAGAGACACAGACAGGACACAGAGAGACACAGACAGGACACAGAGAGCCACAGACAGGACACAGACAGGACACAGACAGGACACAGAGAGACACAGACAGGACACAGAGAGCCACAGACAGGACACAGACAGGACACAGACAGGACACAGAGAGACACAGAGAGACACAGACAGGACACAGACAGGACACAGAGAGACACAGACAAGACACAGAGAGACACAAACAGGACACAGACAGGACACAGACAGGACACAGAGAGACACAGAGAGACACAGACAGGACACAGACAGGACACAGACAGGACACAGAGAGACACAGACAGGACACAGACAGGACACAGAGAGACACAGACAAGACACAAAGAGACACAGACAGGACACAGACAGGACACAGACAGGACACAGAGAGACACAGACAGGACACAGACAGGACACAGACAGGACACAGAGAGACACAGAGAGACACAGACAGGACACAGACAGGACACAGACAGGACACAGAGAGACACAGAGAGACACAGACAGGACACAGACAGGACACAGACAGGACACAGAGAGACACAGAGAGACACAGACAGGACACAGACAGGACACAGAGAGACACAGAGAGACACAGACAGGACACAGACAGGACACAGAGAGACACAGAGAGACACAGACAGGACACAGACAGGACACAGACAGGACACAGACAGACACAGAGAGACACAGACAGGACACAGACAGGACACAGAGAGACACAGACAGGACACAGACAGGACACAGAGAGACACAGACAGGACACAGAGAGACACAGACAGGACACAGACAGGACACAGAGAGACACAGACAGGACACAGACAGGACACAGAGAGACACAGACAGGACACAGAGAGACACAGACAGGACACAGACAGGACACAGAGAGACACAGACAGGACACAGAGAGACACAGAGAGACATAATATAAGTTACTTTTATATTTATTAACTAGCTGTAATTACGTATTCAGAGTAGAATTAGAAATATAGTAAAAAATGGAGTGTTAAAATGTTAAAGGTTGTGAAGGAGGATTTTTCTCACATTTTAGTAAAGAACCGCCCTCTCCACTCTTTGAAATCTTTGAACAAAGCTCGGATTGGACAAGCACGTATCTTCGGTTCAGCTTCTTCTGCAGGTTCTATGCCCCGGGGGGTCGCAAACCCATTATTTCTATTAAACTCTCTCTCTATTAAAGAGAGAGACCAGAGAGAGATTAGAGAGAGAGAGATCAAGATAGAGAGACCAGAGAGAGAGAGAGACCTGACAGAGGGAGACCAGAGAGAGAGACTCAAGATAGAGACCAAAGAGAGAGAGAGACCTGAGAGAGAGACCAGAGATGGACAAGGGAGAGACCAGAGAGGAACCGCAGGGAGAGACCAGGGAGAGACCAGAGAGGAACCGCAGGGAGAGACCAGGGAGAGACCAGAGAGAAACCAGGGAGAGACCAGAGAGGAACCGCAGGGAGAGACCAGGGAGAGACCAGAGAGAAACCAGGGAGAGACCAGAGAGGAACCGCAGGGAGAGACCAGGGAGAGACCAGCGAGAAACCAGGGAGAGACCAGAGAGGAACCAGGGAAAGACCAGAGAGGAACCGCAGGGAGAGACCAGGAAGAGACCAGAGAGAAACCAGGGAGAGACCAGAAAGAAACCAGGGAGAAACCAGGGAGGGACCAGGGAAAGACCAGAGAGGATGGTCTCAGGTCTAAACAACACACTCAGGTCTGTTGAGAGTAAAGACCTATTTGTCTGACAGCAGGATGGTCAGGATGGATCTGGGTCCGGGTCAAGTCTTTGGTCCTGGTCCTGGTCCAGGGTCTTGGTCTGGATCTTGTCCTGTACAAAGTGAATGAATGAGTGTCACATACAAAACCCATTGTTATCATTATTAAGAGCACACGTGTGGACTTGGACACACACGCACACGCACGCGCACGCGCACGCGCACAGACACACACACACACACACGCACACGCACACGCACACTTCCTCTTCTGTTTCCCTCTTTGTTCCACGTTTCCTTTGTTCCTCATTCCTGCACGTTGGCCCCGCCCCCTCTGCTCTCTCCGGCCCCCGATTGGTCCAACCCCTCTGGCCCGCTCTCTGATTGGCTGCTGCGCTTGGTTATAAAGCCTGGGATCGCTGCTGCAGCTTTTGTCTCCTGAAGGAAGAGCAGAAGGAAGCATGAAGTGTCCTCGCCCTGCGTCCTGAGTCTGCAGGAGGACAGAGACATGCTGCTGACGGAGCTCCTCGCGCCTCCTCACGGTAACCACCACCACCACCTCCTCCTCCATCATCTTCATCATCATCGTCATCATCGTCACCCCAAACCCCTGCTGCTGTGACTGCTGCTGCTGTCCCATTGTCTCTCCATGAAAGCTGCATCTGCATGACTGGAGCTGCACGCACACGTCCCTCCATCTCTCCATCATGTATAAACTTGTCTTTTTAGATATAGAAATAAACTATAGACAGCCATAGACTTCAGCTCCATTTGAAAATATTTACTAATGGCTTTTCTGCTGCTTTTAAAATGTTGACTTTTGTTGGTCTAAGAGTAAAGCTAATTATTATACAGTTAGATTCTGTTGGTGCTGTTGGATTCAGTCAGATTGTTTTGGAGGACAGCACAAGAGTTCATTGTGTAAGCTCTGTAACATGTGATGCAACATTGGCATTTCTCCGCTGTGGCACTAATAAAGCATGTCTTAATCTCCTTGTACCATCGGCCGTCCATTAAATCCAATCAAACCCATGTATGTGGATGTGGGGGGCGTGTCGCTGCTGCTCTGATGATGCAGCTCCAGCACAAACACTGCCCCATTGTCTTCTCTCATTTTCATTTCCATCAATAACTTTTCTATTCCATGTTTTCACAAAGTCGTCATTTCATCGTTTGATTCTGTCTGAGATTTTTTTGTCGTTTTCTTGAGTTTTGGGTCAAAGTCTTTTGTTTGAGGCAAAAACTTCTGACCACAAAAAAAAATCCCAAAATGTGACAAAATGACATTTGTGGTTCGGGCTGAGACCCTGCAGCGGAGTCCGGTCCTGGTTGGTCTCAGACTCGGATTAGTCTGTTTTTGGTGTCTTTTCTTTGTTCTTCTGTCCCTTTGTTCCGGAGGTTTCTTTGTGATTCTGCAAAAATAATTTAATTTTTCAGTTTTCAGTTTGTGCAAAAGAATCTCCAACGTCTTCTGCTTCTTCCACGTCTTTTGTTTTGGGTTTTTCTGAATCTGAAATGTTCTGATTCGTCGTCTCTTTGTCAAACTTTTGTCTCTGCAACAAACGACTCGAGCCAGATCCGAGAGATTTACGTTTGAGCAAAACCAGAATCAATGAACACAAAGTCTTTGTTCTAGTTTCTCTGTGCACAGGTCTTTTATCTTTTACATTATTATTAAAACAGATATTACCGCTCACAATGATATAATTATCAAACTGTTTTGTCTGTCTTCCTGAAGGACCTTTCCTGTGTTTAAACGCTTTGATTTTCTGATCTGTGTCGGCGAATCAACAACTGTGTAAAGTCCTCAGAGAAACTCCTGTGGTTTAGAGCGATACGAGAGTTTAAATGAAATTAAAGGTTAAATATTTGTTCCTGAAACAACATCCTCAGAAAGAAAAAAATCTGGATGTAGGTTTTATGGAGTAAGAGACGACTGACTTTAAAAGATACAAGAAGTTTTATTGTGCCTCAGCAACTTCAGTGTCGTAGTGGCGCCACCTGCAGGGGAAAGCCAGTGTGCCCCAGGGCAGCTGTGGCTACAGTAGTTTATCGCCACCGCGTGGGTTTCATTACAGCAGAAAAAAGGGACACAGGTTCTGCTCACATCAAACAGGAAGTACTATTTAAGATCCATCCATTTTCTTCCCCTTAATCCATTTCTGGGTTGGGGGGGTGGCAGTCAGAGTCACAGAGCATGTCGGCTCACTGATCCTCTGCAGGTGCTGAGTCCACAGGAGCTGAGGTCTTTCAGTGGGGGCTTCAGGCAAAGTGGGGTTAAGTGTCTTGCTTAAGGACACAATGACAGCAGTCATCAGTGAGAGTCATGAAGTAGGTCTTGAGGTGGGCTCGAACCCATGACCTTCAGGCTCAAAGACCAATGCTCTACCAACTGAGCTACTATCGCCTACTATCGCCCTGATCTTACATCAGGGCGATAAATTATAAAGATGATGAAACAATAAAACTATCAATCTCTGGAGCTAAAACTGCACTTGGGTCAAAGGTCGGTCAGTGGAGAACACTGTCGTCAGCATCAGGAGGTGTTCACAGATCTCGTCCTGTAGCAGCAGAGACAGCAGATGTCGATTCACCAACAACAGATCAGAGAATCAGTTCAAACACAGAGAATGACGTAACGACAAAACCAGGAGCCGTTGGTCCAAGACAAAGACCAACGTCAGAAACGAGAACAAATATGAAGGGTCTGTGTCGTTCCACATAATTAAAGTAAACACATCTGAGAGGAAAAGTATTCACTACTTTACTTTTACTGATCTCCAACTTTCAACAGATTTAAAACTACTCCAAAAGGAAATACATTACTGTAATGAAGTACAAAAGTAACTAGTTACTCCCAACACTGGGCAGACAGAAACAGCTCATGACTTCATTCTGGGAACTCTTATTGTTTGAAAGCAGAGTGTTCGGACAGAAGGGGCGGGGGTGTGGGGGTAGTTTGACAGCATCGTGTGCTTTCTGCTGACTCTGACTCTCCCTCCACAGATGTGGTTCGTCCTGAGCTCTCGGATGTGGCAGACTGCAGCCTGCAGGGGGCGCCGTGGTACTGGGGAGGCGTGTCCAGGTCAGAGGACTGTGGGGTCTAAACACTGGGCTGATGTGGGCTAAACACTGGGCTGATGTGGGCTAAACACTGGGCTGATGTGGGCTAAACACTGGGCTGATGTGGTCTAAACACTGGGCTGATGTGGGCTAAACACTGGGCTGATGTGGGCTAAACACTGGGCTGGGCTGATGTGGTCTAAACACTGGGCTGATGTGGTCTAAAACATATATAAATATTCTTTAATTACGCTCATGTCTCTGAAGGTCCGAAGTGAACGTTCTGCTGAAGGATTCTCCCGACGGAACATTTCTGGTCCGAGACTCGTCCAATCAGAAGCCGGGACACTACACTCTGACGCTCAGGTGAGGAATGGACCAACCAGAGGCCACGCTGGCATTAAGCACGGGCAGAACATGCAAACATCCGCTCTCTCTGCAGGTGCTCGGGACACACGGTCCTGGTCCGGATCCTGGTCCTCAGGGGACTGTTCGGGTTCGCAGAGCCGCTGAGCTTCAAGTCCGTGGTGGATCTGGTGACCTTCCACAGAACCCGAAGTTTGAGCTGCTACAACCCAGAGCTGAAGGTGGCGCTAGAGAGGCCCATGTGCAGAACAAGCAACAGCCCCCAGGTGAGAGACCAGCTGTTTTAACTGGAAAACACTTCAACACTGGGCTGATGTGGTCTAAACACTGGGCTGATGTGGTCTAAACACTGGGCTGATGTGGTCTAAACCCTGGGCTGATGTGGTCTAAACCCTGGGCTGATGTGGTCTAAACACTGGGCTGATGTGGTCTAAACCCTGGGCTGATGTGGTCTAAACACTGGGCTGATGTGGTCTAAACACTGGGCTGATGTGGTCTAAACCCTGGGCTGATGTGGTCTAAACACTGGGCTGATGTGGTCTAAACCCTGGGCTGATGTGGTCTAAACCCTGGGCTGATGTGGTCTAAACCCTGGGCTGATGTGGTCTAAACCCTGGGCTGATGTGGTCTAAACCCTGGGCTGATGTGGTCTAAACCCTGGGCTGATGTGGTCTAAACCCTGGGCTGATGTGGTCTAAACCCTGGGCTGATGTGCTCCTCAGGTCACGGAGCAGATCTGTGGAATGGCGTCCTCCGAGGTTCAGGAGAAACACGTGGAGGAAACAATGATCCAACTTCAGCAGAAACACAGAGAGTTTGAAGGACTGCAGGAGCTGAAGATGAAGAGGTCCCAGGTACGGCACGTCCCGGATCAAGACCCACCATGGGCCCTGGTCTTAGGCCTGAACCAGATTTCAGGTCTGAACCAGGTCTGTTTGTTTCTGCAGGAGATCCAATCCAAGAGAACGGCCATCGAAGCTTTTAACGAGACCATCAAGATCTTTGAGGAGCAGTGCAGAGAAGAGCCGGTTCTGGACCTAGAACCAGACCACGGGCAGGACCAGACCTCAGACCAGACCTCAGACTGCGCCCTGTCCCGGCTCAGGTCCCGACTCGGAGAGATCCGTGAGACCAGGAGGAGTCTGGAGCTGGACTTGGATTCTAAAGTCCAGGATCTCAGCGACACTGAAGACACATTGAACCGAGTCTGCGCCGAGCTTCAGCTGATGCTCCGGACCAACCAGGACCTGCTCAGGTGAGACCAGGACCAGCTCAGGTGAGACCAGGACCAGCTCAGGAGAGACCAGGACCAGCTCAGTAGCGACCAGGACCAGCTCAGGAGAGACCAGGACCAGCTCAGGAGAGACCAGGACCAGCTCAGGAGCGACCAGGACCAGCTCAGTAGCGACCAGGACCAGCTCAGGAGAGACCAGAACCAGCTCAGGAGAGACCAGGACCAGCTCAGGAGCGACCAGGACCAGCTCAGTAGCGACCAGGACCAGCTCAGGAGAGACCAGGACCAGCTCAGGAGAGACCAGGACCAGCTCAGGAGCGACCAGGACCAGCTCAGTAGCGACCAGGACCAGCTCAGGAGAGACCAGGACCAGCTCAGGAGAGACCAGGACCAGCTTAGGAGAGACCAGGACCAGCTCAGTAGCGACCAGGACCAGCTCAGTAGCGACCAGGACCAGCTCAGGTGAGACCAGGACCAGCTCAGGAGAGACCAGGACCAACTCAGGAGAGACCAGGACCAGCTCAGGAGAGACCAGGACCAGCTCAGGAGAGACCAGGACCAGCTCAGGAGAGACCAGGACCAGCTCAGGAAAGACCAGGACCAGCTTAGGAGAGACCAGGACCGGTTTAACCTGGACTGAACTGGATAAAAGATATAAGTGTTATATTTATCTGGACTTTGGTTCTTTCTCTCAGTCGTCTGAAGGAATGTGGTGTGAGCGAGTGGTTGGAGCAGTGGGACCTTCTGAACCTGGACCCGGACCTGAACCCAGACCTGGACCCGGACTTGGACCTGGACCTGGCCTCCTCCTGCCTCTGGCCCCTGAGCTCCTGGTTCCGGGGGCCCCTCTCTCGCTCTGAGGCCGAGCAGCTCCTGAGTGGGAGGGCATCTGGGTCGTTCCTGATCCGTGAGAGCAGCAGAGCAGACTGCTACGCCTGCTCCGTCGTGTGAGTGTTTGTATAGTTACTCTACTCTACTCTACTCTACTCTACTCTACTCTACTCTACTGTACTCTACTCTATTGTACTCTACTCTACTCTACTCTACTCTACTCTACTCTACTCTATTGTACTCTACTCTACTCTACTCTATTGTACTCTACTCTACTCTACTCTACTCTACTCTACTCTACTCTACTCTATTGTACTCTACTCTACTCTACTCTATTGTACTCTACTCTATTGTACTCTACTCTACTCTACTCTACTCTACTCTATTGTACTCTACTCTACTCTACTCTACTCTATTGTACTCTACTCTACTCTACTCTATTGTACTCTACTCTACTCTACTCTACTCTATTGTACTCTACTCTACTCTACTCTATTGTACTCTACTTCTTCTCTACTCTACTCTACTCTATTGTACTCTACTCTACTCTACTCTACTGTACTCTACTCTACTCTACTCTATTGTACTCTACTCTACTCTACTCTATTGTACTCTACTCTACTCTACTCTATTGTACTCTACTCTACTCTACTCTATTGTACTCTACTCTACTCTACTCTACTTCTTCTCTACTCTACTGTACTCTACTGTACTCTACTCTATTGTACTCTACTCTACTCTATTGTACTCTACTCTACTCTACTCTATTGTACTCTACTCTACTTCTTCTCTACTCTACTCTACTCTATTGTACTCTACTCTACTCTACTCTATTGTACTCTACTCTACTCTATTGTACTCTACTCTACTCTACTCTACTCTATTGTACTCTACTCTACTCTACTCTACTCTACTCTACTCTACTCTATTGTACTCTACTCTACTCTACTCTATTGTACTCTACTCTACTCTACTCTATTGTACTCTACTCTACTCTACTCTATTGTACTCTACTTCTTCTCTACTCTACTCTACTCTACTCTACTCTATTGTACTCTACTCTACTCTACTCTACTCTACTCTACTCTACTCTACTCTACTCTATTGTACTCTACTCTACTCTACTCTATTGTACTCTACTCTACTCTACTCTATTGTACTCTACTCTACTCTACTCTATTGTACTCTACTCTACTCTATTGTACTCTACTCTACTTCTTCTCTACTCTACTGTACTCTACTGTACTCTACTCTATTGTACTCTACTCTACTCTATTGTACTCTACTCTACTCTACTCTATTGTACTCTACTCTACTCTATTGTACTCTACTCTACTCTACTCTATTGTATTCTACTCTACTCTACTCTATTGTACTCTACTCTACTCTATTGTACTCTACTCTACTCTACTCTATTGTACTCTACTCTACTCTACTCTATTGTACTCTACTGTACGCTACTGTACTCTACTCTACTCTATTGTACCCTACTCTACTCTACTGTACTCTACTCTACTCTACTCTATTGTACCCTACTCTACTCTACTGTACTGTACTGTACTGTACTGTTCTCAACTGTACTCTACTATACTCTGCTCTGTTGTTGTAGGTTTCCTCCGGGTGCTCCGGTTTCTTGACGTGTGTGTGCATCCTAACATGTGCCCTGTCTTCCCAGTGTGCGTTCCGAGGTCAAACATTGCATCATCACGTCTTCGGACCGAGGTTTGGGATTCGAACCCTCCACTTGCTTCAGCAGCCTGTCCGCCCTGGTCTCCTTCTACAGCAGGAGGTCCCTGAGGAGCCACAACCCCGAGCTGGACGTGAGGCTGGAGAGTCCGGCCTGGGACCAGAGCGAGACCGAGGAGGAGGACCAGAGGCTGTGTGACCAGAGCGAGACCAAGGAGGAGGAGGAGGAAGAGGAGCAGAGGGACGGAGAGGAGGCGACAGCAGACAGCAGCCTCAGAGATCAGGGAACAGCTCCTGTTTGTTTGATCATCAGGACTTTTGTGTGAGAGGAACCGTTCTGACTGAGTTTTAACCCGAGGACTCCATCAAATATGACACTACTACAACTCCCAGAGCCGCCATTTTCAGAATCAGAATCATTTCTATTGCCACGTAAGTAACAGGAAGTCACAGACTTGCAAATTGCTTTGGCTCAGAGCAACAGTCAGAAAGAGATAATAAAAATAAAGAATAAAAAACACTTCTAAGGAATAAATTTAAATTTAAAATAGTTATAGTTACTGTTTACAATATACAAGTGCACATGGTGCATTTTGACTGCTTCTTTTCAAACCAATGCAGATCTGAGAAATTCCCACAAAAAATGTTCAGATATGTTAAAAGTAAGTACGTTTTTTAACTCACTTTTATGAAGTGCAAAAACCGTTGGTTTAAAAGCTAAATGCTAACTGCTGATGCTAACTGCTGATGCTAACTGCTGATGCTAAGCGGTGTGTTGCTATAGTAACCAACACTCGCTCTTCAAAGCTAGAACTACTCGCGTTTAAGAATGAATACGACAATTTTTAAATAATTAAAGAAAATGATTGAAATAAGCTACAACAGATACAGAAAATGTCACAAAGGTACATACACTTCTTAGACTTAGTCAATTTGACTGCTCTGGGAGTTCTAGTGTTGAAGATTCATCTTTACCGCAGTAAACAGTCGACATGTCCCAGATGTTCTCTTCAGTCGACAAGAGCTGGATCGAGGTGAAACTCAAACTCCTCCCACAGCGTTTCACCTGCGGAGCCCAAACTTTATGCTCTACGTCCTCAAACCTGGGCCTTCAAAAGTTATCCACCATTTTGAGACAAGCGTCATGGCGACCGTGTGGGGGCGGGGCAAACTCACGCATATATGATTCACAACGTGGCGCCTTTCGTACGGAGAGCCAAAAGGACTAAACTTCACTCGACGTTTCTACAGGACCTGATCAGGACCGCCAACGGAGACCATGTGGTGTTGTCCTTGCGTTACCATAGCAACCATTTCACCAAATGGAGACGATTAAGCCGGTATGTCTGAGGTCGTCCTACCCACACACCGCAGCTTTAAACTAGACACTGGACAAAAACATTAGGGAAAAAAACAACTCTGGAGACAGGACAGACCTCAACAATTCGAGAAAGAAACCAGACTCTATTCTGCTGGTCTGACCCGTCTAGTCTCCATGGTCTGAGGTCCAGTCTCCATGGTGTGAGGTCCAGTCTCCATGGTGTGAGGTCCAGTCTCCATGGTTTGAGGTCCAGTCTCCATGACCGGTCTGAAGAGCCACAAGCTGCGATTTTACGAACACAAAGTGGAATCCTCTCTAAAAACAGACGTTGTACAAACATGTAAAGAAAAAACTGAAACGATTTGAGTAAAAACGAAACCTCTGAAACTGGACAAACTCCCGAACGTTTTTTGAGTTTGAAGATACGTAAAAAACATAAAACCCCGGTGTGAACGGGACGCCCTCGGTGTGAACGGGACGCCCTCGGTGTGAACGGGGCTCTCCCGGTGTGAACGGAGATCTCCCGGTGTGAACGGGGCTCTCCCGGTGTGAACGGAGCTCTCCCGGTGTGAACGGGGCTCTCCCGGTGTGAACGGGGCTCTCCCGGTGTGAACGGAGCTCTCCCGGTGTGAACGGAGCTCTCCCGGTGTGAACGGGGCTCTCCCGGTGTGAACAGAGCTCTCCCGGTGTGAACGGGGGCCGAGCTAAAGGACATTTTTGAGTTTTTTGCAGATTTTGCACAAAGTCTGAATGTGTGAGAGTTGCTGCTACGACTGAGCCCAAAAGACGTCTGTGAAGGTTTGAAGACACGAGCTGCTGCTGCGAGCCACAAACTGCAAAACCAGATATTGACGTGTTTTTATTTGACTGTGGGAAAAGGTTTATCGTGTTCTGTGAGATCCACGAGACCGAGGGACACGACTCTGCTCCCAGTGGAACCTACAGAAGTCCCAACACCTCAGACTTTACACAAAGGTCCTGTTTACAACCAGAAAGATTTATGTTGAATTTCACACTGAAAGTTTTCACAAAAGTAACAGACGACTGTGACGCAAAAGAGAAATTATTATGTGTTCAATTATCTGTTTGTTTTGTCCATTTCTGGGTTGAGGGAGGCAGAGTTTAGTTCAATTCCATTTGTTTTTTCTATTGCCCTAAATCACAGCAGTAGGAATCTCGAGGGACTTTACAAATCATAGAATAAATATTTATAAAAACACATAGAGTCTTGGGTCCATAAGAGGCAGAGATTCAGATCCATAAATGTTGATAAATCCATTCTCAAAGCACCAGCACTGACCCTGCTGCAGGTGGTGCTGGCTCCTCGGTCGTTCAGTGGGGGTTTCAGGCAAAGTGGAGTTAAGTGTCTTGCCCAGGGACACGACAACAGCAGTCTTTAGCGGGATCAAACCCACGACCATTAGGTTCAAAGCTCCACCAACTGAGCCCCTGTCGCCGAACAAAACGACGCAGGATTTTGTTGTTATTTTAAAAAGTGAAAAGTTTTACAGTGCAATAATGACACCACTGCAAATCTACCAAGACGCGGCTGTCTGCCCAGTGGCACAGCTCCAAACAGGGCAACACAGATGCAGACAAGGGGCCAATGGTTAGTCTCACACAACACAGATTTGGCCTTTATTTACGAGCGGTAATATACAGTCAGTGTTCAAATAAAAACGCAAGAAATCAGTCTGTACGCCTTTGGTCCAAACGCTAAATGTTATGTATGAGTCAAAGATGGGGGTGGTAGCATCATTTTATGGGGCTGCTTTTCTTCAGCAGGGACAGGGAAGAGTGGCAGAAAGTTCTAATACAGGACATTATTGAACAATGTGTATTCGACGTAGCATTAACTCCTAGTGTATGAATACTTTTGCAAACCCTTTTTATTTTTTGTTTTCAAATCAACAAAACCATGAATCGTTTCTTTCTCCTCACAGTCGTCCGTCACTTTGTTGTGGTCTGTACATGCGCAGACATGTTTAATGGAGTAGGAGATGACCAGGATGAGCCTTTTTAAACTAAACGCACATATGTCGCTACAGAGTAATTTATTTAAAGTCACATTATTTAAGAACAGTTAAATTTATTTACCTGCACAGTTTTATGAAAGAGTTATGGAAAAATCTATGGTCTCTCTCTCTCTGATGTCTCTCTCTCTCTCTCTGGATTCTCTCTGATGTTTCTCTGCTCTCTCTCTCTCTGATTTCTCTGTCTCTCTCTCTCTCTGTATCTCTGGTCTCTCTCTCGCTCTCTCTCTCTCTCTCTCTGATGTCTCTCTCTCTCTGGATTCTCTCTCTGATGTATCTCTGGTCTCTCTCTCTCTCTCTCTCTCTGATGTCTCTCTCTCTGATGTCTCTCTCTCTCTGGATTCTCTCTCTGATGTATCTCTGGTCTCTCTCTCGTTGTCTCTCTCTCTGATGTTTCTCGGCTCTCTCTCTGGTGTCTCTCTCTCTCTCCCTCTGGTCTCATCCCCGTTGGTTTCTCTTTCTCTGGTCTCTCCTTCTCTGGGTTCTCTCTCTCTCAGACGGTTTACTCTCACTTCTGGTTTCAAAGTTTTGCTTTGATCATTTGTTGAAAGAGAAAAATGTGGAGTGTGAGTTTTTCAGGTTTAGGAACAAGGCCATGTGTGCAGAGGAGGAAGAGCCATATACGGGCGTGCTGCACTGCAGCCCTGGAATTTAACCCCAGGATCCATCGACCCGGGACGACAGTGGGAAATGTTGGCGTGTTGTTTAGGATGAGTGACGCTCTTGCTGCCAGAGTTTGGGCTTTGGGCTCTCTCTCTGATCTCTCTCTCTCTCTGGTCTCTCTCTCTGGTCTCTCTCTCTCTCTCTCTGGTCTCTCTCTCTGGACTCTCTCCCCCTCTGGTCTCTCTCCCTCTGGTCTCTCTCTCTCTCTGGTCTCTCTCGCTGGTCTCTCTCTCTCTCTGGTCTCTCTCGCTGGTCTCTCTCTCTCTGGTCTCTCTCGCTGGTCTCTCTCTCTCTGGTCTCTCTCTCTGGACTCTCTCCCCCTCTGGTCTCTCTCTCTCTCTCTCTCTCTCTGGTCCCTCTCTCTGGTGTCTCTCTCTGGTCTCTCTCTCTATCTCTGGTCTCTCTCGCTGGTCTCTCTCTCTCTGGTCTCGCTCTCTGGACTCTCTCCCCCTCTGGTCTCTCTCTCTCTGGTCTCTCTCTCTGGTCTCTCTCTCTCTGGTCCCTCTCTCTGGTGTCTCTCTCTGGTCTCTCTCTCTCTCTCTCTGGTCTCTCTCGCTGTTCTCGCTCTCTCTGGTCTCTCTCGCTGGTCTCGCTCTCTCTGGTCTCTCTCCCCCTCTCTCTCTGGATCTCTCCACCTCTCTCTCTGGTCTTTCTTGCTGGTCTCTCTCTCTAGTCTCTCTCTCTCTGGTCTCTCTCCCCTTCTCTCTCTGGTCTCTCTCTCTCTGGTCTCTCTCGCTGGTCTCTCTCTCTCTGGTCTCCCCCTCTGGACTCTCTCCCCCTCTGGTCTCTCTCTGGTCTCCCCCTCTGGTCTCTCTCTCTCTGGTCTCTCTCGCTGGTCTCTCTCCCTCTGGTCTCTCTCTGGTCTCTCCCTCTGATCTCTGGGGTACTCACACAGTGTTCGCAAAAAACTATATATTTTTGAAAGTCTGGTGTTTGACGCGGGTCCAAACAACACGCCAACACTCCCGTCCGTGTACGGCTCTGTGTGAACGTGAGGAAAGATGAAAGAGTTCTGAGCGGTCAATCGCCACGGCAACGGTCGCCGCCTGGCATCATTCCAGACATATTCAGGTGACTTTTCTTTAAATCTCAGGCTAAATCTCAGACGTTTGGAGCTGATCACAGGAAGTTTTCAAATGTTTTGCACATTTTTCAACATTTTTTACCCAGAAAAAAAATCTCTACTTTTTACATTTAAGAGAAAACAGAGAAAACAGAACCAGGAGCGGAACTCATTTTGTTCTGGGTCAAATTTAAAAACATAAAACTCTGGGGCCAGAATTATAAAAGTGGTTTACAAGTTTTTTCAAGTCTTATAAAATGAACAGTATTTGACTCCAGTCTCTCTCTGATCTCGCTCTGGTCTCTCCCTCTCTGGTCTCTCTCTCTCTGGTCTCTCTCTGATCTCGCTCTGGTCTCTCTCCGGTCTTTCTCTCACTCTCTGGTCTCTCTCTCTCTGGTCTCTCTCTGATCTCGCTCTGGTCTCTCTCCGGTCTTTCTCTCACTCTCTGGTCTCTCTCTCTCTGGTCTCTCTCTGGTCTCTCTCGCTCTGGTCTCTCACTCTCCGGTCTCTCACACTCTGGTCTCTCTCACACTCTCTTTCTCTCTTTCTCTCTGATGTCCAAGCCAATCCATTTTCTTCCGCTTTACCCGTGCCCTGTCCGTCCGGACTCTTAAAGGGGATGAAAATGAAGGAAAACGACGAGATGAAGTCAAAGATGAATATTCCCCGTGTTCCTCAGAGACAGAGTTTGAAGCAGGTTTTTATGATTCAGGAAACAGACGTTGCACATCGTTCCTTTTGTTTACGACACTTTACTTTCAGTTTGACCAAAGATTTCTGTTGATTTCAGTGTTTTCTAAAAGGTCCATGTTTCTGTGTCCAAACGTTTAAGAAATATATTTAACTCAAAAGTAAAAAATCTACCTCAAGCTTCAGGGAAAAAATAGGAATCTTGTCAAAACAGTATCAATAAAGTTATAAATTCAAACCATTATTCATGTAAAATTAGTTTTATTTGTTTTTATCTTTCATCACAATCATTTCATTTTTTTTTTTTTTTTTTAAATCTATTTTTTTCTTACGTTTTGAAATGATTTCCTGGTTTTAGAAGCGTTTTATTTTATTATAACATTATTTAACGTTGGTTTTTTGCTGGTATCAGATGTTTTCGTCGCTGCTGTAAAAATCTAACGTTTATAAGAAAGAACAGAGTTTTTATGGACGTCTTTCCGACACTTTGAGCATGTTCTTGTCTTTACGTCGTTCTGTGGAAAATAAAACTGTGAAGAAATGTCTTTGCTCTTGTTTTTAAAGTTTACAGAAAATTCATCAGTTCAAATCAGTCACAGGTATTAGTACAGCACAGTTCATACAGAAGGAGAGAGACCAGAGGGAGAGACCAGAGAGAGAGAGACCAGAGGGAGAGACCAGAGGGAGAGAGACCAGAGAGAGAGAGACCAGAGGGAGAGAGACCAGAGGGAGAGAGACCAGAGCAAGAGACCAGAGGGAGAGAGACCAGAGAGAGAGAGACCAGAGAGAGAGAGACCAGAGAGAGAGAGACCAGAAAGAGAGAGACCAAAGAGCGAGAGACCAGAGTGAGAGAAAGATCAGAGAGAGAGACCAGAGCGAGAGAGACCAGAGCGAGAGAAAGATCAGAGAGAGGGAGAAAGGGAGACTAGAGAGACCAGAGAAAGAGAGAGAGAGACATGGGAGAGAACAGAGGGAGACGAGAGAGAGAGAGACCAGAGAGAGGGAGAGATCAGCAAAAGGGACCAGAGAAAGAGAGACCAGAGAAAGAGTGAGAGAGGTCAGAGAGAGAGACATGGGAGAGAACAGAGGGCGAACAGAGGGAGACGAGAGAGAGAGAGAAAGCGAGTGAGACCATGGGAGCCCACTGTTTTCAGCCTAGACTTGAATAAAGCCCGTCCCACTTCTTCTGGAAGATTGTTCTAGATTTTAGGTGCATAGGTCTAAAGCGCTGCCTCCTCATGTTTAGTCCTGACTCTGGGACCAGCAGGAGGCCAGTCCCTGTGCTCCTCAGAGTCCCAGCAGGAGGCCAGTCCCTGTGCTCCTCAGTCCCAGCAGGAGGCCAGTCCCTGTCCTCAGAGTCCAGCAGGAGGCCAGTCCCTGTGCTCCTCAGGCCCAGCAGGAGGCCAGTCCCTGTAGTATTTAAAGTAAAAAGGTGAAGGCTGTTGTCACTTTATTTCATGTCTGTATATTATTCATATATTCTACTATGACGTCATTACTTCATACAGTGAATAAAACTATAGATGTTCCATATTCAGTGAAAAAGTTTACAATGATTTCCTCTGCAGTTCCGCTGTTTCCCAGCAGAGGGCCCTCGACACCACGTTCAACGTGTATTTCTTTGTTGTGTACTGTGGATTTTATCAATATTAGTAGAATTGTTTCAATGGTAAACTTTTATAAATTAAATCTACATTTATACAGCATTTACATCAAATGACTTTTTATTTCGTCCGCAGTGACAAGTAATGTGAGCAATATGTTCTTATAGTAAATGAAAACATAAATCCCACATAATCTGCTGTAGAGACCATAAAGAGACCACTCTCATCGTTTTATTTTAATTTAAAATTGCAGTCATGACGTCAGAGCAGCATCGCGGTCCAATGACGTATTCATAGCGCGACCGTTTCTCCATCAGCATTAGCATTAGCCGTCACTTTGAGCAGAATTCTCCTGTTTTTCTCCCAAACTTTGAGCTGAAACATGTTCTTTGCGGAGGAGCGGGTGAGTGACCCCTGACCCCTGCATGTGATGGTTGATGTGGCTTTAGAGCGGCTGTTTTGAGGCGTGTGAACAGAACCAACATCAACACAGTTTTACATGAAGCGAAAAAGACCTGGGATTTAAACACAAGACCAACTCTGCTTTGAATTAATGTTTAATATGTTTAATATAGAGTTTCTCAGTCACAGGCTGAGGCTCTGCTGCGGAGGAGACCGCTGCGATTTAATCATAATCTATTATCCATCCATCTATTTTCTTCCGCTTTATCTGTTGCCAGGTGGCGAGGGCGGCAGTCTAAGTAGATACACTAGAGTGAATAGAGTGAGAGACCAGAGAGGGAGAGACCAGAGAGGGAGAGACCAGAGGGAGAGAGACCAGAGAGAGAGCCAGAGAGGAGAGACCAGAGAGGGAGAGACCAGAGGGAGAGACCAGAGAGGGAGAGACCAGAGAGGGAGAGACCAGAGAGGGAGAGACCAGAGAGGGAGAGACCAGAGGAGAGAGACCAGAGAGGGAGAGACCAGAGAGGGAGAGACCAGAGAGGGAGAGACCAGAGAGAGAGAGACCAGAGGGAGAGACCAGAGAGGGAGAGACCAGAGAGGGAGAGACCAGAGAGAGAGAGACCAGAGGAGAGACCAGAGAGGAGAGACCAGAGAGGGAGAGACCAGAGAGGGAGAGACCAGAGAGGGAGAGACCAGAGAGGGAGAGACCAGAGAGGGAGAGACAGAGAGGGAGAGACCAGAGAGGGAGAGACCAGAGAGGGAGAGACCAGAGAGGGAGAGACCAGAGAGGAGAGACCAGAGAGGGAGAGACCAGAGAGGGAGAGACCAGAGAGTGAGAGACCAGAGAGGGAGAGACCAGAGAGGGAGAGACCAGAGAGGGAGAGACCAGAGAGGGAGAGACCAGAGAGGGAGAGACCAGAGAGGGAGAGACCAGAGAGGGAGAGACCAGAGAGGGAGAGACCAGAGAGGGAGAGACCAGAGAGTGAGAGACCAGAGAGGGAGAGACCAGAGAGGGAGAGACCAGAGGGAGAGACCAGAGAGGGAGAGACCAGAGAGGGAGAGACCAGAGAGGGAGAGACCAGAGAGGGAGAGACCAGAGAGGGAGAGACCAGAGGGAGAGACCAGAGAGGGAGAGACCAGAGAGGGAGACCAGAGAGGGAGAGACCAGAGAGGGAGAGACCAGAGGGAGAGACCAGAGAGGGAGAGACCAGAGAGGGAGAGACCAGAGAGGGAGAGACCAGAGGGAGAGAGACCAGAGGGAGAGACCAGAGAGGGAGAGACCAGAGAGAGAGAGACCAGAGAGGGAGAGACCAGAGAGGGAGAGACCAGAGAGGGAGAGACCAGAGGGAGAGACCAGAGAGGGAGAGACCAGAGAGGGAGACCAGAGAGGGAGAGACCAGAGAGGGAGAGACCAGAGAGAGACCAGAGAGAGAGACCAGAGAGGGAGACCAGAGAGGGAGAGACCAGAGAGGGAGAGACCAGAGAGGGAGAGACCAGAGAGGGAGAGACCAGAGAGGGAGAGACCAGAGAGTGAGAGACCAGAGAGGGAGAGACCAGAGAGGGAGAGACCAGAGGGAGAGACCAGAGAGGGAGAGACCAGAGAGGGAGAGACCAGAGAGGGAGAGACCAGAGAGGGAGAGACCAGAGGGAGAGAGACCAGAGGGAGAGACCAGAGAGGGAGAGACCAGAGAGAGAGAGACCAGAGAGGGAGAGACCAGAGAGGGAGAGACCAGAGAGGGAGAGACCAGAGGGAGAGACCAGAGAGGGAGAGACCAGAGAGGGAGACCAGAGAGGGAGAGACCAGAGAGGGAGAGACCAGAGGGAGAGACCAGAGAGAGAGACCAGAGAGAGAGAGACCAGAGAGGGAGACACCATATGTGTTGACAAAGAAGACCCAAACATCTCTCTCCACCTCCCCGGTGGGACGTGCCCAGAACATCTCCTCAGGGAGGCTCCAGGAGTTATTCTAAACAGAGCCACCTTCACTGGTTCCTCTTCATGTGGAGGAGCAGCAGCTCTACTCTGAGCTCCTCTGTTATGACGGAGACATCTACAGTCCCAGTTTAATGGAAGGAAAGGCGTCTAGGACTCAAGGACGACTACATTTTAAAATGAGATGTTGCACAGTGAGAGTTTTTGTTTCTCAGTTTATGGAAATAAATTATTGACCTTAAAAATATTACATTTAAAAAATAAATATTTCTGTGCAATATTTGAAGCAGTCAAGTGTTTAATTGTTTATTATATTGAAGTGACTGGTCTCTGTCTCTCTGGTCTCAGTCCTGGTCTCGGTCCTTGTCTCTCTGGTCTCTGGTCTCTCTGCTCTTAGTCCTGGTCTCTCTGTTCTTTCTGGTCTTAGTCCTGGTCTCTGGTCTTTCTGGTCTTAGTCCTGGTCTCTGGTCTTTCTGGTCTTAGTCCTGGTCTCTGGTCTCTCTGGTCTTAGTCCTGGTCTATGTTATTTCTGGTCTCAGTCCTGGTTTTTAGTCTCTCTGGTCTCAGTCCAGGTCTCAGTCCTGGTTTCATATACAGTCCTGGTCTGGTCTCTCTGGTCTTAGTCCTAGTCTCTTGTTTTTCTGGTTTCTCTTTAAAAGAGTTTCAGAATGAGGTGGAACAGTCAGAGCCAGACCTCTGATACAAACTCGTGTTTCCCTGCGACAGGAGGAGGAGCTGTGACGCCGCTGTGATGTCACGGTGATGTCACAGCGGCGCAGTGATGTCATAGCGGTGACGTCATCACGGTGAAGATGGAGTCCTGGACCCCGAACCCGCGAGCCAAACCCTTCGTCCCCAAAACTCAGCGCAGCTTCTACCTTAGCTGCAAATACAGACTGAGCGATCGCCGGACTCTGCGCAGAGGCTGCCAGGTACGTCTCACCACTTGTCCCTGCTGAAGAAAAGCAGCCCCACAGCAGGATGCTGCCCCCCCCCGATCTGTGATCGTCTTCCTGTTCTGTGGTTTCAGGCCGGAGCAGTCCTGTTCCTGATTGTCACCGTCATCGTTAACATCAAACTGATTCTAGACACAAGACGAGCTGCAGATGAGACTCCAGAGTACGGTAAGACCTGTTTTAGGACGGCTTTAGTCCTGCTTTAGACATGGTCTACTCTGGTCCCTCTCTGGTCCCTCTCTGGTCTCAGTCCTGATCTCTGGTTTCTGGTCTCTCTCACAGATCCAGTGGACCCTCAGGACCCCCAGACCCCCGTCAGACCAGGTCAGGTCCGTGGAGGCCGAGTCCTGGACATCGAGGTTTTCTCCAGTCGCTCCAAAGTCTATGTGGCGGTGGACGGGACCACGGTCTGTGTCAACATCCAATCAGAGCTGTGGGGGCGGAGTCAACACGGGGCATAGACCACATGCAAGGGGCGGAGTCAACACGGGGCATAGACCCCATGCTAAGGGGCGGAGTCAACACGGGGCATAGACCACATGCTAAGGGGCGGAGTCAACACGGGGCATAGACCCCATGCTAAGGGGCGGAGTCAACACGGGGCATAGACCCCATGCTAAGGGGCGGAGTCAACACGGGGCATAGACCACATGCTAAGGGGCGGAGTCAACACGGGGCATAGACCCCATGCTAAGGGGCGGAGTCAACACGGGGCATAGACCCCATGCTAAGGGGCGGAGTCAACACGGGGCATAGACCACATGCTAAGGGGCGGAGTCAACACGGGGCATAGACCCCATGCTAAGGGGCGGAGTCAACACGGGGCATAGACCCCATGCTAAGGGGCGGAGTCAACACGGGGCATAGACCACATGCTAAGGGGCGGAGTCAACACGGGGCATAGACCACATGCTAAGGGGCGGAGTCAACACGGGGCATAGACCACATGCTAAGGGGCGGAGTCAACACGGGGCATAGACCCCATGCTAAGGGGCGGAGTCAACACGGGGCATAGACCCCATGCTAAGGGGCGGAGTCAACACGGGGCATAGACCACATGCTAAGGGGCGGAGTCAACACGGGGCATAGACCCCATGCTAAGGGGCGGAGTCAACACGGGGCATAGACCACATGCTACAGACACATTATTATCCCTCAGACTTTCTACACTTCTGAAAAAACCTGTCGATGTGTTTTTTAATGAACTCTTGAACAAAAATAAGAAATAGACACAAAAACAGTGCGAGCCGATGTGAGTGACTCTGGTCTCTCTCTGTACTCTCTTTTGTTTCTGGTCTTGGTTCTATCCCTGGTCTCTCTCTCTGGTCTCTCTCTCTGGTCTCTTCCTGGTCTCTCTCTCTGGTCTCTCTCTCTGGTCTCTCTCTCTGGTCTCTCTCTGGTCTCTCTCTCTGGTCTCTCTCTCTGGTCTCTCTCTGGTCTCTCTCTGGTCTCTCTCTGGTCTCTCTCTGGTGTCTCTCTCTGGTCTCTCGCTGGTCTCTCTCTCTGGTCTCTCGCTGGTCTCTCTCTCTGGTCTCTCTCTCTGGTCTCTCTCTCTGGTCTCTCTCTGGTCTCTCTCTGGTCTCTCTCTGGTCTCTCTCTGGTCTCTCTCTGGTCTCTCTCTGGTGTCTCTCTCTGGTCTCTCTCTGGTCTCTCTCTCTGGTCTCTCTCTCTGGTCTCTCTCTCTGGTCTCTCTCTCGTCTCTCTCTCTGGTCTCTCTCTGGTCTCTCTCTGGTCTCTCTCTGGTCTCTCTCTCTGGTCTCTCTCTCTGGTCTCTCTCTGGTCTCTCTCTCTGGTCTCTCTCTGGTCTCTCTCTCTCTGGTCTCTCTCTGGTCTCTCTCTCTCTGGTCTCTCTCTGGTCTCTCTCTCTCTGGTCTCTCTCTCTGGTCTCTCTCTGGTCTCTCTCTGGTCTCTCTCTCTGGTCTCTCTCTCTGGTCTCTCTCTCTGGTCTCTCTCTGGTCTCTCGCTGGTCTCTCTCTCTGGTCTCTCTCTGGTCTCTCTCTCTGGTCTCTCTCTCTGGTCTCTCTCTCTGGTCTCTCTCTCTGGTCTCTCTCTCTGGTCTCTCTCTCTGGTCTCTCTCTCTGGTCTCTCTCTCTGGTCTCTCTCTCTGGTCTCTCTCTCTGGTCTCTCTCTCTGGTCTCTCTCTCTGGTCTCTCTCTGGTCTCTCTCTGGTCTCTCTCTGGTCTCTCTCTGGTCTCTCTCTCTGGTCTCTCTCTCTGGTCTCTCTCTCTGGTCTCTCTCTCTGGTCTCTCTCTCTGGTCTCTCTCTCTGGTCTCTCTCTCTGGTCTCTCTCTCTGGTCTCTCTCTCTGGTCTCTCTCTCTGGTCTCTCTCTCTGGTCTCTCTCTCTGGTCTCTCTCTGGTCTCTCTCTGGTCTCTCTCTCTCTCTGGTCTCTCTCTCTGGTCTCTCTCTCTGGTCTCTCTCTCTGGTCTCTCTCTCTGGTCTCTCTCTGGTCTCTCTCTCTGGTCTCTCTCTGGTCTCTCTCTCTGGTCTCTCTCTCTGGTCTCTCTCTCTGGTCTCTCTCTCTGGTCTCTCTCTGGTCTCTCTCTCTCTCTGGTCTCTCTCTGGTCTCTCTCTCTGGTCTCTCTCTCTGGTCTCTCTCTCTGGTCTCTCTCTCTGGTCTCTCTCTCTGGTCTCTCTCTGGTCTCTCTCTGGTCTCTCTCTCTGGTCTCTCTCTGGTCTCTCTCTCTGGTCTCTCTCTCTGGTCTCTCTCTCTGGTCTCTCTCTCTGGTCTCTCTCTCTGGTCTCTCTCTCTGGTCTCTCTCTGGTCTCTCTCTCTGGTCTCTCTCTGGTCTCTCTCTCTGGTCTCTCTCTCTGGTCTCTCCTTAGAGCAGAGCAGTACATTATAACAGTATATTCTTCTGTACCTCTGTTCTCACATTGTCTAAAAGATGTTCTTCTTCTGGGTGCATCATCAAGACTATTGGTCCTCCCATGTGTCAATCATTCTGGTGATTCGTGCTCGTCCAATAAGTTCCTTTCAAAATGTGGAGGGGGCGGAAAATTCTCTTTATATTTATATCTATACATTTTAGTGTTTACGTTTGTCTTTTGTTTCAGGTTCTGGAGGACGACATGAGGGAGCAGGGACGAGGCATCCATGTCATCGTGCTCAACCAGGCCTCGGTAACACACACACATGCACACATACACACACACACACACACATACACACACACACACTCACATATACACACATATACACACACGCACACACACACACATATACACATACACACACATGCTCACATACGCACACACACACACATACACACACATGCTCACATACACACACACTAACACATACACACATATACACATACACACACACTAACACATACACACATATACACACACACACACATATACACATACACACACATGCTCACATATACACATACACACACACACATACACATGCTCACATACACACACGCACACACATACGCACACACATACACGCACATGCTCACATACACACACGCACACACATACACACACATACACACATGCTCACACGCACACACATACACGCACATGCACACACATACACACACACATACACACACATGCTCACATACACACACACATACACATACATGTACACACACACTTACGCACACACACGTACACACATACACACACTATTATGTGGTTCTCTCTCTGTCTCTCTCCTGTATTGACTCTCTCTCTCTGTCTCTCTCCTGTATTGACTCTCTCTCTCTGTCTCTCTCCTGTATTGACTCTCTCTCTGGTCTCTCTCTCTCTGTGTCTCTCTCCTGTATTGACTCTCTCTCTCTGGTCTCTCTCTCTCTCTGTGTCTCTCTCCTGTATTGACTCTCTCTCTCTGGTCTCTCTCTGCGGTCTCTCTCCTGTATTGACTCTCTCTCTCTGGTCTCTCTCTGTGTCTCTCTCCTGTATTGACTCTCTCTCTCTGGTCTCTCTCTCTCTCTGTGTCTCTCTCCTGTATTGACTCTCTCTCTCTGGTCTCTCTCTGGTCTCTCTCCTCAGGGTCATGTCATGGCCAAGAGGATCTTCGACACCTACTCTCCTCACGAGGACGAGGCCATGATCCTGTTTCTGAACATGGTGACCAGAGGGAGAGTCCTGATCTTCACCATCAAGGTCTGACACCAGCTGCATACTACCATCAAAGCTTTATACTAGTATTAAAGCTCGGGGACGTAACTTCAGCCTCATACTTAACACATGTTTGAACAGAAATTGTCTTTAAGTAAAATGTTGTGAACGAATCAGACACATCCTGATGTCTTTGTGTTGCTAGGAAACATGTTATGATCCCTGTGAGTCACTATTGGACTCTTGGGGCTGAGAGCTGATTGGCTGAGAGAGGGTGGTCCTTTCTATGTGACTTCTTGGTCAAAAAAATCTTATCTAAAGACGTGAGACAGAAATGTGAAAACTAGAGAAACTGTTTCAGAGCTAGAACCAGAGACATGGGTTTGTTACAGAGTTCTATTGGTCTGAAAGTTACAGAACACAGCTTTAATGTTACTCTGGTCTTTGCTCTCAGTCCTGGTATCAGTCCCAGTCTCTCTCCGGTCTCCCTGGTCTCTCTCTGGTCTCCCTGGTCTCTCTCTGGTCTCTCTCTGGTCTCTCTCTGGTCTCTCTCTGGTCTCTCTCTGGTCTCGCTTTCTGGTCTCGCTTTCTGGTCTCGCTTTCTGGTCTCGCTTTCTGGTCTCGCTTTCTGGTCTCGCTCAGGTCTCTCTGGTCTCTCTGGTCTCAGTCCTGTTCTCTCTCTAGTCTCTCTCTGGTCTCTCTCGGGTCTCTCTCTGGTCTCAGTCCTGGTCTCTCTCTGGTCTCAGTCCTGGTCTCTCTCTGGTCTCTCTCTGGTCTCTCTCTGGTCTCTCTCTGGTCTCTCTCTGGTCTCTCTCTGGTCTCTCTCTGGTCTCTCTCTGGTCTCTCTCTGGTCTCTCTCTGGTCTCGCTTTTTGGTCTCGCTTTCTGGTCTCAGTCCTGGTCTCAGTCCTGGTCCCTCTCTCATCAGGACGAGGGTAGCTTCCACCTCAAAGACTCGGCCCGGGCTCTGCTCAAGTCCCTTGGCTCCGAGTCGGCCTTGAGCCTGAGCTGGAGGGACATGTGGACCCTGGTGCTGCGGAAAGGAGGTCTGTGAGCAGGCACACACAACAGCCACTGATTGCTGACTTCCTCTGCGGCCTCAGGACTTCCTTAAAATGTCCTGTCCACGTTGCAGGTCAGGTGTACGGAGAGAAACACTCCAAGTCTCCAGCTCTGTCCACGTGGGGAGACCCGGTCCTGCTGAAGACCGAGGTCCAACTCACCGCTTCAGAAGGTGAGTCAACACATCTGGTCTCTCTCTGGTCTCTCTCTGGTCTCTTTCTACTCTCTTTCTAGTCTGTCTCTGCTCTCTTTCTGGTCTATCTTTCTGGTCTCTCTCTCTGGTCTCTCGCTCTCTGGTCTCTCTCTGGTCTCTCTCTGGTCTCTCTCTGGTCTCTCTCTCTGGTCTCTCTCTCTGGTCTCTCTCTCTGGTCTCTCTCTGGTCTCTCTCTCTGCTCTTATATTTCTGGTCCTGGTTCCTGGTTCTGGTTCTGGTTCATGGTCCTGGTTCATGGTCCTGGTTCATGGTCCTGGTTCATGGTCCGGTCTTGTTCCAGAGGCAGAGTGTCTTTGGGCTGACACGGAGCTGAACCGCAGGAGGAAGATCTTCTGCTCCAAAGTGGAAGGTTACGGAAGTATCTGCAGCTGCAAGGACCCGGCCCCCATCGAGTTCAACCCAGAACCGGTGAGAGACCCAGACCCAGACCTAGACCCAGACCCGGACCTAGACCCAGACCTGGACCCAGACCCAGACCTGACCTAGACCTATCTGCAGCTGCAAGGACCTGGCCCCCATCGAGTTCAACCCAGATAGACCCAGATCTGGATCCAGACAGACCTGGACTCAGACCAAAACTTCTCTTGAGATCTTCTTGATCACCGTAACAGAGACCCACAGAGACCCGCTGCAGAGACCCCCCGCAGAGACCCCCCGCAGAGACCCCCCGCAGAGACCCCCCGCAGAGACCCCCCGCTGAGACCCGCAGACAGACACAAATAAAATCCTGTTTTTGTCTCAGCTGCAGAATAACAAAGTGTTGGACGTCCCTGTGGCTGTGATCGCAGGAAACAGACCCAACTACCTCTACAGGTGAGACCAGAACGAGTCATACAGGTGAGACCAGCACGAGTCATACAGGTGAGAGACCAGCACGAGTCATACAGGTGAGAGACCAGCACGAGTCATACAGGTGAGACCAGAACGAGTCATACAGGTGAGACCAGCACGAGTCATACAGGTGAGAGACCAGCACGAGTCATACAGGTGAGACCAGCACGAGTCATACAGGTGAGAGACCAGCACGAGTCATACAGGTGAGACCAGCACGAGTCATACAGGTGAGAGACCAGCACGAGTCATACAGGTGAGAGACCAGCACGAGTCATACAGGTGAGACCAGAACGAGTCATACAGGTGAGACCAGCACGAGTCATACAGGTGAGAGACCAGCACGAGTCATACAGGTGAGACCAGCACGAGTCATACAGGTGAGACCAGCACGAGTCATACAGGTGAAAGACCAGCACGAGTCATACAGGTGAGACCAGCACGAGTCATACAGGTGAGAGACCAGCACGAGTCATACAGGTGAGACCAGCACGAGTCATACAGGTGAGAGACCAGCACGAGTCATACAGGTGAGAGACCAGCACGAGTCATACAGGTGAGACCAGAACGAGTCATACAGGTGAGACCAGCACGAGTCATACAGGTGAGAGACCAGCACGAGTCATACAGGTGAGACCAGCACGAGTCATACAGGTGAGACCAGCACGAGTCATACAGGTGAGACCAGCACGAGTCATACAGGTGAAAGACCAGCACGAGTCATACAGGTGAAAGACCAGCACGAGTCATACAGGTGAGACCAGCACGAGTCATACAGGTGAGAGACCAGCACGAGTCATACAGGTGAGACCAGCACGAGTCATACAGGTGAGAGACCAGCACGAGTCATACAGGTGAGACCAGAACGAGTCATACAGGTGAGACCAGCACGAGTCATACAGGTGAGAGACCAGCACGAGTCATACAGGTGAGACCAGCACGAGTCATACAGGTGAGACCAGCACGAGTCATACAGGTGAAAGACCAGCACGAGTCATACAGGTGAGACCAGCACGAGTCATACAGGTGAGAGACCAGCACGAGTCATACAGGTGAGACCAGCACGAGTCATACAGGTGAGAGACCAGCACGAGTCATACAGGTGAGACCAGCACGAGTCATACAGGTGAGAGACCAGCACGAGTCATACAGGTGAGACCAGCACGAGTCATACAGGTGAGAGACCAGCACGAGTCATACAGGTGAGACCAGCACGAGTCATACAGGTGAGAGACCAGCACGAGTCATACAGGTGAGAGACCAGCACGAGTCATACAGTTGAGACCAGCACGAGTCATACAGTTGAGACCAGAACGAGTCATACAGGTGAGAGACCAGCACGAGTCATACAGGTGAGAGACCAGCACGAGTCATACAGGTGAGACCAGCACGAGTCATACAGGTGAGAGACCAGCACGAGTCATACAGGTGAGACCAGCACGAGTCATACAGGTGAGAGACCAGCACGAGTCATACAGTTGAGACCAGCACGAGTCATACAGTTGAGACCAGAACGAGTCATACAGGTGAGAGACCAGCACGAGTCATACAGGTGAGAGACCAGCACGAGTCATACAGGTGAGAGACCAGCACGAGTCATACAGGTGAGACCAGCACGAGTCATACAGGTGAGAGACCAGCACGAGTCATACAGGTGAGACCAGCACGAGTCATACAGGTGAGAGACCAGCACGAGTCATACAGGTGAGAGACCAGCACGAGTCATACAGGTGAGACCAGAACGAGTCATACAGGTGAGACCAGCACGAGTCATACAGGTGAGAGACCAGCACGAGTCATACAGGTGAGACCAGCACGAGTCATACAGGTGAAAGACCAGCACGAGTCATACAGGTGAGCACCAGCACGAGTCATACAGGTGAGAGACCAGCACGAGTCATACAGGTGAGACCAGCACGAGTCATACAGGTGAGAGACCAGCACGAGTCATACAGGTGAGACCAGCACGAGTCATACAGGTGAGAGACCAGCACGAGTCATACAGGTGAGACCAGCACGAGTCATACAGGTGAGAGACCAGCACGAGTCATACAGGTGAGACCAGCACGAGTCATACAGGTGAGAGACCAGCACGAGTCATACAGGTGAGAGACCAGCACGAGTCATACAGTTGAGACCAGCACGAGTCATACAGTTGAGACCAGAACGAGTCATACAGGTGAGAGACCAGCACGAGTCATACAGGTGAGAGACCAGCACGAGTCATACAGGTGAGACCAGCACGAGTCATACAGGTGAGAGACCAGCACGAGTCATACAGGTGAGAGACCAGCACGAGTCATACAGTTGAGACCAGCACGAGTCATACAGTTGAGACCAGAACGAGTCAATACAGGTGAGAGACCAGCACGAGTCATACAGGTGAGAGACCAGCACGAGTCATACAGGTGAGAGACCAGCACGAGTCATACAGGTGAGAGACCAGCACGAGTCATACAGGTGAGAGACCAGCACGAGTCATACAGGTGAGAGACCAGCACGAGTCATACAGGTGAGAGACCAGCACGAGTCATACAGGTGAGAGACCAGCACGAGTCATACAGGTGAGACCAGCACGAGTCATACAGGTGAGAGACCAGCACGAGTCATACAGGTGAGAGACCAGCACGAGTCATACAGGTGAGAGACCAGCACGAGTCATACAGGTGAGAGACCAGCACCAGTCATACAGGTGAGACCAGCACGAGTCATACAGGTGAGAGACCAGCACGAGTCATACAGGTGAGAGACTGAGACTGATAACATGTGTTATTTAGACTAAAGTTACAGACCTGAGCTTTAAACATGTGTTATTTAGACTAAAGTTACAGACCTGAGCTTTAAACACATGTTGTTGCAGGATGCTGAGGTCTCTGCTCTCGGCTCATGGAGTGAATCCTCACATGATCACAGTCTTCATCGACGGATACTACGAGGTACGAACACACCAGGACTAAACCAGGACTAAAAGAGGTCTAAAGCAGGTCTAAGGCAAGACTAAACCAGGTCTAATGCAGGTCTAACCTCTGTCCAGGAGCCCATGGATGTAGTGGAGCTGTTTGGCCTGAAGGGGGTGCAGCACACACCAATCAGCATCAAGAACGCCCGTGTGTCCCAGGTAAGAGCCAATCACAGGCCTCCTCCTTCAGAGCCAATCACAGGCCTTGTCCTTCAGAGCCAATCACAGGCCTCGTCCTTCAGAGCCAATCACAGGCCTCCTCCTTCAGAGCCAATCACAGGCCTCGTCCTTCAGAGCCAATCACAGGCCTCCTCCTTCAGAGCCAATCACAGGCCTCCTCCCTCAGAGACAATCACAGGCCTTCTCCTTTAGAGCCAATCACAGTCCTCCTCCCTCAGAGCCAATCACAGGCCTCCTCATTCAGAGCCAATCACAGGCCTCCTCCCTTAGAGCCAATCACAGGCCTCGTCCTTCAGAGCCAATCACAGGCCTCGTCCTTCAGAGCCAATCACAGGCCTCGTCCTTCAGAGCCAATCACAGGCCTCAGAGCCAATCACAGGCCTCGTCCTTCAGAGCCAATCACAGGCCTCCTCCCTTAGAGCCAATCACAGGCCTCCTCCTGAAGGAACAAAACCCTGATCCTGACTTTGTTTTGCAGCATTACAAAGCCTCTCTGACCGCCACCTTCAACCTGCACCCGGTGAGTCCCCAGAGCTCTGAGTGCAGACGCTGCTCCCTCCCTCTTCACCAAAGCACACTGGGGTAGTCTTGCACAGTTTTTCCAATGTGGTTTTACTGAAAATGGCAAATAAATGAATCTGAATCTGATCTGAATCTGAATCTGAAACAGTACCACACACCACTGCAGACCCGTGTTTTCTGACCCGTGTCAACCAAAGCTTCAGCTCCAAATGTGAATGGATTGTTTTTAACCACAGTTTCTGAGACCAGAGAGAGAGACCAGAGAGAGAGACCAGAGAGAGAGACCAGACCAGAGAGACCAGACCAGAGAGACCAGACCAGAGACCAGACCAGAGAGACCAGACCAGAGAGACCAGACCCCAGAGACCGGACCCCAGAGACCGGACCCCAGAGACCGGACCCCAGAGACCGGACCCCAGAGACCGGACCCCAGAGACCGGACCCCAGAGACCGGACCCCAGAGACCGGACCCCAGAGACCGGACCCCAGAGACCGGACCCCAGAGACCGGACCCCAGAGACCGGACCCCAGAGACCGGACCCCAGAGACTGTAACATGTGCTGTCTGCAGGAGGCCAACCACGCCATCGTCCTGGAGGAGGACCTGGACGTCTCTGTGGACTTCTTCAGGTAAAACACTGCTGCAGTACCACTGTGTGTTGTGTATGTAGACCAGTGGGGGAGGGTCCCAGCTCAAAAGTGTCCAAAATGACGTGCGCTGACATGCTGCAGTACCACCCCGGTCCTGTGGGGGTGGACCCAGAAGTAGAATTAGCCAATGCTAACATATAGCATCAGCTCCGTTCCACATGTGTGTCAATGCTGAGGGGGGTGAATTTATTTGGTCCACTCTAGTTTAGTCGCTGTGAATTTTTGAAGTCTCTCGTTCAAATGAATGGAGCTGCGCCGACCCTAACCCATTTCACATTTTTTGGATAGCTCCAGTAGAGCACATTTTTTGGCCCATTAGTTAGAACAGCGGAGATAGGCGTGACTCTGTCCATTAATATATACAGTCTATGGTGTAGACCAGAGAGACCAGAGAGAGAGACCAGAGAGAGAGACCAGAGAGAGAGACCAGAGAGAGAGACCAGAGAGAGAGACCAGAGAGAGACCAGAGAGAGAGACCAGAGAGAGAGAGACCAGAGAGAGAGAGACCAGAGAGAGAGACCAGAGAGAGACCAGAGAGACCAGAGAGAGACCAGAGAGAGAGACCAGAGAGAGAGACCAGAGAGAGAGACCAGAGAGAGAGACCAGAGAGAGAGAGACCAGAGAGAGAGAGACCAGAGAGAGAGAGACCAGAGAGAGAGACCAGAGAGAGAGACCAGAGAGAGAGAGACCAGAGAGAGAGAGACCAGAGAGAGAGAGACCAGAGAGAGAGAGACCAGAGAGAGAGACCAGAGAGAGACCAGAGAGAGACCAGAGAGAGACCAGAGAGAGAGACCAGAGAGAGAGACCAGAGAGAGAGACCAGAGAGAGAGACCAGAGAGAGAGACCAGAGAGAGAGAGACCAGAAAGAGAGACCAGAGAGAGAGACCAGAGAGAGAGAGACCAGAGAGAGACCAGAGAGAGAGACCAGAGAGAGAGAGAGACCAGAGAGATAGAGAGAGACCAGAGAGAGAGACCAGAGAGAGAGACTAGCGAGAGAGACCAGCGAGAGAGACCAGAGAGAGACACCAGAGAGAGAGACCAGAGAGAGAGACCAGAGAGAGACCAGAGAGAGACCAGAGAGAGAGACCAGAGAGAGACCAGAGACAGAGACCAGAGAGAGAGACCAGAGAGAGAGACCAGAGAGAGAGACCAGAGAGAGAGACCAGAGAGAGAGACCAGAGAGAGACCAGAGAGAGACCAGAGAGAGAGACCAGAGAGAGAGACCAGAGAGAGAGACCAGAGAGAGAGACTAGCGAGAGACCAGCGAGAGACACCAGAGAGAGACACCAGAGAGAGAGACCAGAGAGAGAGACCAGAGAGAGACCAGAGAGAGACCAGAGAGAGAGACCAGAGAGAGACCAGAGACAGAGACCAGAGAGAGAGACCAGAGAGAGAGACCAGAGAGAGAGACCAGAGAGAGAGACCAGAGAGAGAGACCAGAGAGAGAGACCAGAGAGAGACCAGAGAGAGACCAGAGAGAGAGACCAGAGAGAGACCAGAGAGAGAGACCAGAGAGAGAGACCAGAGAGAGAGACCAGAGAGAGAGACCAGAGAGAGAGACCAGAGAGAGAGACCAGAGAGAGAGACCAGAGAGAGAGACCAGAGAGAGAGACCAGAGAGAGAGACCAGAGAGAGACCAGAGAGAGAGACCAGAGAGAGAGACCAGCTCTCTCTGCTGCAGTACTATTGTGTGTTGTGTATGACATGTTTAAAGCTGGGGTTTGTAACATTAGTGAACTTATAAAACCAGGGACGAGTGACGGATTGTTGTGGTCTGAAAGTTACGTTCCACAGCTTTAATCTGAGCTTGTTATTATTTGAAAATGAAATAATTGATTGTGTTTCAGTTTCCTGAGTCAGACCATCCACCTGCTGGACGAGGACGACAGTCTGTACTGCATCTCCGCCTGGAACGACCTGGTACTGAACCATCACCTGGTCTCTCTCTGGTCTCTATAGTCCCTGGTTCCACTCTCTGGTCTCTCATCTCTCTCTCTCTCTAGTGTCTCTCTGGTCTCTATTGTACCTAGTCCCTGGTCTTTCTGGTCCCTGGTCTCTATGGTCGTTGGTCTCTCTGGTCTCTCTGGTCTCTATGGTTCCTGGTCTCTCTGGTTGCTCTGGTCTCTGGTCTCTCTGGTCCCTGGTCTCTCTGGTCTCTATGGTCCCTGGTCTCCCTGGTCTCTCTGGTCTCTGGTCTCCATGGTCCCTGGTCTCTCTGGTCTCTATGGTCCCTGGTCTCCCTGGTCTCTATGGTCCCTGGTCTCTCTGGTCCCTGGTCTCTCTTGTCTCTATGGTCTCCGTGGTCTCTCTGGTCCCTGGTCTCTCTGGTCTCCCTGGTCCCTGGTCTCCCTGGTCTCTCTGGTTTCTCTGGTCCCTGGTCTCCCTGGTCTCTGGTCTCTCTGGTCCCTGGTCTCTCTGGTCCCTGGTCTTTCTGGTCCCTGGTCTCTATGGTCCCTGGTCTCCCTGGTCTCTCTGGTCTCCCTGGTCTCCCTGGTCTCCCTGGTCTCCATGGTCCCTGGTCTCCCTGGTCTCCCTGGTCTCCCTGGTCTCTGGTCTCCATGGTCCCTGGTCTCTCTGGTCTCTATGGTCCCTGGTCTCCCTGGTCTCTCTGGTCTCTGGTCTCTCTGGTCCCTGGTCTCTGGTCTCCATGGTCCCTGGTCTCCATGGTCCCTGGTCTCTCTGGTCCCTGGTCTCTGGTCTCCATGGTCCCTGGTCTCTCTGGTCTCTGGTCTCCATGGTCCCTGGTCTCTCTGGTCCCTGGTCTCTGGTCTCCATGGTCCCTGGTCTCTCTGGTCCCTGGTCTCTGGTCTCTGGTCTCCATGGTCCCTGGTCTCTCTGGTCTCTGGTCTCTGGTCTCTGGTCTCCATGGTCCCTGGTCTCCATGGTCCCTGGTCTAATCATAGTAAACATCCTGAGGTCTGGACAGAAGTGGATCATAACAAATGTCCTCATGTTTCAGTCCGATCCTGGTCCTCCTCCCAGCCCTGTGGACCCAGATCAGGTCTCTGAGCTGGCTCCACTGAGGACCTGAGGCGGCTTGGCTCTGGTCTCAGGTCTCCGGTCCTGGTCTCAGTCCTGGTCTGGTTTTAGTCTGACACAAAAGAGGAATTTAAAAACTCACATTTCACTGAAACAGAAGCGACGTCTTCAGGCGCCGAGCGAAGGTCACGCAAATGTTTTTACATTTGTGGAAAAGTCCTGCTTTAGTCCTGCTTTAGTCCTGCTTTAGTCCTGCTTTAGACCTGCTTTAGTCCTGCTTTAGTCCTGCTTTAGTCCTGCTTTAGTCCTGCTTTAGACCTGCTTTAGTCCTGCTTTAGTCCTGCTTTAGACCTGCTTTAGTCCTGCTTTAGTCCTGCTTTAGACCTGCTTTAGTCCTGCTTTAGACCTGCTTTAGTCCTGCTTTAGTCCTGCTTTAGACCTGCTTTAGACCTGCTTTAGTCCTGCTTTAGTCCTGCTTTAGTCCTGCTTTAGACCTGCTTTAGTCCTGCTTTAGACCTGCTTTAGACCTGCTTTGGACCTGCTTTAGACCTGCTTTAGACCTGCTTTAGACCTGATTTAGACCTGCTTTAGACCTGCTTTAGACCTGCTTTAGTCCTGCTTTAGTCCTGCTTTAGTCCTGCTTTAGACCTGCTTTAGACCTGCTTTAGACCTGCTTTAGACCTGCTGTAGTCCTGCTTTAGACCTGCTTTAGTCCTGCTTTAGTCCTGCTTTAGACCTGCTTTAGACCTGCTTTAGACCTGCTTTAGTCCTGCTTTAGACCTGCTTTAGACCTAAAAGTAAAGAGTCTGGACCACTGCAAACTTACCAAGACAAGGTCACCTTCCTAAGGCCTCTGGTTAAACTCAAACGATGAACCTGCAGATAAAGGCCATGGACTGATCAGGAAGGACCAGGACCAGGATCAAGACCATAAGACCAGGGTTGAGATCAGGGTTGAGATCAGGGTTGGGACCAGGGTTGGGACCAGGGTTGGGACCAGGGTTGGGACCAGGGTTGGGACCAGGGTTGGGACCAGTGTTAGGACCAGGGTTGGGACCAGTGTTAGGACCAAGGTTAGGACCAGGGTTGGGACCAGGGATGGGACCAGTGTTAGGACCAGTGTTAGGACCAGTGTTAGGACCAGTGTTAGGACCAGTGTTAGGACCAGTGTTAGGACCAGTGTTAGGACCAAGGTTAGGACCAGGGTTGGGACCAGGGATGGGACCAGTGTTAGGACCAGTGTTAGGACCAGTGTTAGGACCAGTGTTAGGACCAGTGTTAGGACCAGTGTTAGGACCAGTGTTAGGACCAGTGTTAGGACCAGTGTTAGGACCAAGGTTGGGACCAGGGTTAGGACCAGGGTTGGGACCAGGGTTGGGACCAGGGTTGGGACCAGGGTTGGGACCAGGGTTGGGACTCGTGTGTGTCTGGGCCTGGCTGAGGTTTCTCACTTCCTCCCACTGGGTTTGTAGAGTTCTTTAGGCTCTAAGGACAGTGAGGATCCGGGAGGCGTGATGTCATTTCCTGTTAAGGCAGATCAGCCCGTTCACTTCCTGTCTGTGCTGTCCTGTGGCTTTTAGGTGGGTTTTAGTGACGTTTTTAGTAATTAGATCGATACATTCAGCTGAGACTGACCCAAAAGTGTGGCTGTGCTTTCTCTCTGAGGTAGAGCTGTGACTGTGGCCACTCAGAGAGATTTTTAAACTTTATAAAAACACAATGACAGCACAATCAAAGAGCACTTCTGTGTCCCACAATGCACTGCTTCCTCACAGTTTAATTTAGTTTGAGCATTATTTGGGAAACTCGTGTTAACCGCTGCTGAACTCCAGTGAAACTCAGGCCTTCCTCGCGCACAGGAAGTGAAGTGGTGCAGTAGAGTCCATTCCATTTATTCTACTGGAAAAACCAGTGACTTCTCCAACACAGATTAGAAAATCAGTTAAACACAGGAAACGTGATGATGAAAAACACAGAGACATTGGACCATGAGGTCTCCCTGGTCCCTCTCTGCCTCTCATGGTCTCTGCTCTTCATGGTCTGCCTCTCATGGTCTCTGCCTCTCATGGTCTCTGCCTCTCATGGTCTCTGCCCTTCATGGTCTCTGCGCTTCATGGTCTCTGCCTCTCATGGTCTCTGCCTCTCATGGTCTCTGCCTCTCATGGTCTCTGCCCCTCATGGTCTCTGCCCCTCATGGTCTCTGCTCTTCATGGTCTCTGCCTCTCATGGTCTCTGCCTCTCATGGTCTCTGCCTCTCATGGTCTCTGCCTCTCATGGTCTCTGCCCTTCATGGTCTCTGCTCTTCATGGTCTCTGCCTCTCATGGTCTCTGCCCTTCATGGTCTCTGCGCTTCATGGTCTCTGCCTCTCATGGTCTCTGCCTCTCATGGTCTCTGCCTCTCATGGTCTCTGCCTCTCATGGTCTCTGCCTCTCATGGTCTCTGCCTCTCATGGTCTCTGCCCCTCATGGTCTCTGCCCCTCATGGTCTCTGCTCTTCATGGTCTCTGCCTCTCATGGTCTCTGCCTCTTATGGTCTCTGCCCTTCATGGTCTCTGCCCTTCATGGTCTCTGCCCTTCATGGTCTCTGCCTCTCATGGTCTCTGCCCTTCATGGTCTCTGTGCTTCATGGTCTCTGTGCTTCATGGTCTCTGCTCTTCATGGTCTCTGCCCTTCATGGTCTCTGCCCTTCATGGTCTCTGTGTGTCTCCAGGGTTACGAGCACACAGCTGAGGACCCCTCGCTCCTGTACCGGGTGGAGTCCATGCCGGGTCTGGGCTGGGTCCTGAAGAGGAGTCTGTACAAGGACGAGCTTGAGGCAAAGTGGCCCACCCCCGAGAAGGTACCACTTCTGGTCTCACCTGGTCTCTCTCTGGTCTGATGTCTCTCTCTGGTCTTTCTGGACTCTCTCTGGTCCCTCCCTCTGGTCTCTCTCTGGTATTTCTCTGGTCTCACCTGTTATCACCTGGTTCCACCTGGTCTCTCTCTGGTCTCTCTCTTTGGTCTCTCTCTGGTCTCTCTCTCTGGTCTCACCTGGTCTCTCTCTCTGGTCTCTCTCTCTGGCCTTTCTTTGGTCTCTCTCTGGTCTCACCTGGTCCCTCTCTCTCTGGTCTCTCTCTGGTCTCTCTCTGGTCTCTCTCTGGTCTCTCTTTGGTCTCTCTCTGGTCTCTCTCTGGTCTCTCTCTGGTCTCTCTCTGGTCTCTCTCTCTGGTCTCTCTCTGGTCTCTCTCTGGTCTCTCTTTGGTCTCTCTCTGGTCTCTCTGGTCTCTCTCTGGTCTCTCTTTGGTCTCTCTCTGGTCTCTCTCTGGTCTCTCTCTGGTCTCTCTCTGGTCTCTCTCTGGTCTCACCTGGTCTCACCTGGTCCCTGGTCTCTGGTCTGTCTCAGTTGTGGGACTGGGACATGTGGATGCGGATGCCTGAGCAGAGAAAAGGTCGAGAGTGTGTGATCCCAGACGTGTCGCGGTCGTATCACTTCGGGATCATCGGCCTCAACATGAACGGGTACTTCCACGTGAGTCCAGACCTGTTTTAGTCCTGCTTTAGACCTGCTTTAGACCTGCTTTAGACCTGCTTTAGTCCTGCTTTAGTCCTGCTTTAGTCCTGCTTTAGACCTGCTTTAGACCTGCTTTAGTCCTGCTTTAGTCCTGCTTTAGACCTGCTTTAGTCCTGCTTTAGTCCTGCTTTAGTCCTGCTTTAGACCTGCTTTAGACCTGCTTTAGACCTGCTTTAGTCCTGCTTTAGTCCTGCTTTAGTCCTGCTTTAGACCTGCTTTAGACCTGCTTTAGACCTGCTTTAGTCCTGCTTTAGTCCTGCTTTAGTCCTGCTTTAGTCCTGCTTTAGTCCTGCTTTAGACCTGCTTTAGTCCTGCTTTAGTCCTGCTTTAGACCTGCTTTAGACCTGCTTTAGTCCTGCTTTAGTCCTGCTTTAGACCTGCTTTAGACCTGCTTTAGACCTGCTTTAGACCTGCTTTAGACCTGCTTTAGTCCTGCTTTAGTCCTGCTTTCAGACCTGGTCCAGACCTGGTCCAGACCTGGTTTCTCTTGCAGGAGGTCTACTTTAAGAAGCACAAGCTGAACACAGTTCCTCTGGTGGAACTCAGAGACGTGGACAGTCTGAAGAAGGAGGAGTACGAGACCGAGCTGCTGAGGCTGCTGAGGTGAGGGGGGGGGCTGAGGTGAGGGAGATGAGGGGGGAGAGGGGGGAGGGAGATCTGAGGGGAGGGAGGGCAGGCAGTAGGGTGAGAGAACCCAGGCAGCAGCGGCCTGTGTGTCCTGGAGTGTATTACATGTGTGTACTCGAGTACATTGTGTACTTGTACTTCAGGATAGCAGAGGTCCTGGACCACTCCCTGGACCCCTGTGAGGACTCGTTTGTTCCAGACTCTGAGGGAAAAACCTTCATTATGTTCATACGGATGGAGACCGAGACCGAGACCGAGACCTGGACCGAGCTGGCCAAGGTACAAGTGCTAATGCTAATGCTAATGTTGCTACTGCTGCTACTGTTGCTATTGTTAATACTTTGTGTATTGTGTGTGCGTGTGTCTGTGCGTGTGTGTATTGTGTGTGTTACAGTGTATTCATGTGTGGGACCTGGACGTTCGTGGGAACCATCGTGGACTCTGGAGACTGTTCATGAAGAAGAACCACATCCTGGTGGTGGCAGTGCCCCTGTCCCCCTACAGGTCTGTACTGATACTACTGCTACTACTACTGCTACTGCTACTACTGCTACTACTGCTACTGCTACTACTGCTACTACTACTACTACTACTGCTACTGCTGCTACTATTACTGATACTACTACTACTGCTACTGCTACTGCTGCTGCTGCTGCTGCTGCTGCTGCTGATGATGCTCGACTACTTTTGTTTGTGCAGTTGGAAAAAGCCGGCCTCAGTGACTCCAATTCACCTGGAGCCTCCACCCAAAGAAGAACCAGCGGTGGAGCAGGTGTAGAGACCAGGGAGATGGAGAGAGACCAGAGAGAAAGACCAGAGTCTGTCCAAGGGGAATGGGACATCATCTACTGGAGACCCTGCAGCTGTTCAGACACATGCACAGACTCAGGTTCGGGTCGACTTCATCTCCAAACAGTGTTGTCATGACGACTGTTGTATTTGCCCTGAGACTGCAGGGAAATTGTGCATCTGCTTTAACACTGGAAACCACTCGGACCCTTCAGCTGCTCTGGCCCTTCAGCTGCTCAGGCCCTGCAGCTGCTCTGGCCCTGCAGCTGCTCAGGCCCTGCAGCTGCTCAGGCCCTGCAGCTGCTCAGGCCCTGCAGCTGCTCAGGCCCTGCAGCTGCTCTGGCCCTGCAGCTGCTCAGGCCCTGCAGCTGCTCAGGCCCTGCAGCTGCTCAGGCCCTGCAGCTGCTCAGGCCCTGCAGCTGCTCTGGCCCTGCAGCTGCTCTGGCCCTGCAGCTGCTCTGGCCCTGCAGCTGCTCAGGCCCTGCAGCTGCTCAGGCCCTGCAGCTGCTCTACTCACCAGGGATCTGTTCAGGACATCAGGAAATCACAGCTTCTGCAACCGTTCAGACCCTGCAGCCGTTCAGACCCTGCAGTTGTTCAGACCCTGCAGCCGCTCAGACCCTGCAGCCGTTCAGACCCTGCAGCCGTTCAGAGCCACAGTGACTGAGGAGAGACGTGTTTGAGTGACTCGTGCTGAGATCTGACTGAAGATCAGTTTGTTGTTTGAAGAGTTGAATGTAGTTTATATTTTTGAGAAATAAAAAAGCCTTTTATAATCTGTGTCACTGTGTTTCAATAACGTTATGAATAAGATGTTTAAACCTCCAACACCAGGACCAGGTTTTGGTTCCAGTCCTTAGTCTGGTCTCTGGGCCAGGATCAGGGCTGGTCCATAGTCCGGTCTCTGGACCAGGTCAGGGCTGGTCCTCAGTCCGGTCTCTGGTTTCCTGTGGTGGTTTTGTGGTGGAAAGCCTTTAGTTTTGTTTATGACCTTCAGCTGCTTCAGTTTAATGATGTCAAAGATGTTGGATTTTAAACATCTTTAAATCATGTTTTCCCTCATGAATAATTCAATGTATTTAAATAGCACCGACTGAAAGTACAGGACAGATCGTCATGTGTACTTTCACTGTACAGATGCAGCAGGTCACCTACAGGGGGCGCTACTGCTCATATCCATCGCATGCGCGGGCGGGAGCCGGCTGCAAGTTGCATCGCTCTCCCTTTTCTCACTTTTTTACTTTTTCGGTAACTGCTGTTATAATACAGACAGATTACATCTATAATATTTTCAAGATAGAGATTTTATACTTATTATTGATGCTAGAGTTAGATTGTTTTTATTTTGATTAGTATAGCTATTGTTCAGGTAACGTGTGCCGTGTGCTCCTCTTTCCTACTGTTCTATAACTTGTGATGCAACACTGAAATTTCCCCACTGTGGGACAAATAAAGGATCTCTTAATCTAATACATGTTTACTGAGAGGGTTAGCCAGGAGCACCTGGAGGAATCCTATGCAGATTCCACATGTAGAGGCACAGTCTGGAGGTGGTCTTGAACCCATGACCTTCACAGTGGACACTCTCTCCCTCGTGATTAGGGTCTGTGGAAATGACAACACAGACCTTGCAGCTGTTCAGCTCAGACCACAACACAGAGTCGCAGGAGTCTGTTATATTTTATTTTATTTGTTCAGATCTACAAGATACACTCAAAGAGTAGTATACTATAAAATACTCTTAATGCAGGAGTATTCTGGCGACTCTGATGAGGCTGGGGGTTCAACTCCTGCTGCTGCTGTGCCTTTGAGCCTCGTGTGGAACCTTCAACTGATGCGTTTGTCGAGATGACAGTAAAGGTACATGGACACAATCATCGCAGCAATCTGAAAACACAAGAAGTAGAAGTATTAGTAGCAGTAGCAGTAGTAGTAGTAGTAGTAGTAGCCGCAGTAGTAGTAGTAGTGGTAGCAGTAGTAGTAGCAGTAGTAGTGGTAGTAGTAGTGGTAGCAGTAGTAGTAGTAGTGGTAGTAGTAGTGGTAGCAGTAGTAGTAGTAGTAGTAGCCGCAGTAGCAGTAGTAGTAGTAGTAGTAGTAGCCGCAGTAGCAGTAGCAGTAGTAGTGGTAGCAGTAGCAGTAGCAGTAGTAGTAGTAGCAGTAGTAGTGGTAGTAGTAGTAGTAGTAGTAGCAGTAGTAGTGGTAGTAGTAGTGGTAGCAGTAGTAGTAGTAGTGGTAGTAGCAGTAGCAGTAGCAGTAGCAGTAGTAGTAGTAGCAGTAGCAGTAGTAGTAGTAGTAGTAGTAGTAGCAGTAGCAGTAGTAGTAGTAGTAGTATTACTTCCAAAACTCCGATTCCAGCAGCGATTCCTCCCACGATGTTTGCGTGTTCTTGAAGAGAAATGAGAATCTGCTCAAAACAGCCCTGAAACCAGAGGTCAAAGGTCAGGAGCAGGAACTGTACGGGGGGCGCTCCACAGGGGGCGCCCTGGGTCTAGGCCCTGGGTCAGGGTCAGGGTCAGGGTCAGGGTCTGGGTCTGGGTCTGGGTCTGGGTCTGGGTCTGGGTCTGGGTCTGGGTCTGGGTCTGGCTCACCTTCATGTTACTCCGCTCCGCCTCCTCCGCTCCACAGGGGGCGCTCTGGGTCCAGCAGCAGCTCGGAGGGAAGTGTCCCTGAGTCATCGCCTCGAACTTTGACCCCTGGAAGTCTGTGAAGTTTGTGAAGCCGCAACACGACAGCTGCAACACAACAACAGTAACACAACTGTAACACAACTGCAACACAACAGCAACACAACAGTAACACAACTGTAAAATAACTGTAAAACAACACGACAACTGCAACACAACAACAGTAACACAACAGTAACACAACTGCAACACAACAGCAACACAACAGTAACACAAGTGTAACACAACTGCAACACAACAGCAACACAACACGACAACTGCAACACAACAGCACAACTGCAACACAACACGACAACTGTAACACAACAACACAATAATACACTACTTTTGAGCCTGGTTCTAAAGTCGGGGGGATTTTCATGTGGACAGAGCTTGTGTTCCTCCTACATTCTGACAGCTCTTACCTCAATCATAGTGTTCGTCGTACAGTCTGACTCACCTCGGTCATGGTGGTGTTCGTCGTACAGTCTGACTCACCTCGGTCATGGTGGTGTTCGTCGTACAGTCTGACTCACCTCGGTCATGGTGTGTGTTCGTCGTACAGTCTGACTCACCTCGGTCATGGTGGTGTTCGTCGTACAGTCTGACTCACCTCGGTCATGGTGGTGTTCGTCGTACAGTCTGACTCACCTCGGTCATGGTGGTGTTCGTCGTACAGTCTGACTCACCTCGGTCATGGTGGTGTTCGTCGTACAGTCTGACTCACCTCGTCATGGTGGTGTTCGTCGTACAGTCTGACTCACCTCGTCATGGTGGTGTTCGTCGTACAGTCTGACTCACCTCGGTCACGGTGGTGTTCGTCGTACAGTCTGACTCACCTCGGTCATGGTGTGTGTTCGTCGTACAGTCTGACTCACCTCGGTCACGGTGGTGTTCGTTGTACAGTCTGACTCACCTCGGTCATGGTGGTGTTCGTCGTACAGTCTGACTCACCTCGGTCATGGTGTGTGTTCGTCGTACAGTCTGACTCACCTCGGTCACGGTGGTGTTCGCCGTACAGTCTGACTCACCTCGGTCATGGTGGTGTTCGTTGTACAGTCTGACTCACCTCGGTCATGGTGTGTGTTCGTCGTACAGTCTGACTCACCTCGGTCACGGTGGTGTTCGTCGTACAGTCTGACTCACCTCGGTCACGGTGGTGTTCGTCGTACAGTCTGACTCACCTCGGTCATGGTGTGTGTTCGTCGTACAGTCTGACTCACCTCGGTCATGGTGGTGTTCGCCGTACAGTCTGACTCACCTCGGTCATGGCGGTGTTCGTCGTACAGTCTGACTCACCTCGGTCACGGTGGTGTTCGTCGTACAGTCTGACTCACCTCGTCATGGTGGTGTTCGTCGTACAGTCTGACTCACCTCGGTCATGGTGTATGTTCGTCGTACAGTCTGACTCACCTCGGTCATGGTGTGTGTTCGTCGTACAGTCTGACTCACCTCGGTCACGGTGGTGTTCGTCGTACAGTCTGACTCACCTCGGTCATGGTGGTGTTCGTCGTACAGTCTGACTCACCTCGGTCACGGTGGTGTTCGTCGTACAGTCTGACTCACCTCGGTCATGGTGGTGTTCGTCGTACAGTCTGACTCACCTCGGTCATGGTGGTGTTCGTCGTACAGTCTGACTCACCTCGTCATGGTGGTGTTCGTCGTACAGTCTGACTCACCTCGTCATGGTGGTGTTCGTCGTACAGTCTGACTCACCTCGGTCACGGTGGTGTTCGTCGTACAGTCTGACTCACCTCGGTCATGGTGTGTGTTCGTCGTACAGTCTGACTCACCTCGGTCATGGTGGTGTTCGTCGTACAGTCTGACTCACCTCGGTCATGGTGTGTGTTCGTCGTACAGTCTGACTCACCTCGGTCACGGTGGTGTTCGCCGTACAGTCTGACTCACCTCGGTCATGGTGGTGTTCGTTGTACAGTCTGACTCACCTCGGTCATGGTGTGTGTTCGTCGTACAGTCTGACTCACCTCGGTCACGGTGGTGTTCGTCGTACAGTCTGACTCACCTCGGTCATGGTGGTGTTCGTCGTACAGTCTGACTCACCTCGGTCATGGTGTGTGTTCGTCGTACAGTCTGACTCACCTCGGTCACGGTGGTGTTCGCCGTACAGTCTGACTCACCTCGGTCATGGTGGTGTTCGTTGTACAGTCTGACTCACCTCGGTCACGGTGGTGTTCGTCGTACAGTCTGACTCACCTCGGTCACGGTGGTGTTCGTCGTACAGTCTGACTCACCTCGGTCATGGTGTGTGTTCGTCGTACAGTCTGACTCACCTCGGTCATGGTGGTGTTCGCCGTACAGTCTGACTCACCTCGGTCATGGCGGTGTTCGTCGTACAGTCTGACTCACCTCGGTCACGGTGGTGTTCGTCGTACAGTCTGACTCACCTCGTCATGGTGGTGTTCGTCGTACAGTCTGACTCACCTCGGTCATGGTGTATGTTCGTCGTACAGTCTGACTCACCTCGGTCATGGTGTGTGTTCGTCGTACAGTCTGACTCACCTCGGTCACGGTGGTGTTCGTCGTACAGTCTGACTCACCTCGGTCATGGTGGTGTTCGTCGTACAGTCTGACTCACCTCGGTCACGGTGGTGTTCGTCGTACAGTCTGACTCACCTCGGTCATGGTGGTGTTCGTCGTACAGTCTGACTCACCTCGGTCACGGTGGTGTTCGTCGTACAGTCTGACTCACCTCGGTCATGGTGTGTGTTCGTCGTACAGTCTGACTCACCTCGGTCATGGTGTGTGTTTGTCGTACAGTCTGACTCACCTCGGTCATGGTGGTGTTCGTCGTACAGTCTGACTCACCTCGGTCATGGTGGTGTTCGTCGTACAGTCTGACTCACCTCGGTCATGGTGGTGTTCGTCGTACAGTCTGACTCACCTCGGTCACGGTGGTGTTCGTCGTACAGTCTGACTCACCTCGGTCATGGTGTGTGTTCGTCGTACAGTCTGACTCACCTCGGTCATGGTGTGTGTTCGTCGTACAGTCTGACTCACCTCGGTCACGGTGGTGTTCGTCGTACAGTCTGACTCACCTCGGTCATGGTGGTGTTCCAGATCTTGGTGACGATCGGATCAGAACCGTAGTCGTTCTTCAGAGCAGGAGCCGCCCAGGCCCGAAGGATCCCCTCAGCCTGTCAGCAAGTACAACGAACACACACTGTCAGCAGGTACAACGAACACACTGTCAGACTGTACAACGAACACGGCCACTCACAAAGGAGGAATAAGCCAGAGCCACGACTGCAGCTGCCACCTCCGCGATGAAGATGAGGAGGACCACGACGAAGAACTGTGGACGACAACAACTGTGAAGTGATGAAGACGAGGAGGAGCGAGAGGAAGAAGCACTGGGGTTATCTCTGGAGCTAAGCAGGACAGGGCCTGGTTAGTACTGTGATGGGGGACCTCTGGGAATACGGGTGCCACAGTGGGGCGGCTGCGACCAGAGAGACCAGAGGGAGACCCGAGAGAGAGACCAGAGACAGGGACCAGAGAGAGACCAGAGAGAGACCAGAGAGAGACCAGAGAGAGACCAGAGAGAGAGACCAGAGACAGGGACCAGAGAGAGACCAGAGAGAGACCAGAGAGAGACCAGAGAGAGACCAGAGAGAGACCAGAGAGAGACCAAAGGACCAGAGAGAGACCAGAGAGAGAGACCAGAGAGAGAGATCAGAGACAGGGACCAGAGAGAGACCAGAGACAGGGACCAGAGAGAGACCAGAGAGAGACCAGAGAGAGACCAGAGAGAGACAACAGAGAGAGACCAGAGACAGGGACCAGAGAGAGACCAGAGAGAGACCAGAGAGAGACCAGAGAGAGACCAGAGAGAGACCAAAGGACCAGAGAGAGACCAGAGAGAGAGATCAGAGACAGGGACCAGAGAGAGACCAGAGAGAGACCAGAGAGAGACCACAGAGAGAGACCAGAGACAGGGACCAGAGAGAGACCAGAGAGAGACCAGAGAGAGACCAGAGAGAGACCAGAGAGAGACCAGAGAGAGACCAGAGAGAGACCACAGAGAGAGACCAGAGACAGGGACCAGAGAGAGACCAGAGAGAGACCAGAGAGAGACCAGAGAGAGACCAGAGAGAGACCAGAGAGAGAGACCAGAGAGAGACCAGAGCAGAGAGAGGTACATTAGATTGAATAGTTGGTGGTGGTGGGAGGGGCCGATGGCACAGACTGGTGGCCTGGCTTCTGACAGTGTGCCCCAGGGCAGCTGTGGCTACAGTAGTATTAGTAGAAGTGAAAGAACAACTGATTTATTATTATTATTATTATTATTATTATTATTATTATTTTGGTCTTAAACTCCAGCAGCTTTTCTTCAACATCATCCTGTGTTTGGCTCCATCGACTGACACTCCGCCCGGTCCCTGCTGAAGAAAAGCAGCCTCAGTCGCGTCACTCACCATCAGCAGCAGGCACTTGCTCTGGCACTGGGCCCCGCAGAAGCCGAGGGCCCCCATGAGCACCAGCACGGCCCCCACAGCGATGCAGAAGAAACCCACGTTCACGAACTGCGAGGCCTGAGCCGAGAATGGCCCCAAGAGCTCCAGGAACGAAGACCCGTCCACAGAGACCCAGATCCCCATGGAGACCAGAGTGAGCCCGCCCAGCTGAGGACCACAACACAGCTGTGAACCGGACTTTAAAGCTGGGTTATGTGAATTTAAAGCTGGGGTATGTGACTTTGAAGCTGGGGTATGTGACTTTAAAGCTGGGGTATGTGACTTTAAAGCTGGGGTACGTGACTTTAAAGCTGGGGTATGTGACTTTAAAGCTGGGGTATGTGACTTTGAAGCTGGGGTATGTGACTTTAAAGCTGGGGTATGTGACTTTAAAGCTGGGGTATGTGACTTTAAAGCTGGGGTACGTGACTTTAAAGCTAAGGTATGTGACTTTAAAGCTGGGGTATGTGACTTTAAAGCTGGGGTATGTGACTTTAAAGCTGGGGTACGTGACTTTAAAGCTAAGGTATGTGACTTTAAAGCTGGGGTATGTGACTTTAAAGCTGGGGTATGTGACTTTAAAGCTGGGGTACGTGACTTTAAAGCTAAGGTATGTGACTTTAAAGCTGGGGTATGTGACTTTAAAGCTGGGGTATGTGACTTTAAAGCTGGGGTATGTGACTTTAAAGCTGGGGTATGTAACTTTAAAGCTAAGGTATGTGACTTTAAAGCTGGGGTATGTGACTTTAAAGCTTCTTCTGCTCTTGATCCCTGTGGATTATTCTGACCTGATGAAGTGACTCTAACAGTTTTTTTCCACGTCCTGAATCTTTGGCCTCTGTCACGTCTGTAGCTTTTCTCTTCAGTCAATCAGCTCTGAGCCCAAAGAGTCAGTTTGTGACTCATAGGGACCTCCCCTGGTCCTCCCCTGGTCCTCCCCTGGTCCTCCCCTGGTCCTCCCCTGGTCCTGGTGTCCTGTGTCTGTGACCCACTCAGAGCTGGTTCTGCAGGTTCACACTTTTGTTAAAAACAGATCTGTGACATGACTCCAGGGGACTTTCACTGGAGCAGGAGGAGGAGCAGGAGGAGGAGGAGCAGGAGGAACAGGAGGAGGAGGAGGAGGAGGAGGGGGGGGAGGAGGAGGAGCAGGAGGAGGAGGAGGAGAAGCAGGAGGAGGAGGAGGAGAAGCAGGAGGAGCAGGAGGAGGAGGAGGAGGGGGGGGAGGAGGAGGAGAAGCAGGAGGAGGAGGAGGAGAAGCAGGAGGAGCAGGAGGAGGAGGAGGAGGGGGGGGGAGGAGGAGGAGAAGCAGGAGGAGCAGGAGGAGGAGGAGGAGGGGGGGGGGAGGAGGAGGAGCAGGAGGAGGAGGAGGAGAAGCAGGAGGAGCAGGAGGAGGAGGAGGAGGGGGGGGGGGAGGAGGAGCAGGAGGAGGAGGAGGAGAAGCAGGAGGAGGAGGAGGAGGAGAAGCAGGAGGAGCAGGAGGAGGAGGGGGGGGAGGAGGAGGAGGAGCAGGAGGAGGAGGAGAAGCAGGAGGAGGAGGAGGAGGGGGGGAGGAGGAGGAGCAGGAGGAGGAGGAGGAGCAGGAGGAGCAGGAGGAGGAGGAGGAGGAGCAGGAGGAGGAGGAGGAGGAGCAGGAGGAGCAGGAGGAGGAGGAGGAGCAGGAGGAGGAGAAGCAGGAGGGGGAGGAGGAGAAGTAGGAGGAGCAGGAGGAGGAGGAGGAGGAGCAGGAGGAGCAGGAGGAGGAGCAGGAGGAGGAGCAGGAGGAGGAGGAGGAGTAGGAGGAGGAGCAGGAGCAGTGTGTTTGTTTCTGCAGTTTATATGAACTTTGTTATAAATAAAAATGGGAAAAGACCCAAACACAGATAAATGTCGCCTCAAACCAAGCCCCGCTGATCCAAGATGGCGGCCTGTTCAAGTGAACGGCTTGTGCTCAGTAGTTCATGGGACTTCACGGGCGCTGACATATCAGAGGAACTCGCCCATATTTGGGCATCGTCTGGTCCTCCCGGTTCTGCGAAGTGGATTTTCTCCCATGATGCTTTGCACCAAATACGCATATGTGGCTCTCATGCACGTGCACAGAGGGGCCGCGCTCTGACCAATCACAGCTGTTCATCAGAGCAGCAGGGCGGAGTCAGAGCGGGAAGGAAAGGAGCAGAGTTTGTGGCAGTAAAGTGTGGATTTAAAGAAAACTGAAGGATTTAAGAAGAAAAAAAGTTCAGGATGACAAGGGACACTAACATCACCACTAAATCTGATCTTTATGAAAGCTGTAGGTTATCTGTAGGTTCTCTGTCAGGTTCTCTGTCAGGTTCTCTGTAGGTTATCTGTCAGGTTCTCTGTCAGGTTCTCTGTCAGGTTCTCTGTCAGGTTCTCTGTCAGGTTCTCTGTCAGGTTCTCTGTAGGTTCTCTGTCAGGTTCTCTGTAGGTTCTCTGTCAGGTTCTCTGTCAGGTTCTCTGTCAGGTTCTCTGTCAGGTTCTCTGTAGGTTCTCTGTCAGGTTCTCTGTCAGGTTCTCTGTCAGGTTCTCTGTCAGGTTCTCTGTCAGGTTCTCTGTCAGGTTCTCTGTCAGGTTCTCTGTCAGGTTCTCTGTCAGGTTCTCTGTCAGCTGAGGTCGAGCTAGTTTAGTTTACATGGAGTTCTATGGACTTTTTTCTGGGTAACGTGAATTCAGTCTGCAGCACCACAGCGCCCCCTGTGGCCATGGGTGGGACAGCTGTAAGCTAGTTATACTCTATCCAGTTATTATTATAGATCCATGCCTCAAACTGGCAACCCACATCAGACTGACTCACAATCTGTGTGTTGGTTTTATTATGAACAACTGCTGTTGTTGTTGTTGTTGTGTGTCACACACATGTGTCATGTGACTGTCATAGACACATGTGGGTGACACGGTGGTTAGCTCTCTTAGGTCTGGTCTGGTCGGGTCCAGTCTGGTCTGACCTGGTCTGGTCTGTTCTGGTCTGGTCGGGTCCAGTCTGGTCTGGTCTGGTCGGGTCCGGTCTGGCCTGGTCCTCCTCACCACCATGAGCATGTTGAACAGCAGCATCATGACTTTGACGAAGGTGAAGCAGCTCATCTTCATCTGAAACAAACAGAAAATACAGACTTTTGTAAAAACTGAAACATTTCAATAAAGTGGATTCTCAAAATAATAAAACTACACAGCAGTGTTTTATCACATCTGTCACACACACAGGTACACACACAGGTACATGTACACACATACACACACACACAGGTACACACACACACACACACACAGGTACATGTACACACACGCACACACACACAGGTACACACACACACACACACAGGTACATGTACACACATACACACACACACACACACACAGGTACATGTACACACACACACACAGGTACATGTACACACACACACACAGGTACATGTACACACACACACACAGGTACATGTACACACCACATGTGTCCTGTGTTGACCCGTGGTTTTCTAATCTGCTGCTGTGGGATCATCTGATTCAAGCATTTGCATTGATTCAAATTATTTATAAATATATATTTATATACTTCCCTTAAAGTTACAGACCCCAGCTTTAAAGTTACAGACCCCAGCTTTAAAGTTACGGACCTCAGCTTTAAAGCTACAGACCTCAGCTTTAAAGTTACAGACCTCCGCTTTAAAGTCACAGACCCCAGCTTTAAAGTTACAGACCCCAGCTTTAAAGTTACGGACCCCAGCTTTAAAGTTACGGACCCCAGCTTTAAAGTTACAGACCTCAGCTTTAAAGCTATACAGACCCCAGCTTTAAAGTTACGGACCCCAGCTTTAAAGTTACGGACCTCAGCTTTAAAGTCACAACCCCCAGCTTTAAAGTTACAGACCTCAGCTTTAAAGTCACAACCCCCAGCTTTAAAGCTACAGACCTCAGCTTTAAAGTTACAGACCCCAGCTTTAAAGTTACAGACCCCAGCTTTAAAGTCACAGACCTCAGCTTTAAAGTTACAGACCCCAGCTTTAAAGTCACAGACCTCAGCTTTAAAGTTACAGACCCCAGCTTTAAAGTTACAGACTCCAGCTTTAAAGTTACAGACCCCAGCTTTAAAGTTACAGACCCCAGCTTTAAAGTTACAGACCCCAGCTTTAAAGTTACAGACTCCAGCTTTAAAAACTCACATGTTTTAAATCAGGCGCAGATCGAGAATTTGTTTTCACCGTTTGGCAACAAGAGACTGAGGCTGAAGAAAAACTGTGGAATATGAAGGAGAGAGAGAGGAGGAGACTACAGGTGAGAGAGGGGAGGGGTGAGAGAGGGGAGGGGTGAGAGAGAGGAGGAGGCTACAGGTGAGAGAGGGGAGGAGGCTACAGGTGAGAGAGGGGAGGGGTGAGAGATAGGAGGAGGCTACAGGTGAGAGAGGGGAGGGGTGAGAGATAGGAGGAGGCTACAGGTGAGAGAGGGGAGGGGTGAGAGAGAGGAGGAGGCTACAGGTGAGAGAGGGGAGGGTGAGAGAGAGGAGGAGGCTACAGGTGAGAGAGGGGAGGGGTGAGAGATAGGAGGAGGTTACAGGTGAGAGAGGGGAGGGGTGAGAGAGAGGGGGAGGCTACAGGTGAGAGAGGGGATGGGTGAGAGAGGGGAGGGGTGAGAGAGAGAGAGAGAGAGGAGGAGGCTACAGGTGAGAGAGGGGACGGGTGAGAGATAGGAGGAGGCTACAGGTGAGAGAGGGGAGGGGTGAGAGAGAGGGGGAGGCTACAGGTGAGAGAGGGGATGGGTGAGAGAGGAGGAGGGGTGAGAGAGAGAGAGAGAGGAGGAGGCTACAGGTGAGAGAGGGGAGGGGTGAGAGAGAGAGAGAGGAGGAGGCTACAGGTGAGAGAGGGGAGGAGGCTACAGGTGAGAGAGGGGAGGGGTGAGAGAGAGGGGGAGGCTACAGGTGAGAGAGGTGATGGTTGAGAGAGGGGAGGGGTGAGAGAGAGGGGAGGCTACAGGTGAGAGAGGGGAGGGGTGAGAGAGAGGGGGAGGCTACAGGTGAGAGAGGGGAGGGGTGAGAGAGGGGAGGAGGCTACAGGTGAGAGAGGGGGAGGGGTGAGAGAGAGGAGGAGGCTATAGGTGAGAGGGGGGGAGGGGGGAGAGAGAGGGAGGGGTGAGAGAGAGGGGAGGGTGTAGAGAGAGGGGAGGGGTGAGAGAGAGGGGAGGAGGCTACAGGTGAGAGAGGGGAGGGGTGAGAGAGAGGGAGGAGGCTACAGGTGAGAGAGGGGAGGGAGAGAGAGAGGGGAGGAGGCTACAGGTGAGAGAGGGGAGGGGTGAGAGAGGGAGGAGGCTACAGGAGAGAGGGGAGGAGTGAGAGAGGGGAGGAGGCTACAGGTGAGAGAGGGGAGGGGTGAGAGAGAGGGGGAGGAGGCTACAGGTGAGAGAGGGGAGGGGAGAGAGAGGGGAGGAGGCTACAGGTGAGAGAGGGGAGGGGAGAGAGAGGGAGGAGGCTACAGGAGAGAGGGGAGGGGTGAGAGAGGGGAGGAGGCTACAGGTGAGAGAGGGGAGGGGTGAGAGGATATCAGTTAAAAACAATTAAAATGTAAACTTGCTTTATTTTGCTAAAGTTTGAGATTGTTTATTTTAGTGCAGTTATTCTTCCTTCTGCAACACATTTCCCACAGTGCAGTGGGACGAGAAAAGGATCTCCATCTTAATGTCGTCACTACCCTCTGGTGGCAGAGCTGAGGACTGCAGTCAGTGAGAAGACTCCTACAGCTGTAGTGTCACAAGAGCGCCATCTATGGGCCGTCTCTCAGGTGTGCAGGCCGCAGATGGAGAGATTAGACCTTTTTCTGTCGTTATGCTAACGCTAGATATTTAGCTTCTTCATTATGCTAAACCCAGAATTTATACTTCATTTTTAATTATGCTAATAATAGATGTTTATAAAGAATGTGAGGCAGAAGTCAGGACCTCTGTTGGGAGTGTTTAATAAAATACTTTTATTCACATTTCAAAACATAAAAAAATGCTCATTGATAAAAACAGCTGCACAGGTCAGAAAACTAAAAAGTAAAAGCAGATTAACACTGATAAAAGCCGGGGTACGTAACTTTAGTCTCATAAATAACTGATTTGTCCAACAGGAAGTAAAGGAGGAAGGTCTGTTTCAAAGACAGGAACGAGAGACATGGATTTTTTTTTTACAGAATTCTGTTGGTGTGGTCGGAAAGTTAAATACCCCAGCTTTAATGTTACGTATCCCAGCTTTAAAGTCACGTACCCCAGCTTTAAGATAAAGGCCGAACAATGGGAACTGTCAGTGACGCCGAGAGACACACACACACAATTGAGAGAGACCAGAGAGAGACACCAAAGAGAGCACAAGAGAGAGAAAGACACCAAAGAGAGAACACAAGAGAGAGAGATACCAGAAAGACAGAGACAGAGAGACGCCAAAGAGAGAGAGAGACAAAGAGAGAGAGAGACAAAGAGAGAGAGAGACAAAGAGAGAGAGAGACCAGTGACCAAAACAAAACAAGGTGCAGAGTCTGTGCGCTTCATCACATGATCAACATGAGGGCGTGGTCGATCTGCTCTAACAGCATCAGGAGCTTCCCCGGCGCTCTTGAATGCATCCGTCGGCAGTGTCTCGGTAGGATCCGGTTTCCGTGGTTACATCATTCTGCTTTGAGGGCGAACAGCACGTCGTCCTGGCTCACGTTCAGCCTGATCCTCAGCAGGAGGTCGTTGTGGCTCTGCTCCAGCAGCAGGAGCCTGAGGGCCCCCAGACGCCCACACACCGAGAGGCCCTCGGAGACACACACAGGGGCCACTCCCTCCACCCGACAGAGCGCCACCTGCTGGACATAGACCTGCACACACCATAGAGCAGACTGAGTGAGTGTGACATCATCATCATCATCGGGTTAGGGTTAATGTGGAACAAGCAGAGGGTAACACGAGCTCAAGCCAATTTCCTTATATGGGCATTCGTCACGACACAGGGGCAGATATGTTGCTATGATGGTTGCTAAGTCAAGCTGGAGTTTTTTTCCTTGAATGAAGGCATCTGATTGGCCAATCCTCATATCTGGATTTAAAAAGACAGCAGGATCACAGAGAGACTTTTTTTTTTTACTTTTGCATTTACTGCAGTGAGAAAAGTTTAACCTGTCTAAGTCAAAAGGAGCACACACACACACACACAAAAAGATAAAGAGACAAACATACACACATGGAGCCACACACACACAGAGACGCACACACACACAGAGAGACGCACACACACACACAGACAGACAGACAGAGACAGACACACACTCAAACAAACACACAAAAATAGATACACAAATCTGACCTGCTGGAAAGTGGCCTCCTCCAGACCCAGTCGTCTGAACTCTGCGATCACGGCTCTGAGGAAGATCTGCTCCTGGACCGACGCACTCCTGAAACCACAGCTCTTTTCATCTGAACCTCTCATCTTAATCTTATTCTTTGTAATATTATAAATGTATTTGATTCTGTACGTTCCATGTCGTGATGTTATTGTCTGCGTTTGCTTTCACAGAGGACTCACTTTATGGCAGAGACGTACGCAGAGGAGAACATCTCGCTCAGCGCCTCCATCACGTGACCGATCTCCACCAATCGTGCTCTGGCCCCGCCTTCTTTGGCTCCGCCCACACTGTGCTCGCAGATCTCTGTGGAGCGCCGACAAATGTCCAGACAGCGACGAGCGTCTCCGGAGAGAGCAGCGACCTGCGGAGACCAGAGACCAGGACTGAGGCGGGACTAAGGCGGGACTAAGGCAGGACTAAGGCAGGACTAAGGCAGGACTAAGGCAGGACTAAGGCAGGACTAAGGCAGGACTAAGGCAGGACTAAGGCAGGACTAAGGCAGGACTAAGGCAGGACTAAGGCAGGACTAAGGCAGGACTAAGGCAGGACTAAGGCAGGACTAAGGCAGGACTAAGGCAGGACTAAAGCAGGACTAAAGCAGGTCTAAGGCAGGACTAAGGCAGGACTAAGGCAGGACTAAGGCAGGACTAAAGCAGGACTAAAGCAGGACTAAAGCAGGACTAAAGCAGGACTAAAGCAGGACGAAGGCAGGACTAAAGCAGGACTAAAGCAGGACTAAAGCAGGACTGAAGCAGGACCTAAGCAGGTCTAAAGCAGGTCTAAAGCAGGACTGAAGCAGGACTAAAGCAGGACTAAAGCAGGACTGAACCTGGTCTGAACCTGGTCTGGTCCATACCTTCCTGGACACCAGCTGCAGGGCGTCCTCCTCGAAGGCTTTGATCCGGTTGAGTCTGGAGCTGATGATCTGCTGCAGCTGTTTGAAGGAGTACGGCTGGAAGGACATCCGGGTCAATCCCTGAAACAGACACACGTTTACACCCGAATCCAACAGGACAGGGTCTGGGCTCCAGTCTAGTTTCTTCTCTGACAATCTTCAAACAATAGTAGTTGTAGTATTAGTACTCGCAGTACTCACCAGTCTGGAGGCCACTCTGTTGATCATGATGCGCTCGGGCAGGTCCATGGTGTTGGCAATGGTTAGAACCACGAGGCGAGCGTGGCGCCGCGTCGGCCAATCAAACAAGTTATACATGACATTCTGTTTACGGGTCCAGAGGAGGTCCAGCTGAAACCAGACCAGAGACCAGCGTTAGACCAGAGACCAGCGTTAGACCAGAGACCAGGCTGAGACCAGAGACCAGCGTTAGACCAGAGACCAGGCTGAGACCAGAGACCAGGCTGAGACCAGAGACCAGGCTGAGACCAGAGACCAGGCTGAGACCAGAGACCAGGCTGAGACTAGAGACCAGGCTGAGACCAGAGACCAGGCTGAGACCAGAGATAGACCAGAGACCAGCGTTAGACCAGAGACCAGCGTTAGACCAGAGAGGGGGGAAGAGACACCAGAGACCAATTCGCGAAAAAGAGAGACTAAAGAGGACTGAGTGTTTACCTCGTCAACCAATAGGACCGTGGTCTCCTTCCTGGGGGCGGGACTACTGAACCTCTTCTCCAATAGGGACGCAGCGTGGTCAGGAGTGGCTTTCTGACCGGTGAGCTTCTGTAACAAACAAAATGATTGTCCAGTCAGACCAAAGCAGATCCCAAGCAGGTCCAAGGGCAGGTCTCAAGGCGGTCCAATGCAGGTCTGAAGCAGGTCCTCTGGAGGAACCATGGGCCTTTGTGATCATTGTCCTTGTTTGTTTAGGGCCTGGTCTTGGTAGGTTTGCAGTGGAGCCACTCGTTCCATTCCTGAATAAGTTATATTAATGATTCTATAATTATTGCTGCTTTAAACGTCTGAAACCCTGGTGGGGTCAGTACCTCAAGGGTCTGGACCTAGGCCTGGTCAGTACCTGTAGGATCTGGACCTAGGCCTGGTCAGTACCTGTAGGATCTGGACCTAGGGCTGGTCAGTACCTGTAGGATCTGGACGTAGGCCTGGTCAGTACCTGTAGGATCTGGACGTAGGCCTGGTGAGGGTCGGTCATCTTCATGCCGTTGATCTCCAGAAACGTAAACGAGGGGATTTCTCCGTTCTCTGAAGATGTTTGGAGACATCTGACCACCTCCTGCACCGTGGCCGTTTTACCGGTACCAGGGACTCCCGAGATGTACATGCAGCTGAGGAGAACCAGAGGCATCAGAATCAAAGGAGAACCAGAGGCATCAGAACCAGAGGAGAACCAAAGCATCAGAACCAGAGGAGAACTAAGGTATCACAACCAGAGGAGAACCAGAGGAGAGATAAGTTCCTCACCCTCCGGTCCCGTCCAGGATCTTGCTCTCCACAAAGCTGTAGATGTCCTGGAACTCCTGCTCTCGACACGGAAGAGACTCAGGGACAGAGGACACATGCAGCCTGAGGACAGGCACATGAGAGTAGTAGTAGCAATGGTAGCAGTAGTAGTAGTGGTAGCAGTAGTAGTAGTATTAGCAGTAGTAGCAGTAGTAGCAGTGGCCGTAGTACCTGGCCCTGGCCTCCTCCAGGTTGGTCCCTGGTCTTCTGGCCGGCTCACAGCGGGAGGGGATACTGGGTGTGTACTGGCGAGGGGTTCTGGGTGAGCCGAGGCTGATCTGAGAGCAGGGGAGAAATGGCTGTAAGCAACTGGTCCAGGCCGGGTCCAGGCCGGGTCCAGGCCGGGTCCAGGCCGGGTCCAGGCCGTGTCCAGGCCGGGTGCAGGCTTCAGGAGCATCTGCAGGTCAGGTTCCTCTCACAAACCTTTCGTGGGGTTTTCCTTGGTGTTTTCTGAGGGGTTTTTCGGGGAGTTCTGGCAGCTCCTCTGGGCCTCCTCTTCCCCACCTCCTCCTCGTCCTCCTCCTCCTCCTCCTCCTCCTCACTGCTGCTGCTCTGATCCTGTTTAGAAGGAACAAACTCCTCCTCAGAGTCTGTGTCCATGTCCAGACGCCCACTCAGCATGGACCTGATGGAAACACACAAGAGTTCTAAAGCAGGTCTGAATCAGGTCTGAAGCAGGTCTAAAGCAGGTCTAAAGCAGGACTAAAGCAGGACTAAAGCAGGTCTAAAGCAGGTCTACAGGAGGTCTAAAGCAGGTCTACAGCAGGTCTAAAGCAGGTCTAAAGCAGGTCTAAAGCAGGTCTAAAGCAGGTATAAAGCAGGTCTAAAGCAGGTCTAAAGCAGGTCTAAAGCAGGTCTAAAGCAGGTATAAAGCAGGTCTACAGGAGGTCTAAAGCAGGTCTAAAGCAGGACTGAAGCAAGTCTTACAGCTGTCTCTGGATGCGTTTGGACACCACTTGGGCAGACTTCCTCTTGGAGCTGCGAGGAGTGACTCGGTCCAGAGGAGAGTTCTCGTGGTCCACCTCGGCTCTGGAAAGACAGGACATTTTGGCTCAGATGAACTGGACATTTTGGCTCAGATGAACAGCACTCACAGCACTCCGAGCATGGGCCCCTTCAGACTTTTTGCCTCTCGTTTCCTGGACGGAGTCATTGCTCTGTTCCAACAAGAAAAACACTTTATTAATATTACTCCATCACAGTCTGAGGGAGGGGCAGTGGTCCTCACCCGTCTGAGGGAGGGGCAGTGGTCCTCACCCGTCTGAGGGGCGGGCAGTGGTCCTCACCCGTCTGAGGGGCGGGCAGTGGTCCTCACCCGTCTGAGGGAGGGGCAGTGGTCCTCACCCGTCTGAGGGGCGGGCAGTGGTCCTCACCCGTCTGAGGGGCGGGCAGTGGTCCTCACCCGTCTGAGGGGCGGGCAGTGGTCCTCACCCGTCTGAGGGAGGGGCAGTGGTCCTCACCCGTCTGAGGGAGGGGCAGTGGTCCTCACCTGTCTGAGGGAGGGGCAGTGGTCCTCACCCGTCTGAGGGAGGGGCAGTGGTCCTCACCTGTCTGAGGGGCGGTCCTCCTCTTCACTCTGTGAGTATGAAGCAGATCTGCGGAGTGGCGTCAGTGAGATCCGGGGCTTTTGTGGGGACAGAGTCTGGATTTCTACGGTTTTCAAGTCCTCAGCCAAGAGCAGGTCCAGGTCTGAGTCCAGAGGACTGTCGTCTGCAGAGAAAGACATCCTTTAAACCACACAATCAGACTTGGACCTGGACCCAGACCTCAACGGTCAGGAGACAGTAATCTACTCTCAGTGCGACACAGAACACAGAGGTGGAACTGCGCATCACCCTCTCAGCCCCAGGGTCAGCTCTGGCACTGGGGCATTGAAGAAAATCTCCTGCATTCTAAAACCTTTTCTTCCTCCAGGACAATGAGTCTGAACATGGTAAAGACTTCAGTAACTCTCACCAAACAGCTGCAGCCTCTTCCTCACTCCCGGAGTCTTCACTGAACACTTCCGTCTCTTGGCGCTGAGACTCTTCGAGGCCGAGGCCTTTGAGGCTGAGTGCAGAGACTCCGCCTCCTGAGAACAAACAAGTTTACATGAGGTTCTGAAGCTAAAGACCTGCTGCAGACGCCGAGAGAACTAAAGCTGAAGTCATTTCTTACTCAGGTATTTCTTAAAGCTGCACTAACTGACTTTATATTTGTATTCATTACGAAAATTCAATCCATATCCGTGCAGTGCATTGGGAAAAGGTAGCGCAGATTTGTGCTGCCGTGTCATTTAATTTTGGATCGAGTTTTTGTGAAACAAGGAAGAGAACGTGTTTAGGGTCCAGATTGTGACCAATCACAGCGGACCACTGGCCCCCACTTTCTTGAGAAAAGCCACAGGTCTCTCGTTAGCACAGACAGCTGAGGTAAACAAGTGGCAAGGCTAACCTGAAACTCCCCGTGTCTTCGTTACCGGTTACTGCTTACTCAGCGAAACAGCCAAAAGAAAGTCTCGTTCCTCCGCGCTTCCCGGTTCAATCATTTTATGGTCACGCCATCCACGCTCAAATGTGTCCATATTGTGAGACGTGAGCTCCGTAAACAGCATGAGCAGAGGCTGAGGGGGGGTGGAGGGGGGTAGTGGGGGGCGAAAGCTCCGTGCGGGGCAGGCGAGCAGAGAGCGCATGCTCAGCGTTCTCATTTGAACATTTCTCAAAGTCAGTTGGTGCAGCTTTAACTTTTAAGGATGTCTTTTTAGACAGTGTGTGTAGATTCCTGTGTTTTCAATAGTGGATTATCTCTGCAAAGAAGTTCTCACTCACACCTGAGAAGGAGCTGGAGGCTTTAGCTGCTGTGACCTCTGCATCAGAGCAGCTCCTTCACTGGAGGCTTTTAAACCAAGTCTAAAGACACATTTGTGTCTGTGAAGCACTTTTGGCTGGGGCCGTCGTGAATGTGCTAAACAAATAACGACAGTGAGTTGAGTGCATATGGTCCTCATACCTGGGCCAGTCGCGTCTCCTCAGCGTAGGAGGACGATGACGCCCTCTTCATCACATTGAAGTCCGGGGTGGGACGACAGCGTGGCGTGCGGCGGAGCGAGGAGGAGGGGCCTGGAGATGAGGGGGCGTGGCCTGGAGAGGAGGGGGAGGGGCCAGAGGGCAGGGAAGCGGCTAGGGGAGAGGGAGCCCGCGCCTCACACTCTGACCACACACTGAACCTGCGAGAATCCCACGACAGCTTCACAAAGAACGTGTCCGAGTCTGAGGAGGCGGGGAAAGGGGCGGAGCCTTCCACATGCACCACCTGAGAGTGAGAGAGATGTGATTGGGAGAACGGGGGGGAGGGGATAGTTGATTGAGACACGTCAGTCTCCTCTGACAAAGCCGAAACATGTGGTAATTAAGCACAACTAGCTTCTTTACACTTGTCTTATCATTAAGAACCTTTTAAGCCTATTTGTAATATTAACCAACGGATAAGTGGCTGTAGCAGCGACAGTAAAACGACGTACGCACAGACAGACCATCTCCACAGAACACCCCCAACCCTTCCATCTCAGGGTTAGGGTTAAACTAACTGGTCGTACCGTGACTGTCCGCAGGATGCTCTCCGCGCTCACTTCGTTGTCACAGTTGGCTCCTTCATAGTGAAAGACTTCGTTCGGATGCGGCTCTCGTCCCAGAAGTTTCCGTTTGTTCAGAGGGATCTCAAAGACGCGGACGAACCACTGGACCAAGGCTTTCTTTTCCCCTGAGCTTTCTGTAACCGACAGAAGAGGTGTTCTAACGGGACACAACTGAAGGAAAGCGGATCGACGCACTGACCCAGCAGCTGCAGCACTTTGGCCACATATGGATGGTCTTCATCGTCTCCTTCGATGAGGATGTGCTGACCCACAGAGACATGAGTGACTCGGGGGAGGCCCTCCACTCGGATCGACAGACCTCTGGACACAAAACACCATTTTATAATAATCATGTAAATGTTAAAGACATGCATTTACAAGAAAACTTTGATACAGACAGAAGAACACACACACAGCACAACTTGAGGTCCAGGCGTGGACTGTGTGTTTTGATGGATAATGCTAACCCACAAGATCAATGAAGCCCTATAGGAAATTGGCTCCAGTTATCTTAAGTTCAAATCGGCCTCTTCTGCACTAAGGCTAACGCTACGGTCATGTCAGACTCAGATTAGATTTCAGATATATTTATTATATAGTCTCTCAAAGGAGAAAAGTGTCAGATACAGTCACACTTGTTCAATCAACTGCTTCATAGTTTAATGACAGAAAAGTGCGTAACAGAACACCTTTGACAGGTACTTTACTCAGAATAAAAAGTGGAGGGGAGTTGATTTTTACTTTGCCTCAAATATGACCCATTATTCCCTCTCGGGTGTCTCTCCCCCTCGGGTGTCTCTCCCTCTCGGGTGTCTCTCCCTCACTGGCCTCTCCCTCACTGGCCTCTCCCTCACTGGCCTCTCCCTCACTGGCCTCTCCCTCACTGGCCTCTCCCTCACTGGCCTCTCCCTCACTGGTCTCTCCCTCACTGGTCTCTCCCTCACTGGTCTCTCCCTCACTGGTCTCTCCCTCACTGGTCTCTCTCTCACTGGTCTCTCTCTCACTGGTCTCTCTCTCACTGGTCTCTCTCTCACTGGTCTCTCTCTCACTGGTCTCTCTCTCACTGGTCTCTCTCTCACTGGTCTCTCTCTCACTGGTCTCTCTCTCACTGGTCTCTCTCTCACTGGTCTCTCTCTCACTGGTCTCTCTCTCACTGGTCTCTCTCTCACTGGTCTCTCTCTCACTGGTCTCTCCCTCACTGGTCTCTCCCTCACTGGTCTCTCCCTCACTGGTCTCTCCCTCACTGGTCTCTCCCTCACTGGTCTCTCCCTCACTGGTCTCTCTCTCACTGGTCTCTCTCACTGGTCTCTCTCACTGGTCTCTCTCTCACTGGTCTCTCTCTCACTGGTCTCTCTCTCACTGGTCTCTCTCTCACTGGTCTCTCTCTCACTGGTCTCTCTCTCACTGGTCTCTCTCTCACTGGTCTCTCTCTCACTGGTCTCTCTCTCACTGGTCTCTCTCACTGGTCTCTCCCTCACTGGTCTCTCCCTCACTGGTCTCTCCCTCACTGGTCTCTCCCTCACTGGTCTCTCCCTCACTGGTCTCTCCCTCACTGGTCTCTCCCTCACTGGTCTCTCTCTCACTGGTCTCTCTCTCACTGGTCTCTCTCTCACTGGTCTCTCTCTCACTGGTCTCTCACTGGTCTCTCACTGGTCTCCCTCACTGGTCTCTCTCTCACTGGTCTCTCTCACTGGTCTCTCTCTCACTGGTCTCTCTCTCACTGGTCTCTCTCTCACTGGTCTCTCTCTCACTGGTCTCTCTCTCACTGGTCTCTCTCACTGGTCTCTCTCACTGGTCTCTCTCTCACTGGTCTCTCTCTCACTGGTCTCTCTCTCACTGGTCTCTCTCTCACTGGTCTCTCTCTCACTGGTCTCTCTCTCACTGGTCTCTCTCTCACTGGTCTCTCTCTCACTGGTCTCTCTCTCACTGGTCTCTCTCTCACTGGTCTCTCTCTCACTGGTCTCTCTCTCACTGGTCTCTCTCTCACTGGTCTCTCTCTCACTGGTCTCTCCCTCACTGGGTCTCTCTCACTGGTCTCTCTCACTGGTCTCTCTCACTGGTCTCTCTCACTGGTCTCTCTCTCACTGGTCTCTCTCTCACTGGTCTCTCTCTCACTGGTCTCTCTCTCACTGGTCTCTCTCTCACTGGTCTCTCTCTCACTGGTCTCTCTCTCACTGGTCTCTCTCTCACTGGTCTCTCTCTCACTGGTCTCTCTCTCACTGGTCTCTCTCTCACTGGTCTCTCTCTCACTGGTCTCTCTCTCACTGGTCTCTCTCTCACTGGTCTCTCTCTCACTGGTCTCTCTCTCACTGGTCTCTCTCTCACTGGTCTCTCTCTCACTGGTCTCTCTCTCACTGGTCTCTCTCTCACTGGTCTCTCTCTCACTGGTCTCTCTCTCACTGGTCTCTCTCTCACTGGTCTCTCTCTCACTGGTCTCTCTCTCACTGGTCTCTCTCTCACTGGTCTCTCTCTCACTGGTCTCTCTCTCACTGGTCTCTCTCTCACTGGTCTCTCTCTCACTGGTCTCTCTCTCACTGGTCTCTCTCTCACTGGTCTCTCTCTCACTGGTCTCTCTCTCACTGGTCTCTCTCTCACTGGTCTCTCTCTCACTGGTCTCTCTCTCCACTGGTCTCTCCCTCACTGGTCTCTCTCTCACTGGTCTCTCTCTCACTGGTCTCTCTCTCACTGGTCTCTCTCTCACTGGTCTCTCTCTCACTGGTCTCTCTCTCACTGGTCTCTCTCTCACTGGTCTCTCTCTCACTGGTCTCTCTCTCATCTCTCTCACTGGTCTCTCTCTCACTGGTCTCTCTCTCACTGGTCTCTCTCTCACTGGTCTCTCTCTCACTGGTCTCTCTCTCACTGGTCTCTCTCTCACTGGTCTCTCTCTCACTGGTCTCTCTCTCACTGGTCTCTCTCTCACTGGTCTCTCTCACTGGTCTCCTCACTGGTCTCTCTCTCACTGGTCTCTCTCTCACTGGTCTCTCTCTCACTGGTCTCTCTCTCACTGGTCTCTCTCTTCACTGTCTCACTCTCTCTCTCAGTCTCTCTCTCATCTCCTCACTGGTCTCTCTCACTGGTCTCTCTCTCCACTGGTCTCTCTCTCACTGGTCTCTCTCACTGGTCTCTCTCTGGTCTCTCTCTCACTGGTCTCTCTCTCACTGGTCTCTCTCTCACTGGTCTCTCTCTCACTGGTCTCTCTCTCACTGGTCTCTCTCTCACTGGTCTCTCTCTCACTGGTCTCTCTCTCACTGGTCTCTCTCTCACTGGTCTCTCCTCACTGGTCTCTCCTCACTGGTCTCTCTCTCACTGGTCTCTCTCTCACTGGTCTCTCTCACTGGTCTCTCTCTCACTGGTCTCTCTCTCACTGGTCTCTCTCTCACTGGTCTCTCTCTCACTGGTCTCTCTCTCACTGGTCTCTCTCTCACTGGTCTCTCTCTCACTGGTCTCTCTCTCACTGGTCTCTCTCTCACTGGTCTCTCCCTCACTGGGGTCTCTCTCACTGGTCTCTCTCACTGGTCTCTCTCACTGGTCTCTCTCACTGGTCTCTCTCTCTCTGGTCTCTCTCTCACTGGTCTCTCTCTCACTGGTCTCTCTCTCACTGGTCTCTCTCTCACTGGTCTCTCTCTCACTGGTCTCTCCCTCACTGGTCTCTCCTCACTGGTCTCTCTCTCACTGGTCTCTCTCTCACTGGTCTCTCTCTCACTGGTCTCTCTCTCACTGGTCTCTCTCTCACTGGTCTCTCTCTCACTGGTCTCTCTCTCACTGGTCTCTCTCTCACTGGTCTCTCTCTCACTGGTCTCTCTCTCACTGGTCTCTCTCTCACTGGTCTCTCTCACTGGTCTCTCTCTCACTGGTCTCTCTCTCACTGGTCTCTCTCTCACTGGTCTCTCTCTCACTGGTCTCTCTCTCACTGGTCTCTCTCTCACTGGTCTCTCTCTCACTGGTCTCTCTCTCACTGGTCTCTCTCTCACTGGTCTCTCTCTCACTGGTCTCTCTCTCACTGGTCTCTCTCTCACTGGTCTCTCTCTCACTGGTCTCTCTCTCACTGGTCTCTCTCTCACTGGTCTCTCTCTCACTGGTCTCTCTCTCACTGGTCTCTCTCTCACTGGTCTCTCTCTCACTGGTCTCTCTCTCACTGGTCTCTCTCTCACTGGTCTCTCTCTCACTGGTCTCTCTCTCACTGGTCTCTCTCTCACTGGTCTCTCTCTCACTGGTCTCTCTCTCACTGGTCTCTCTCTCACTGGTCTCTCTCTCACTGGTCTCTCTCTCACTGGTCTCTCTCTCACTGGTCTCTCTCTCACTGGTCTCTCTCTCACTGGTCTCTCTCTCACTGGTCTCTCTCCTCACTGGTCTCTCTCTCACTGGTCTCTCTCTCACTGGTCTCTCTCTCACTGGTCTCTCTCACTGGTCTCTCTCTCACTGGTCTCTCTCTCACTGGTCTCTCTCTCACTGGTCTCTCTCTCACTGGTCTCTCTCTCACTGGTCTCTCTCTCACTGGTCTCTCTCTCACTGGTCTCTCTCTCACTGGTCTCTCTCTCACTGGTCTCTCTCTCACTGGTCTCTCTCTCACTGGTCTCTCTCTCACTGGTCTCTCTCTCACTGGTCTCTCTCTCACTGGTCTCTCTCTCACTGGTCTCTCTCTCACTGGTCTCTCTCTCACTGGTCTCTCTCTCACTGGTCTCTCTCTCACTGGTCTCTCTCACTGGTCTCTCTCACTGGTCTCTCTCTCACTGGTCTCTCTCTCACTGGTCTCTCTCTCACTGGTCTCTCTCTCACTGGTCTCTCTCTCACTGGTCTCTCTCTCACTGGTCTCTCTCTCACTGGTCTCTCTCTCACTGGTCTCTCTCTCACTGGTCTCTCTCTCACTGGTCTCTCTCTCACTGGTCTCTCTCTCACTGGTCTCTCTCTCACTGGTCTCTCTCTCACTGGTCTCTCTCTCACTGGTCTCTCCTCACTGGTCTCTCTCTCACTGGTCTCTCTCTCACTGGTCTCTCTCTCACTGGTCTCTCTCTCACTGGTCTCTCTCTCACTGGTCTCTCTCTCACTGGTCTCTCTCTCACTGGTCTCTCTCTCACTGGTCTCTCTCTCACTGGTCTCTCTCTCACTGGTCTCTCTCACTGGTCTCTCTCTCACTGGTCTCTCTCTCACTGGTCTCTCTCTCACTGGTCTCTCTCTCACTGGTCTCTCTCTCACTGGTCTCTCTCTCACTGGTCTCTCTCTCACTGGTCTCTCTCTCACTGGTCTCTCTCTCACTGGTCTCTCTCTCACTGGTCTCTCTCTCACTGGTCTCTCTCTCACTGGTCTCTCTCTCACTGGTCTCTCTCTCACTGGTCTCTCTCTCACTGGTCTCTCTCTCACTGGTCTCTCTCTCACTGGTCTCTCTCTCACTGGTCTCTCTCTCACTGGTCTCTCTCTCACTGGTCTCTCTCTCACTGGTCTCTCTCTCACTGGTCTCTCTCTCACTGGTCTCTCTCTCACTGGTCTCTCTCTCACTGGTCTCTCTCTCACTGGTCTCTCTCTCACTGGTCTCTCTCTCACTGGTCTCTCTCTCACTGGTCTCTCTCTCACTGGTCTCTCTCCGGTCTCTTCACTGGTCTCTCTCTCACTGGTCTCTCTCTCACTGGTCTCTCTCTCACTGGTCTCTCTCTCACTGGTCTCTCTCTCACTGGTCTCTCTCTCACTGGTCTCTCTCTCACTGGTCTCTCTCTCATGGTCTCTCTCTCACTGGTCTCTCTCTCACTGGTCTCTCTCTCACTGGTCTCTCTCTCACTGGTCTCTCTCTCACTGGTCTCTCTCTCACTGGTCTCTCTCTCACTGGTCTCTCTCTCACTGGTCTCTCTCTCACTGGTCTCTCTCTCACTGGTCTCTCTCTCACTGGTCTCTCTCTCACTGGTCTCTCTCTCTCACTGGTCTCTCTCTCTCACTGGTCTCTCTCTCACTGGTCTCTCTCTCACTGGTCTCTCTCTCACTGGTCTCTCTCTCACTGGTCTCTCTCTCACTGGTCTCTCTCTCACTGGTCTCTCTCTCACTGGTCTCTCTCTCACTGGTCTCTCTCTCACTGGTCTCTCTCTCACTGGTCTCTCTCTCACTGGTCTCTCTCTCACTGGTCTCTCTCTCACTGGTCTCTCTCTCACTGGTCTCTCTCTCACTGGTCTCTCTCTCACTGGTCTCTCTCTCACTGGTCTCTCTCTCACTGGTCTCTCTCTCACTGGTCTCTCTCTCACTGGTCTCTCTCTCACTGGTCTCTCTCTCACTGGTCTCTCTCTCACTGGTCTCTCTCTCACTGGTCTCTCTCTCACTGGTCTCTCTCTCACTGGTCTCTCTCTCACTGGTCTCTCTCTCACTGGTCTCTCTCTCACTGGTCTCTCTCTCACTGGTCTCTCTCTCACTGGTCTCTCTCTCACTGGTCTCTCTCTCACTGGTCTCTCTCTCACTGGTCTCTCTCTCTCACTGGTCTCTCTCTCACTGGTCTCTCTCTCACTGGTCTCTCTCTCACTGGTCTCTCTCTCACTGGTCTCTCTCTCACTGGTCTCTCTCTCACTGGTCTCTCTCTCACTGGTCTCTCTCTCACTGGTCTCTCTCTCACTGGTCTCTCTCTCACTGGTCTCTCTCTCACTGGTCTCTCTCTCACTGGTCTCTCTCTCACTGGTCTCTCTCTCACTGGTCTCTCTCTCACTGGTCTCTCTCTCACTGGTCTCTCTCTCACTGGTCTCTCTCTCACTGGTCTCTCTCTCACTGGTCTCTCTCTCACTGGTCTCTCTCTCACTGGTCTCTCTCTCACTGGTCTCTCTCTCACTGGTCTCTCTCTCACTGGTCTCTCTCTCACTGGTCTCTCTCTCACTGGTCTCTCTCTCACTGGTCTCTCTCTCACTGGTCTCTCTCTGTCTCTCTCTCACTGGTCTCTCTCTCACTGGTCTCTCTCACTGGTCTCTCTCTCACTGGTCTCTCTCTCACTGGTCTCTCTCACTGGTCTCTCTCTCACTGGTCTCTCTCTCACTGGTCTCTCTCTCACTGGTCTCTCTCTCACTGGTCTCTCTCTCACTGGTCTCTCTCTCACTGGTCTCTCTCTCACTGGTCTCTCTCTCACTGGTCTCTCTCTCACTGGTCTCTCTCTCACTGGTCTCTCTCTCACTGGTCTCTCTCTCACTGGTCTCTCCCTCACTGGTCTCTCTGGTCTCTAGTCTCACACACAGATCCTTAGTTTGACACACGTACGTACCCGTACTGATGGGTCTTCAGTTTGCGGTCGAAGGCCACTGGTTTTCCGCTCCACTCACACAATCTACGCGCTCTCAGACGAGTGGAGTATTTCATCACGAAAACGCCACTAAGTCCTTTAAAATGTCCTTAAACTTTGCTTAAAGTGTCCCCAAGCCTGTCCCCGAGTGCCTCCGATCTGTCCCGGGTCAAGGGGACACAGCACCTTCGGCCTGTGGCTCAACCCAGTGGATAAAAGTGGAAAAAAGAGGTTTAAAAATGTCCTTCAACTCCACAAACAGCAACTTCGACAGGACCGCCGATTTCCCGCGCTACGGGCGTCACTTCCGGCTGTCTCTGTGAAGCAGAAGGAGCGCGCGCGTGCTGTTGTCATGGAAATAGCGGCGGCCATCTTGTTACTGTAAGAGCAAAAAGCTATGTCAAGTTTTCAGACATAATAAGATTTATTCACGAGTCTACATTATTATTAACCTTACCTGGTGTAAATACGTGTTTAATGTGATCAGGTAAAGTTAATCAGTTTACATGGCTGTCTGCAATAAAGAGGAGTGAAGACATATGGAGTGAATGAATAATGACATGTTAAGTGTCTTTGAGTGTTTGTGAAATCAGAATCAGAATCAGAATCAGAATCATTTTTATTGCCACGTAAGTAACAGGAGGTCACAGACTAGGAAATTGCTTTGGCTCAGTGCAACAGTCAAAAAGAGATAATAAAAATAAGAATAAAAAACACTTCTAAAGAATAAATTTAAATTTAAAATAGAGTTACAGTTACTATTTACAATATACAAGTGCACATGGTGCACACAATGTAAGGTGACAGCAGTACAGTGAAGTAAAGTGACGTATGATGGGCAGTAAAGTGACTTTATAAAGGGCGGGGGGACAGGTTAAGAAGTGTTCAAGAGTCCAACAGCAGAGGGGAACAAACTGTTCTTGTGGCGGGAGGTTCTAGTCCTGATGGACCGCAGCCTCCTGCCTGAGGGGAGTGGTTGGAATAGTCCATGTGCAGGGTGAGAGGGGTCGGCTGTGATACGACCAGCCCGGCCTCGAGCTCGGGCGACGTACAGGTCCTGCAGCAATGGAAGGCTGCGGCCGATCACTTCCTCTGCAGAGCGCACAATGCACTGTAGTCTCTGTTTGTCCCTGACTGTGGCTCCAGCGAACCACACGGTGATGGAGGAGGTGATGGAGGAGGTGACGGAGGAGGTGAGGATGGACTCGATGATGGCCGTGTAGAACTGCACCAACATCTGTGCAGGCAGCTTGGCTTTCCTGAGCTGCCGCAGGAAGTACATCCTCTGCTGGGCCTTCTTGATGAGGAGCTGATGGTCGGCTCCCACTTGAGGTCCTGGGTGATGGTGGTGCCCAGGAAACGGAAGGACTCCACAGAGGTGATGGGGGAGTCCATCACGGAGGGTGGGGGTGGGGGGACAGTGCTCTTCCTGAAGTCCACAATCATCTCCACTGTCTTCTGGGCGTTCAGCTCCAGGTTGTTACCACTGCACCAGGACACCAGCCGGTCCACCTCCCTCCTGTAGGAGACACCAGGACACCAGCCGGTCCACCTCCTCCTGTAGGAGACACCAGGACACCAGCCGGTCCACCTCCCTCCTGTAGGCGGACTCATCGTTGTTGGAGATGAGTCCAATGAGGGTGGTGTCGTCCGCGAACTTGATCAGCTTCACGGAGTCGTGGCTGGAGGTGCAGTGGTTGGTGTACAGGGAGAAGAGCAGGGGGGAAAGAACACAGCCCTGTGGGGCTCCTGTATTTATAATCCGAGAGTCCGAGACATTCTTCCCCAGACGCACTCGCTGCTTCCTGTCCGTCAGGAAGTCAGTGATCCACCTGCAGGTGGAAACGGGCACGTTGAGCTGGGAAAGCTTGTCCTGGAGCAGGGATGGCAGGATTGTGTTGAAGGCAGAGCTGAAGTCCACGAACAGGACCCTGGCGTAGGTCCCCGGGGAGTCCAGGTGCTGTAGGATGTGGTGGAGGGCCAGGTTAATGGCGTCGTCTACAGATCTGTTGGCTCTGTAGGCGAACTGCAGGGGGTCCAGGAGGGGGGAGGTGAGGGACTTGAGATGGGAGAGGACCAGGCGTTCAAATGACTTCATGACGACAGACGTAAGTGCTACAGGTCTGTAGTCATTGAGTCCTGTGATCCTGGGCTTCTTCGGGACGGGGACAATGATGGAGGATTTGAAGCAGGCCGGGACATGGCAGGACTGCAGAGAGGTGTTGAAAATGTCAGTGAACACAGGAGTAAGCTCACTGGCGCAGTGTCTCAGAGTGGCCGGAGACACGTGGTCCGGGCCAGGAGCTTTGCGGGGGTGCAGCCTCAGGAAGAGTTTTTTAATCTCTTTAGCGGCTATTGTTAGGCCTGGGGCAGGGCTGATGGGTGGGTCGTTAGAGTAGTGGGGGGTGGGGGAGGGAGAGGTGTCAGGGGCAGCATCAAAGCGACTGAAAAATAAGTTCAGATCGTCAGCTAGGTGAAATGAGAGTACTTATTAAAAACATGGACATCACCAGGCCTTTACTTCTTTACTTGTCTCTGCGCTCTGAAGACAATATACTTTGATCCTCTGATGAACTCACTTGAACCTCAGTCAAAGGGGACATTGAAAGACAGTTGTGAATGACTCAAACACAGTGCTGTGTTGTGACGTTCATTCACAACATCACAGACGACTCCTCTAGGAGCCGCTGCTTCTCCAAAAAATAAAATATTCTTTAAAAAAATAGCTTTTACTGAAACAAAACCTTTAGCGAAACAAAACCTTAAAGGCGCACAATTAAAACAGTAAAATTAACAAATACCAAAATATATTTTTCTGCTAAATCGGCAGTTCCGTTTCCGGCGGTAGTGAGGGCAGGCTGTTTATGTTCATGCTAATGCTAACGTCAAAGCTAAGAGCTAAATTGAGTGAAATAGTTGTTTTTCCGTGGGTGTAAAATGGCGAACAGGACCGTAAAGGACGCGAACAGCATCCACGGGACAAACCCACAGTATCTGGTGGAGAAAATCATCCGGACTCGGATCTACGAGTCTAAATACTGGAAAGAGGAGTGCTTCGGGCTCACGGGTGAGGAGTGTTAGCGTGTTAGCTTGTTAGCATGCGGCTCATTCATAACAGTTATAACACTGCGCTGGGTCCAGGCTTTTCCTCCCTGTTCTCTAATTGTTTTGTCGCTGTGCCTTTGAGCCAAACACTCACACTGCTGCAGGTTTCACCACAAACACAGCTCCTCAATCTGTCAAGACAACCACTATTCACTTATGCATAATGCACTAGAGGCTGGGACTTAACATTTACACATGTTTTTCTAGATTTTAGCTGATTTGCATGCTCTCTCTTCAGCCGAGTTGGTAGTGGACAAAGCCATGGAGCTGAAGTTCATTGGAGGAGTGTTTGGGGGAAACATCAAGCCCACCCCATTCCTGTGTCTGACGCTGAAGATGCTGCAGATCCAACCGGAGAAGGACATCATCGTGGAGTTCATCAAGAATGAGGACTTCAAGTGAGTTCCTCAGCTCTGGGCCGGCCGCACAGTGAGCCACACAACAAAGAATCGACCAACTATGGGGTGAAAGAAATATGATACATAAAAGTGTCTTGCTCAAGGGTTCAACATGAGGTCGTAGTTTGTGGAACCCGTTTTATCTTTTAGGGTCTGACTCTACAAGCTCTGTACATCTAGAGACTGAGAGTGATGTGCTGAGAGACGAGGGGAGAGAGGGAGGATAGTGGAGGAGAGGAAAGAAGAGAGGAGGAGATGAGGGGAGAGCAGAGCAGGGGAAGGAGAGAGGGAGGACAGTGGAGAAGAGAGCAGAGGATGGAGAAGAGGAGGAGGCAGTGATTAATGGTATGTTGTCACAGATACGTGCGTCTGCTGGGGGCCATGTACATGCGTCTGACTGGAACAGCTGCAGACTGTTACAAGTATTTGGAGCCGCTTTACAACGACTACAGGAAGGTGAAGTCCCAGAACCGCAACGGAGGTCAGTGAAAAGTTTCTTATCTACTGTCCCTCAGGATGTAGCAGCAGCAGCAGCAGCAGCAGCAGTAGTAGTCATGTGCTGTTGTCCTTTCAGAGTTTGAGCTGATGCATGTGGATGAGTTCATCGATGAGCTGCTTCACGCTGAGAGAGTGTGTGACATCATCCTCCCACGACTGCAGGTCTGTGGAATCGCACTCTCACCCTCCAGCCGCAGGTCTCCTCTGCTCCACCAGGACCAGACCAGACCTGCGCTGGGGGCCGCCTGACGGGGCCCAGACACTGAGTGTTTCTCATGATCTGCAGAAGCGGCAGGTCCTGGAGGAGGCGGAGATGCTGGAGCCCAGGGTCAGTGCTCTGGAGGAGGATCTGGACGAAGTGGACACGAGTGAGGATGAGGAGGAGCCGGACGATAAGGTACAGGAGGTCTTCAGGAGGCTGGTGTGGGGTAGAGGAGGTCTGCAGGAGGCTGGTGTGGGGAACAGGAGGTCTGCAGGAGGCTGGTGTGGGGTAGAGGAGGTCTGCAGGAGGCTGGTGTGGGGTAGAGGAGGTCTGCAGGAGGCTGGTGTGGGGAACAGGAGGTCTGCAGGAGGCTGGTGTGGGGAACAGGAGGTCTGCAGGAGGCTGGTGTGGGGAACAGGAGGTCTGCAGGGAGGCTGGTGTGGGGTAGAGGAGGTCTGCAGGAGGCTGGTGTGGGGAACAGGAGGTCTGCAGGAGGCTGGTGTGGGGTAGAGGAGGTCTGCAGGAGGCTGGTGTGGGGTAGAGGAGGTATGCAGGAGGCTGGTGTGGGGTAGAGGAGGTATGCAGGAGGCTGGTGTGGGGTAGAGGAGGTATGCAGGAGGCTGGTGTGGGGTAGAGGAGGTATGCAGGAGGCTGGTGTGGGGTAGAGGAGGTATGCAGGAGGCTGGTGTGGGGTAGAGGAGGTCTGCAGGAGGCTGGTGTGGGGTAGAGGAGGTATGCAGGAGGCTGGTGTGGGGTAGAGGAGGTCTGCAGGAGGCTGGTGTGGGGTAGAGGAGGTCTGCAGGAGGCTGGTGTGGGGTAGAGGAGGTCTGCAGGAGGCTGGTGTGGGGTAGAGGAGGTATGCAGGAGGCTGGTGTGGGGTAGAGGAGGTCTGCAGGAGGCTGGTGTGGGGTAGAGGAGGTATGCAGGAGGCTGGTGTGGGGTAGAGGAGGTCTGCAGGAGGCTGGTGTGGGGTAGAGGAGGTCTGCAGGAGGCTGGTGTGGGGTAGAGGAGGTCTGCAGGAGGCTGGTGTGGGGTAGAGGAGGTCTGCAGGAGGCTGGTGTGGGGTAGAGGAGGTCTGCAGGAGGCTGGTGTGGGGTAGAGGAGGTCTGCAGGAGGCTGGTGTGGGGTAGAGGAGGTCTGCAGGAGGCTGGTGTGGGGTAGAGGAGGTCTGCAGGAGGCTGGTGTGGGGTAGAGGAGGTCTGCAGGAGGCTGGTGTGGGGTAGAGGAGGTCTGCAGGAGGCTGGTGTGGGGTAGAGGAGGTATGCAGGAGGCTGGTGTGGGGTAGAGGAGGTATGCAGGAGGCTGGTGTGGGGTAGAGGAGGTATGCAGGAGGCTGGTGTGGGGTAGAGGAGGTCTGCAGGAGGCTGGTGTGGGGTAGAGGAGGTATGCAGGAGGCTGGTGTGGGGTAGAGGAGGTCTGCAGGAGGCTGGTGTGGGGTAGAGGAGGTCTGCAGGAGGCTGGTGTGGGGTAGAGGAGGTATGCAGGAGGCTGGTGTGGGGTAGAGGAGGTCTGCAGGAGGCTGGTGTGGGGTAGAGGAGGTCTGCAGGAGGCTGGTGTGGGGTAGAGGAGGTCTGCAGGAGGCTGGTGTGGGGTAGAGGAGGTCTGCAGGAGGCTGGTGTGGGGTAGAGGAGGTCTGCAGGAGGCTGGTGTGGGGTAGAGGAGGTCTGCAGGAGGCTGGTGTGGGGTAGAGGAGGTCTGCAGGAGGCTGGTGTGGGGAAGAGGAGGTCTGCAGGAGGCTGGTGTGGGGTAGAGGAGGTCTGCAGGAGGCTGGTGTGGGGTAGAGGAGGTCTGCAGGAGGCTGGTGTGGGGAACAGGAGGTCTGCAGGAGGCTGGTGTGTGGGAACAGGAGGTCTGCAGGAGGCTGGTGTGGGGAACAGGAGGTCTGCAGGAGGCTGGTGTGGGGTAGAGGAGGTCTGCAGGAGGCTGGTGTGGGGTAGAGGAGGTCTGCAGGAGGCTGGTGTGGGGTAGAGGAGGTCTGCAGGAGGCTGGTGTGGGGTAGAGGAGGTCTGCAGGAGGCTGGTGTGGGGTAGAGGAGGTCTGCAGGAGGCTGGTGTGGGGTAGAGGAGGTCTGCAGGAGGCTGGTGTGGGGTAGAGGAGGTATGCAGGAGGCTGGTGTGGGGTAGAGGAGGTCTGCAGGAGGCTGGTGTGGGGTAGAGGAGGTCTGCAGGAGGCTGGTGTGGGGTAGAGGAGGTCTGCAGGAGGCTGGTGTGGGGAAGAGGAGGTCTGCAGGAGGCTGGTGTGGGGTAGAGGAGGTCTGCAGGAGGCTGGTGTGGGGAACAGGAGGTCTGCAGGAGGCTGGTGTGTGGAACAGGAGGTCTGCAGGAGGCTGGTGTGGGGAACAGGAGGTCTGCAGGAGGCTGGTGTGGGGTAGAGGAGGTCTGCAGGAGGCTGGTGTGGGGAACAGGAGGTCTGCAGGAGGCTGGTGTGGGGTAGAGGAGGTCTGCAGGAGGCTGGTGTGGGGTAGAGGAGGTCTGCAGGAGGCTGGTGTGGGGTAGAGGAGGTCTGCAGGAGGCTGGTGTGGGGTAGAGGAGGTATGCAGGAGGCTGGTGTGGGGTAGAGGAGGTATGCAGGAGGCTGGTGTGGGGTAGAGGAGGTATGCAGGAGGCTGGTGTGGGGTAGAGGAGGTCTGCAGGAGGCTGGTGTGGGGTAGAGGAGGTATGCAGGAGGCTGGTGTGGGGTAGAGGAGGTCTGCAGGAGGCTGGTGTGGGGTAGAGGAGGTCTGCAGGAGGCTGGTGTGGGGTAGAGGAGGTCTGCAGGAGGCTGGTGTGGGGTAGAGGAGGTCTGCAGGAGGCTGGTGTGGGGTAGAGGAGGTCTGCAGGAGGCTGGTGTGGGGTAGAGGAGGTATGCAGGAGGCTGGTGTGGGGTAGAGGAGGTCTGCAGGAGGCTGGTGTGGGGTAGAGGAGGTCTGCAGGAGGCTGGTGTGGGGTAGAGGAGGTCTGCAGGAGGCTGGTGTGGGGTAGAGGAGGTCTGCAGGAGGCTGGTGTGGGGTAGAGGAGGTCTGCAGGAGGCTGGTGTGGGGTAGAGGAGGTCTGCAGGAGGCTGGTGTGGGGTAGAGGAGGTCTGCAGGAGGCTGGTGTGGGGAAGAGGAGGTCTGCAGGAGGCTGGTGTGGGGTAGAGGAGGTCTGCAGGAGGCTGGTGTGGGGTAGAGGAGGTCTGCAGGAGGCTGGTGTGGGGAACAGGAGGTCTGCAGGAGGCTGGTGTGTGGAACAGGAGGTCTGCAGGAGGCTGGTGTGGGGAACAGGAGGTCTGCAGGAGGCTGGTGTGGGGAACAGGAGGTCTGCAGGAGGCTGGTGTGTGGAACAGGAGGTCTGCAGGAGGCTGGTGTGGGGTAGAGGAGGTCTGCAGGAGGCTGGTGTGTGGAACAGAAGGTCTGCAGGAGGCTGGTGTGGGGTAGAGGAGGTCTGCAGGAGGCTGGTGTGTGGAACAGGAGGTCTGCAGGAGGCTGGTGTGTGGAACAGGAGGTCTGCAGGAGGCTGGTGTGGGGAACAGGAGGTTTGCAGGAGGCTGGTGTGGGGAACAGGAGGTCTGCAGGAGGCTGATGTGGGGAAGAGGAGGTCTGCAGGAGGCTGGTGTGGGGTAGAGGAGGTTTGCAGGAGGCTGGTGTGGGGAACAGTAGGTCTGCAGGAGGCTGGTGTGGGGAACAAGAGGTCTGCAGGAGGCTGATGTGGGGAAGAGGAGGTCTGCAGGAGGCTGGTGTGGGGAACAGGAGGTCTGCAGGAGGCTGGTGTGGGGAACAGGAGGTCTGCAGGAGGCTGGTGTGTGGAACAGGAGGTCTGCAGGAGGCTGGTGTGGGGAACAGGAGGTCTGCAGGAGGCTGGTGTGGGGTAGAGGAGGTCTGCAGGAGGCTGGTGTGGGGTAGAGGAGGTCTGCAGGAGGCTGGTGTGGGGTAGAGGAGGTCTGCAGGAGGCTGGTGTGGGGTAGAGGAGGTCTGCAGGAGGCTGGTGTGGGGTAGAGGAGGTCTGCAGGAGGCTGGTGTGGGGTAGAGGAGGTCTGCAGGAGGCTGGTGTGGGGTAGAGGAGGTCTGCAGGAGGCTGGTGTGGGGTAGAGGAGGTATGCAGGAGGCTGGTGTGGGGTAGAGGAGGTCTGCAGGAGGCTGGTGTGGGGTAGAGGAGGTCTGCAGGAGGCTGGTGTGGGGTAGAGGAGGTCTGCAGGAGGCTGGTGTGGGGAAGAGGAGGTCTGCAGGAGGCTGGTGTGGGGTAGAGGAGGTCTGCAGGAGGCTGGTGTGGGGAACAGGAGGTCTGCAGGAGGCTGGTGTGTGGAACAGGAGGTCTGCAGGAGGCTGGTGTGGGGAACAGGAGGTCTGCAGGAGGCTGGTGTGGGGTAGAGGAGGTCTGCAGGAGGCTGGTGTGGGGAACAGGAGGTCTGCAGGAGGCTGGTGTGGGGTAGAGGAGGTCTGCAGGAGGCTGGTGTGGGGTAGAGGAGGTCTGCAGGAGGCTGGTGTGGGGTAGAGGAGGTCTGCAGGAGGCTGGTGTGGGGTAGAGGAGGTATGCAGGAGGCTGGTGTGGGGTAGAGGAGGTATGCAGGAGGCTGGTGTGGGGTAGAGGAGGTATGCAGGAGGCTGGTGTGGGGTAGAGGAGGTCTGCAGGAGGCTGGTGTGGGGTAGAGGAGGTATGCAGGAGGCTGGTGTGGGGTAGAGGAGGTCTGCAGGAGGCTGGTGTGGGGTAGAGGAGGTCTGCAGGAGGCTGGTGTGGGGTAGAGGAGGTCTGCAGGAGGCTGGTGTGGGGTAGAGGAGGTCTGCAGGAGGCTGGTGTGGGGTAGAGGAGGTCTGCAGGAGGCTGGTGTGGGGTAGAGGAGGTATGCAGGAGGCTGGTGTGGGGTAGAGGAGGTATGCAGGAGGCTGGTGTGGGGTAGAGGAGGTCTGCAGGAGGCTGGTGTGGGGTAGAGGAGGTCTGCAGGAGGCTGGTGTGGGGTAGAGGAGGTCTGCAGGAGGCTGGTGTGGGGTAGAGGAGGTCTGCAGGAGGCTGGTGTGGGGTAGAGGAGGTCTGCAGGAGGCTGGTGTGGGGTAGAGGAGGTCTGCAGGAGGCTGGTGTGGGGTAGAGGAGGTCTGCAGGAGGCTGGTGTGGGGAAGAGGAGGTCTGCAGGAGGCTGGTGTGGGGTAGAGGAGGTCTGCAGGAGGCTGGTGTGGGGTAGAGGAGGTCTGCAGGAGGCTGGTGTGGGGAACAGGAGGTCTGCAGGAGGCTGGTGTGTGGAACAGGAGGTCTGCAGGAGGCTGGTGTGGGGAACAGGAGGTCTGCAGGAGGCTGGTGTGGGGTAGAGGAGGTCTGCAGGAGGCTGGTGTGGGGTAGAGGAGGTCTGCAGGAGGCTGGTGTGGGGTAGAGGAGGTCTGCAGGAGGCTGGTGTGGGGTAGAGGAGGTCTGCAGGAGGCTGGTGTGGGGTAGAGGAGGTCTGCAGGAGGCTGGTGTGGGGTAGAGGAGGTCTGCAGGAGGCTGGTGTGGGGTAGAGGAGGTCTGCAGGAGGCTGGTGTGGGGAAGAGGAGGTCTGCAGGAGGCTGGTGTGGGGTAGAGGAGGTCTGCAGGAGGCTGGTGTGGGGTAGAGGAGGTCTGCAGGAGGCTGGTGTGGGGAACAGGAGGTCTGCAGGAGGCTGGTGTGTGGAACAGGAGGTCTGCAGGAGGCTGGTGTGGGGAACAGGAGGTCTGCAGGAGGCTGGTGTGGGGAACAGGAGGTCTGCAGGAGGCTGGTGTGTGGAACAGGAGGTCTGCAGGAGGCTGGTGTGGGGTAGAGGAGGTCTGCAGGAGGCTGGTGTGTGGAACAGAAGGTCTGCAGGAGGCTGGTGTGGGGTAGAGGAGGTCTGCAGGAGGCTGGTGTGTGGAACAGGAGGTCTGCAGGAGGCTGGTGTGTGGAACAGGAGGTCTGCAGGAGGCTGGTGTGGGGAACAGGAGGTTTGCAGGAGGCTGGTGTGGGGAACAGGAGGTCTGCAGGAGGCTGATGTGGGGAAGAGGAGGTCTGCAGGAGGCTGGTGTGGGGTAGAGGAGGTTTGCAGGAGGCTGGTGTGGGGAACAGTAGGTCTGCAGGAGGCTGGTGTGGGGAACAAGAGGTCTGCAGGAGGCTGATGTGGGGAAGAGGAGGTCTGCAGGAGGCTGGTGTGGGGAACAGGAGGTCTGCAGGAGGCTGGTGTGGGGAACAGGAGGTCTGCAGGAGGCTGGTGTGTGGAATAGGAGGTCTGCAGGAGGCTGGTGTGGGGTAGAGGAGGTCTGCAGGAGGCTGGTGTGTGGAACAGGAGGTCTGCAGGAGGCTGGTGTGTGGAACAGGAGGTCTGCAGGAGGCTGGTGTGGGGTAGAGGAGGTCTGCAGGAGGCTGGTGTGGGGTAGAGGAGGTCTGCAGGAGGCTGGTGTGTGGAACAGGAGGTCTGCAGGAGGCTGGTGTGTGGAACAGGAGGTCTGCAGGAGGCTGGTGTGTGGAACAGGAGGTCTTCAGGAGGCTGGTGTGGGGTACAGGAGGTCTGCAGGAGGCTGGTGTGGGGAACAGGAGGTCTGCAGGAGGCTGGTGTGTGGAACAGGAGGTCTGCAGGAGGCTGGTGTGGGGAACAGGAGGTCTGCAGGAGGCTGGTGTGGGGAACAGGAGGTCTGCAGGAGGCTGGTGTGGGGTAGAGGAGGTCTGTAGGAGGCTGGTGTGGGGAACAGGAGGTCTGCAGGAGGCTGGTGTGGGGAACAGGAGGTCTGCAGGAGGCTGGTGTGGGGTAGAGGAGGTCTGCAGGAGGCTGGTGTGGGGTAGAGGAGGTCTGCAGGAGGCTGGTGTGGGGAAGAGGAGGTCTGCAGGAGGCTGGTGTGGGGTAGAGGAGGTTTGCAGGAGGCTGGTGTGGGGAAGAGGAGGTCTGCAGGAGGCTGGTGTGGGGTAGAGGAGGTCTGCAGGAGGCTGGTGTGGGGTAGAGGAGGTATGCAGGAGGCTGGTGTGGGGAACAGGAGGTCTGCAGGAGGCTGGTGTGGGGTAGAGGAGGTCTGCAGGAGGCTGGTGTGGGGAACAGGAGGTCTGCAGGAGGCTGGTGTGGGGTAGAGGAGGTCTGCAGGAGGCTGGTGTGGGGTAGAGGAGGTATGCAGGAGGCTGGTGTGGGGTAGAGGAGGTCTGCAGGAGGCTGGTGTGGGGAACAGGAGGTCTGCAGGAGGCTGGTGTGGGGAACAGGAGGTCTGCAGGAGGCTGGTGTGGGGAAGAGGAGGTCTGCAGGAGGCTGGTGTGGGGTAGGAGGAGGTCTGCAGGAGGCTGGTGTGGGGTAGAGGAGGTCTGCAGGAGGCTGGTGTGGGGTAGAGGAGGTCTGCAGGAGGCTGGTGTGGGGTAGAGGAGGTCTGCAGGAGGCTGGTGTGGGGTAGAGGAGGTCTGCAGGAGGCTGGTGTGGGGTAGAGGAGGTCTGCAGGAGGCTGGTGTGGGGTAGAGGAGGTCTGCAGGAGGCTGGTGTGGGGTAGAGGAGGTCTGCAGGAGGCTGGTGTGGGGTAGAGGAGGTCTGCAGGAGGCTGGTGTGGGGAACAGGAGGTCTGCAGGAGGCTGGTGTGGGGTAGAGGAGGTCTGCAGGAGGCTGATGTGGGGTAGAGGAGGTCTGCAGGAGGCTGATGTGGGGAAGAGGAGGTCTGCAGAGGAGGCTGATGTGGGGTAGAGGAGGTCTGCAGGAGGCTGATGTGGGGTAGAGGAGGTCTGCAGGAGGCTGGTGTGGGGTAGAGGAGGTCTGCAGGAGGCTGGTGTGGGGAACAGGAGGTCTGCAGGAGGCTGATGTGGGGTAGAGGAGGTCTGCAGGAGGCTGGTGTGGGGAACAGGAGGTCTGCAGGAGGCTGGTGTGGGGAACAGGAGGTCTGCAGGAGGCTGGTGTGGGGAACAGGAGGCTTGGGTAGTTCGTCCAATAGAAAGACTCTTGTACGAGGAGAGAGGAGACGAGGAGAGAGGAGACGAGGAGAGAGGAGACGAGGAGAGAGGAGACGAGGAGAGAGGAGAGAGGAGACGAGGAGAGAGATACTGGTTGCCTCGCTTCTGTCAGTGTGCCCCAGGGCAGCTGTGGCTACAGTAGTAGTTTATCACCACTGTGTTTGGAGTGAGAGAATAATAACGCTTCTTTGAGTGTCCGAAGAAGCACAATATAAAACCGATTCATTATTATTATTGTTTTATTCTGGTCCAACCCTCCTGCTTCCTGGATTCTACTATTATCTACTACTATCTACTTTTATTTTACTGTTTTACAACAACCTTCTCCGGGACTACAGGTGTAAATTAGCACTGCTGCTATAACCTGGTACAAAGCATCTATGTTTATTGTACACTGTCCCTGTAAAAATAAAAACCATACCATACCATTAGCCCGTTAGCATAGACAGGCTAACGGTGAGAAGGGTACGAGTCAGGTCTGTGTGCCCTCCTGCAGGTGGAGCGTGTGCCCAGCCCAGAGCCCCATCGCCGTGGTTACAGAGACAGCGACCGCCCCCGCAGATCTGCTTCACCACGACACAGACGCAGCCGCTCTCCCAGAAGGTAAGACCGCTAAAGCTCAGGTCTGTAACTTTAGTATCAGAAATAACACATGTTTAAAGCTGAGGTCTTTTTATTAGTAATCAATCATGTCATGTTTTGTGTCAGAACGATCCTTGTGAGTCACTATTGGACTCTTTGGGCTGAGAGCTGAGAGCAGATTGGCTGAGAGCAGATTGGCTGAGAGCAGATTGGCTGAGAGCTGATTGGCTGAGAGCTGGTGGTCCTCTCTTTGTCACTTTTCTGTCTGAATAATCTGATCTGAAGATGTGAGACCGAAACACATGAAAACTAGTGATGGAAGCAACTGTTTTAGAGCCAAGAACTAGAGACATGTTTTTTTTTTTTTTTTAGAGTTCTACTGGTACTGTCTTAAAGTTATGTATCCTAGCTTTAAAGTGACATACCCCAGGTTTAAAGTTCCCCTCACAATAAGGATCTGAGGGAGACTAAACATGGCAACTGTTCTGTTTTCCAGACGCAGTCGATCTCCAAAGAGACGCAGGTAAGTCCTTCATGGTCCTCAGCTCCTGTCCATGTCCTGGTTCATCTGAGCCAAAATGTTAAAGCTGGTGTGTGTAATTTCAGTCCGTCGCCGCGCAGAGAGAGACACCGCAGCAAGAGCCCCAGACGCCACAGGTCCAGAGAGAGACGTCACAAGTCCCCAGGTATCAGAGCTGAAGGAAAGTTGATCAAATAATTAGTCATGACACCAAGGACGCCTTATATCATGTTTATAACAGATTAAAAACATCTCACACAATATTAAAAATACAGAATAAGTGAGACATTATAGCGCACCCAAAGCGCTTTACAATGTTGAGAGTTCATCCATCCATTCACTCACTCACTCCAATCAGACCTATTGCACATGGTTTTAGTGGTAGGAGAAACCGGAGCACCTGGAGGAAACTTATGTAGACACAGGGAGAACATGCAAACTCCAGAGAAAGGCCTGGAGGTGGAATCGAACCCAGGACACGAGCTCTAACCCTTGCCACCAATAAATAAAACCATCATTTTTAATAATAAATAGAAATCCATGTTATTTAATACAAACAATAAGCCGGTTTAGAGACGGTCGCAGAGGAAGCAGAGATGGAAGAGTTGTTTGCACTGAGCGTGACGGAGCGAGAGCCGTCAGAGAAACTTAAACGGTGTGTTCTGTCGCAGGTCACCACAGAAGCCACAGACACAGGAGTCAGTCCAAGTCTCCAGAGAGGTCAGTGTGTTTCTCTTTCAACTCTAGAATGGAGCCGTTTCACGTGTTCTTCTCCCAAACGTCTGGGTTTTGTGTTTTTACAGGAGTTCCAAAAAGAGCCACAAGAAGAGCCGCCGGCACGAGTGACCCCTGAAGAGACCCCTGAGGGACCGCCGTCTGTACATCTGTGTTTTTATAGAATAATTTCATGTGTTTTATCAAAGAGAAACACTGCCCTGTGTCAATAAACAAGTTTGGATCAAGGAAATGTACGTCACTGATGAATAACACATGTTTAAAGCTGAGATACTGGGTTTCTACAGTCCTGGGAGTGTCTCACTGTGGGGCCCCCTGAGGTTTCTCACTTCTCCCTCTGGGTCTGAGTGGAGGGTCTAAGGACAGCGATGACCCTGGACATCTGTGGACAGTTCTGGACTGTGCCGCTCCCTCTGGACCGATGGCTCCTTTTGTGTCTATTATTGCATTTCCTGTGTTTTCAAACGGTTTGATTCTCTGATCTGTCGCTGGTGAATCCACAACTTTGTAAAGTCCTCCAAGACGACTGCAGCTGTGATGTCTTCAAATACTGGATGGATGGATGGATGGTTTCGATGTCTTTCCCCGCACTTTGAGACAGCACCAAGGATCAATATGTACAATATGTTTGATCATTCTTTCACTTTGGTAATAAAATTTAAATCATTGTAAAATGTTGTTTTATATTCATAAATATATCTATATATAACAAAGACATTTCATTCAATTTGTATAATTACATAAACTGCATTAAAAGAAATAAACGGGAAAAATACCACAGTATTGATGTTTACGAGTGAGCACGTGAGCTGTGACGTCACAGTCTAAAATGGCGGCTGCGGGTCTCTGTGAAGAAGGTGAAAACAACCGTGAGTAAAACATTTCTGCTTCGGTTTGTGTTTGTCCCGTTACTGCAGCAAGACCCGTGTTTGGGCCCCAGGATCGGGTTTATGGGTCCGGTGTAAGGGCCCCAAGACCGAGGGCTGTTCAGGTTTAACGGGATGAGACGAGGAGAGAGGGCCCCAGCGCAGAGCTCCATCACAGGGCCCAAACAGAGGAGAGGACCCCAGCGCTGAGCTCCATCACAGGGCCCAAACAGAGGAGAGGACCCCAGCGCAGAGCTCCATCACAGGGCCCAAACAGAGGAGAGGACCCCAGCGCTGAGCTCCATCACAGGGCCCAAACAGAGGAGAGGACCCCAGCGCTGAGCTCCATCACAGGTCCCAAGCAGAGGAGAGGGCCCCAGCGCTGAGCTCCATCACAGGGCCCAAACAGAGGAGAGGACCCCAGCGCTGAGCTCCATCACAGGGCCCTAACAGAGGAGAGGACCCCAGCGCAGAGCTCCATCACAGGGCCCAAACAGAGGAGAGGACCCCAGCGCTGAGCTCCATCACAGGTCCCAAGCAGAGGAGAGGGCCCCAGCGCAGAGCTCCATCACAGGGCCCAAACAGAGGAGAGGGCCCCAGCGCTGAGCTCCATCACAGGGCCCAAACAGAGGAGAGGGCCCCAGCGCGGAGCTCCATCACAGGGCCCAAACAGAGGAGAGGACCCCAGCGCTGAGCTCCATCACAGGTCCCAAGCAGAGGAGAGGGCCCCAGCGCTGAGCTCCATCACAGGGCCCAAACAGAGGAGAAGGCCCCAGCGCAGAGCTCCATCACAGGGCCCAAACAGAGGAGAGGGCCCCAGCGCTGAGCTCCATCACAGGGCCCAAACAGAGGAGAGGGCCCCAGCGCAGAGCTCCATCACAGGGCCCAAACAGAGGAGAGGGCCCCAGCGCGGAGCTCCACCACGGGGCCCTATTAGAGTAGACAGGGGCCTACTGTCAAAAGCGTATTATCATTATGGACTGTCACACGAGGCCTCTTTAAAATCTCTGTAACATCCTCCATCTCTGTTCCTGACCAAGCTGAGCACCATCTGGGGTTGGGTCCCTGGGCGCTGAGCTGATGGGTGCAGGGCAGGGCGGGTCAAATGCAGAAGACACATTTCAAACTGGACAAAGTAAACTCTAATGATTTTGTATTTCTCCACAGAAGGAAACATGAGTTTGGGAAATGTAAAAGAAGAGAGTGACAACAAACCCCTCAGCACTGGTACAATATACTAATACTACTACTGCTAATGTTATTAATACTACTGCTTAAAGTACTCCTGCGTCACATTACTACTCCAACTTCTACTACTACTACTGCTGCTGCCATTACTGCTACTACTACAACAAATACTGCTGCTACTACTAGGTCGTACAACTAGTGTCACCTGACTCTTGTCTCTTCTCAGAGAAACACATCTCCATCCAGAGTCGTTTGGAAGATCTGGAGGCTCTGGTCGACCTGAACGGAGGTGAGACCACTGCACTGGGCTGATGTGGGCTAAACACTGGGCTGATGTGGGCTAAACACTGGGCTGATGTGGTCTAAACACTGGGCTGATGTGGGCTAAACACTGGGCTGATGTGGGCTAAACACTGGGCTGATGTGGGCTAAACACTGGGCTGATGTGGTCTAAACACTGGGCTGATGTGGGCTAAACACTGGGCTGATGTGGGCTAAACACTGGGCTGATGTGGGCTAAACACTGGGCTGATGTGGTCTAAACACTGGGCTGATGTGGGCTAAACACTGAGCTGATGTGGGCTAAACACTGGGCTGATGTGGTCTAAACACTGGGCTGATGTGGTCTAAACACTGGGCTGATGTGGGCTAAACACTGGGCTGATGTGGGCTAAACACTGGGCTGATGTGGTCTAAACACTGGGCTGATGTGGTCTAAACACTGGGCTGATGTGGTCTAAACACTGGGCTGATGTGGGCTAAACACTGGGCTGATTTGGGCTAAACACTGGGCTGATGTGGGCTAAACACTGGGCTGATGTGGTCTAAACACTGGGCTGATGTGGTCTAAACACTGGGCTGATGTGGTCTAAACACTAGGCTGATGTGGTCTAAACACTGGGCTGATGTGGGCTAAACACTGGGGTGATGTGGGCTAAACACTGGGCTGATGTGGTCTAAACACTGGGCTGATGTGGGCTAAACACTGGGCTGATGTGGTCTAAACACTGGGCTGATGTGGGCTAAACACTGGGCTGATGTGGGCTAAACACTGGGCTGATGTGGGCTAAACACTGGGGTGATGTGGGCTAAACACTGGGGTGATGTGGGCTAAACACTGGGGTGATGTGGGCTAAACACTGGGGTGATGTGGGCTAAACACTGGGGTGATGTGGGCTAAACACTGGGCTGATGTGGTCTAAACACTGGGCTGATGTGGTCTAAACACTGGGCTGATGTGGGCTAAACACTGGGCTGATGTGGGCTAAACACTGGGCTGATGTGGTCTAAACACTGGGCTGATGTGGGCTAAACACTGGGCTGATGTGGGCTAAACACTGGGCTGATGTGGGCTAAACACTGGGCTGATGTGGTCTAAACACTGGGGTGATGTGCTCTCTTGCAGCTGGGAGGAAGCCGTGTCCTCTTTGTCCTGAGGAGAAGTTTAAGTCGTGCTACAGCCACAAACTGAGGCGACACCTTCAGAACCTGCACTGGAAGGTCTACGTGGAGCTGCAGGGTGAGGGCCGCACGGAGGGATGTTCACGCCTGCTCTGGCAACAAAGTGTGACAACTTTCCCCTCATGTTTCAGGTCAGAGGATGTGCATCTGTCACCTCCCCTGCCCCACGACCAAGCCCAGTCCTCCCTCTGAGCAGGTACTAGTCCAGACCTGCTTAAGTCCTGCTTAAGTCCTGCTTAAGTCCGTCTTAAGTCCTGCTTAAGTCCTGCTTAAGTCCTGCTTAAGTCCTGCTTAAGTCCTGCTTAAGTCCTGCTTAAGTCCTGCTTAAGTCCTGCTTAAGTCCTGCTTTAGACCTCCTGCTTTAGTCCTGCTTTAGACCTGCTTTAGTCCTGCTTAAGTCCTGCTTAAGTCCTGCTTAAGTCCTGCTTAAGTCCTGCTTAAGTCCTGCTTTAGACCTCCTGCTTTAGACCTCCTGCTTTGGACCTGCTTTAGTCCTGCTTTAGACCTCCTTTAGACCTGCTTTAGTCCTGCTTTAAACCTGCTTTAAACCTGCTTCAGACCTGTTTTAGTCCTGCTTTAGTCCTGCTTTAGACCTGCTTTAGTCCTGCTTTAGACCTGCTTTAGTCCCGCTTTAGACCTGCTTTAGACCCGCTTTAGTCCTGCTTTAGTCCTGCTTTAGTCCTTCTTTAGTCCTGCTTTAGACCTCCTTTAGACCTGCTTTAGTCCTGCTTTAGTCCTGCTTTAGTCCTGCTTTATTCCTGCTTTAGTCCTGCTTTAGACCTGCTTTAGTCCTGCTTTAGACCTGCTTTAGACCTGCTTTAGTCCTGCTTTAGTCCTCCTTTAGACCTGCTTTAGTCCTGCTTTAGTCCTCCTTTAGACCTGCTTCAGACCTGTTTTAGTCCTGCTTTAGTCCTGCTTTAGACCTGCTTTAGTCCTGCTTTAGTCCTCCTTTAGACCTGCTTTAGACCTGTTTTAGTCCTGCTTTAGACCTGCTTTAGACCTGTTTTAGACCTACTTTAGTCCTCCTTTGTACCTGCTTCAGACCTGTTTTAGACCTGCTTTAGTCCTGCTTTAGACCTGCTTTAGTCCTGCTTTAGTCCTGCTTTAGACCTGCTTTAGTCCTGCTTTAGACCTGCTTTAGACCTGCTTTAGTCCTGCTTTAGTCCTGCTTTAGTCCTGCTTTAGACCTGCTTTAGTCCTGCTTTAGTCCTGCTTTAGACCTGCTTTAGTCCTGCTTTAGTCCTGCTTTAGACCTGCTTTAGACCTGCTTTAGACCTACTTTAGTCCTCCTTTAGTCCTGCTTCAGACCTGCTTTAGACCTGCTTTAGTCCTGCTTTAGACCTGCTTTAGTCCTGCTTTAGTCCTGCTTTAGACCTGCTTTAGTCCTGCTTTAGACCTGCTTTAGACCTGCTTTAGTCCTGCTTTAGTCCTGCTTTAGTCCTGCTTTAGACCTGCTTTAGTCCTGCTTTAGTCCTCCTTTAGACCTGCTTTAGTCCTGCTTTAGTCCTCCTTTAGACCTGCTTCAGACCTGCTTTAGACCTACTTTAGTCCTCCTTTATACCTGCTTCAGACCTGTTTTAGACCTACTTCAGTCCTCCTTTACACCTGCTTCAGACCTGTTTTAGACCTGCTTTAGTCCTGCTTTAGTCCTGCTTTAGTCCTGCTTTAGTCCTGCTTTAGTCCTGCTTTAGACCTGCTTCAGACCTGTTTTAGTCCTGCTTTAGTCCTGTTTTAGACCTGCTTTAGTCCTGCTTTAGTCCTGCTTTAGTCCTGCTTTAGTCCTGCTTTAGACCTGCTTCAGACCTGTTTTAGTCCTGCTTTAGTCCTGCTTTAGTCCTGCTTTAGTCCTGCTTTAGTCCTGCTTTAGTCCTGCTTTAGACCTGCTTCAGACCTGTTTTAGTCCTGCTTAAGTCCTGTTTTAGACCTGCTTTAGACTTGGTTCTGGTCTTTCTTTCAGACCTGTCGTCTCGTGGCCCACTTTCACTGTGTGGTCTGCTCTGGGACCATCACTCGTAAAACTGACATGATCAGTCACCTGAAGCGCCACACGACCCGAGGGGAGACCCAGGCCAGCTTCAGCCTGGACCCAGACCAGGACCAAGACCAGGACTCAGGTAAGACCCAGACCCACGGACCCAGGCCTGCTTCAGCCTTGACCAAGACCAGGTACAACCAGGTAACACCCAGACCGGCTTTGGCCTGGACCCGGTAACCACAGTCTGTATAATAGTGGACAGTGGAGTTCTGTCCCATTCCTCTCTCCTCAGCAGTTCTGTCCCATTCTCCTCTCTCCTCAGCAATTCTGTCCCATTCCTTTCTCCCCCTGAGCAGTTCTGGCCAATTCCTCTCTCCTTCAGCAGTTCTGTCCCATTCCTCTCTCCTCAGCAGTTCTGTCCCATTCCTCTCTCCCCCTGAGCAGTTCTGGCCAATTCCTCTCTCCTTCAGCAGTTCTGTCCCAATCCTCTCTCCCCCTGAGCAGTTCTGTCCCATTCCTCTCTCCTCAGCAGTTCTGTCTCATTCCTCTCTCCTTCAGCAGTTCTGTCCCAATCCTCTCTCCCCCTGAGCAGTTTTGTCCCATTCCTCTCTCCTCAGCAGTTCTGTCCCATTCCTCTCTCCTCAGCTGTGTGCGGTCGGACTCTGGAGATCATGAAGGAGCTCGGCACAAACGTTCAGCTGATGCCGAACTACAGCACTCCTCAAAAGAGTGACACCTACTTCAGCCGCAAGATGAAGACCAACAGGTGAGGCCTAAAGCTGGGGTATGTGACTTTAAAGCTGTAAAGTCTGGGGTACGTGACTTTAAAGCTGTAAAGTCTGGGGTACGTGACTTTAAAGCTGTAAAGTCTGGGGTACGTGACTTTAAAGCTGGGGTATGTGACTTTAAAGCTGGGGTACGTGACTTTAAAGCTGGGGTATGTGACTTTAAAGCTGTAAAGTCGGGGTATGTGACTTTAAATCTGGGGTATGTGATTTTAAAGCTGGGGTACGTGACTTTAAAGCTGGGGTATGTGACTTTAAAGCTGGGGTTCGTGACTTTAAAGCTGGGGTATGTGACTTTAAAGCTGGGGTACGTGACTTTAAAGCTGGGGTTCGTGACTTTAAAGCTGGGGTACGTGACTTTAAAGCTGGGGTTCGTGACTTTAAAGCCGTCCCTGTGCTGCTTCCCAGACAGCTGGTGTTCTGCTCTCTCGCTGTCCTCGCTGAAGAGAGAAGTCCTCTGGAAGCTCTGGACGCTTTCGGAGCCACAGGTGAGAGACACGCACAGCTGGGCCTCCAACCCGTCTTGCGACCTGGTCTCTCTCTGCTCTCTTTTTGGTCTCTCTCGCTAGTCTTTTTCAGCTTTCTCTGGTCTCTCTTTATGCTCGCTCTCTTTCTTGTCTGTCTCTCTGCTCTCTCCCTCAGGGCTCTATGCTCTCTTTCTCTCTGCTCTCTCTGGTCTCTACCTCTCTGCTCTCTCTCTCTTCTCTTCTCTCTCTCTCTGCTCTTTATCTCTCTCGCTCTCTCTCTTGCTCTGTCTCTCTCTCTCTCTGCTCTCACTCTCTCTCTCTGTCTCTCTCTACTCGCTCGCTCTCTCTCTCTCTGCTCTCCCTCTGCTCTCTCTCTCTGGTCTCTCTGCTCTCTTCTCTCTCTCTCTACTCTCTGCTCTCTCTCTCTTCTCTTCTCTCTCTCTCTGCTCTTTATCTCTCTCGCTCTCTCTCTTGCTCTGTCTCTCTCTCTCTCTCTCTCTCTACTCTCTGCTCTCTCTCTCTTCTCTTCTCTCTCTCTCTGCTCTTTATCTCTCTCACCTCTCTCTCTGTCTCTCTCTCTCTCTCTCTCTCTCTCTCTCTCTCTCTCTCTCTCTCTGCTCTCTCTCTCTCTCTCTCTCGCTCTCTCTCTCTCTGCTCTCTCTCTCTTCTCTTCTCACTCTCTCTCTCTCTCTCTCTCTCTGCTCTCTCTCTTCTCTTCTCACTCTCTCTCTCTCTCTCTGCTCTCTCTCTCTCTCTCTGCTCTCTCTCTCTCTCTCTCTCTCTCTGCAGTGTGTTATTTTCCCTGATCCTTGTCTGCAGGCATCATGGGTCTGCAGTGGGCCAAACACCTTCGCTCGTCCGTCAAAGTGACCATCACTGACGTCAGCGACACCTGTGTGACTATGATCAGGGAAAACTGTGAGCTGAACCAGATCCGCGTGGCGCCAGGGGCCGAGTCTGGGTCTGGGTCCGGATCCGGGTCCGGGTCTGGCACAGGACCAGAGACAGAGTCCGGATACATCAACACTGTGGAGGTGAACAAGATGGACGCCAACGTGATGATGCACCTGCGGCCGTTTGACTACATGTGAGTGTGACCTGTGTGTGTGTCTGTTTCTATGTGTGTGTGTCTGTATCTGTGTGTGTGTGTGTCTGTTTCTATGTGTGTCCCAGTGTCTCTGTATCTGTGTGTGTGTGTGTCTGTTTCTATGTGTGTGTGTCTGTTTCTGTGTGTGTGTGTGTCTGTTTCTATGTGTGTGTGTGTCTCTCTGTAACTGTCTCTGTGTTTGTGATTGTGTGTCTCTGTTTTTGTTTCTCTGTGTCTGTGCATGTGTGTCTCCGTCTATGTGTGTGTCTCAGTCTCTCTGTATCTCTCTGTCTCTGTGTGTGTGTGCGTGTGTGTCTCTCTGTCCCTGTGTGTGTCCATGTCTCTCTCTCTCTGTCACTATGGATGTATGTGTGTCTCTTTGTGTGTGTGTGTGTGTGTGTGTGTGTGTGTGCGTGTCTCTCTCTCTCTGACTCGGTCTCTGTGTGTGTGTGTGTGCGTGTCTCTCTCTCTCTGACTCGGTCTCTGTGTGTGTGTGTGTGCGTGTCTCTCTCTCTCTGACTCGGTCTCTGTGTGTGTGTGTGTGCGTGTCTCTCTCTCTCTGACTCGGTCTCTGTGTGTGTGTGTGTGTGTGTCTCTCTCTCTCTGACTCGGTCTCTGTGTGTCTCGGTCTCGGTCTCTGTGTGTGTCTCTCTCTGTCTGTGTGTAACCCCTCCCTCCGTCACAGACACCTGGACCCGTTCGGCTCGGCGGTGAACTTCCTGGACGCCGCCTTCCGGAACGTGCGTAACCTCGGCGTGGTGTCGGTCACGTCCACAGACACTTCTTCGCTTTACGCCAAGACGCCGAACGTGACGCTGCGGCACTACGGCGCCTCTGTGGTCCGCACCGAGTACTACAGGGAGATGGCAGCGCGCATGGTCCTGGACGCGGTCGCACGGTAACACACAGACACAGACACACACTCACACACACACACACAGAGACACACATAGAGACATATACAGACACACACACACAGACAGATACACCATAGACTGGAAAATTGGACGCATTTTCCAAAGCCAACTTTTGGTCCATCCTGTAAAGACGTTTTTGAGAGGTCTGCCAACGCTATATGTTAGCATTGGCTAATTCTACTTCTGGGTCCACCCCCACAGGCCCGGGGTGGTATTGCAGCATGTCAGCGCACGTCTTTTTGGCCACTTTTGAGCCGGGACCCTCCCCCACTGATACACACAGAGACACATAGACACCCCTGTCTCGTACTTGCCTCTCCACAGAGCTGGTACCTCTTTGTTGTCTCTCTCTGGTCTCACCCCTGTCTCCATCTTTCTGTGATCTTTCTGTGGTCTCTCTCTGTGGTTTCTCTCTGTTCTCTCTCTGGTTTCTGTCTGGTCTCTCTCTCTTGTCTCTCTCTCTGCTCTCTCTCTCTGGTCTCTCTCTGCTCTCTCTCAGCTCTCTCTGGTCTCTCTCTGGTCTCTCTCTGCTCTCTCTCTCTGGTGTCTCTCGCTCTGGTCTCTCTCGTTCTGGTCTCTCTCTGGTCTCTCTCTGCTCTCTCTCTGGTCTCTCTCTGGTCTCTCTGGTCTCAGCCCTGTCTCTCTCTGCTCTCTCTCTGGTCTCTCTCTGGTCTCTCTGGTCTCAGCCCTGTCTCTCTCTGGTCTCTCTCTGGTCTCTCTCTGGTCTCTCTCTGGTCTCTCTGGTCTCAGCCCTGTCTCTCTCTGGTCTCTCTGGTCTCTCTCTGGTCTCTCTCTGGTCTCTCTGGTCTCAGCCCTGTCTCTCTCCCCACAGAGCCGCTGCCCGCTGTAACAAAGGCATAGACGTTCTTCTGTCTGTGGCGGTGGAACACTTTGTGCTGGTGGTCGTGCGGGTCCTCAGGGGCCCCTCTCAGGCTGATGCCTCGATGCTGCGGCTGCGGAGACTGGTGCACTGTCAGTGGTGTGAGGAGAGGCTGTTCCTGAGGCCCGGGACCCAGAGCGACGGTGAGGAATTTACAATCCCAGCTTTAATCAGGGGAGAGAGTCTTCCTGGACACAGAGCGATGGTCTCACTTTTTGGTGTCTCTCTCTGGTCTCTCTCTGGTCTCTCTCTGGTCTCTCTCTGGTCTCTCTCTGGTCTCTTGTCTCCCTTTGTGGGTCTCACTCTGGTCTCACTCTGGTCTCACTCTGGTCTCTCTCTGGTCTCACTCTGGTCTCACTCTGGTCTCACTCTGGTCTCACTCTGGTCTCTCTCTGGTCTCTCTCTGGTCTCACTCTGCTCTCTCTGGTCTCACTCTGGTCTCACTCTGGTCTCACTCTGGTCTCACTCTGGTCTCTCTCTGGTCTCTCTCTGGTCTCACTCTGGTCTCTCTCTGGTCTCTCTCTGGTCTCTCTCTGGTCTCTCTCTGGTCTCACTCTGGTCTCACTCTGGTCTCACTCTGGTGTCTTCACACTTGATAGTTTTATGTGTTTGTTGCAGACACTTTGCCGTGTTCCTGTCAGGGGACGTTACCTGGGAAGACCTCCGTCACACTGGGACCTCTGTGGTGCGTGAGGGCCGGGTCTGGTGTGGGTCTCCAATCCGGCCTCTGGTCTCTATCTCTGGTCTTCATCTCTGGTCTCTGGTCTAACCCAGTCTCTGGTCTCAGGTCTGGTCCGGTCTTCAACCCCTCGTTCCTCAGGCGGATGCTGGAGGCCGCAGTGCGATACTCGATGGAGGACGTCCAGCCGCTGCTCAAGACTCTGCTCTGTGAGAGCGACTGCAGCCTGAAGACCTCCTCCAGCCTCGGTCTGTCCCCCCAACCCTTCTGCCTGAACCAGAGCACTCCAAACTGTCCCTGTAGCTTAACACTAGAACTCTCAGAGCAGTCGATTTGACTGCTTTACGTTTGGAAAGTGTAATTACTGAGTTTATGAATGTTTTTGGTCTTTTTCTTTTTTTATTTGTATTTTGTAGCTATATAATTATGTTTGTGAAATAATCTTGGTCCTAGAGAGGTCCTAGAGAGGTCCTAGACTGGTCCTAGACTGGTCCAAGACTGGTCCTAGACTGGTCCTAGACTGGTCCTAGACTGGTCCTAGACTGGTCCTGCACTGGTCCTAGACTGGTCCTAGACTGGTCCTAGACTGGTCCAAGACAGGTCCTAGACTGGTCCAAGACTGGTCCTAGACTGGTCCAAGACAGGTCCTAGACTGGTCCTAGACTGGTCCTAGACTGGTCCTGCACTGGTCCTAGACTGGTCCTAGACTGGTCCTAGACTGGTCCTAGACTGGTCCTGCACTGGTCCTAGACTGGTCCTAGACTGGTCCTAGACTGGTCCAAGACAGGTCCTAGACTGGGTCTAGACTAAAACCAGTCTAGGGCTGAGATATTATTTAGATTATTTACACTTCCACTGCTGTGGTATATTGACTTATTTGTCAAACTGAGAGACCTCAGATCTGTGGGTAACTTGGTGTTCGTAAACATCAGGCCTGTTCAGTCATTTATGCAGGGACTGAAACAGTCGGGGGTGTTCATCGCCGCTTGCGGATTTATTTATTTGTTTTCTTGGTTTTCAGTGGAATGTGGAGTCGTCATCAAAACTTTACAAAGCGACGAATCTGGAACTGACTCTTCAGGTGAGAGCGCTATGTGGGGTTTCTCTCTCTCTCAAAACCTGTTTCTCTCTCTCTCTCTCTCTCTAAACCTGTTTTTTTCTCTCTCTAAACCTGTTTCTCTCTCTCTCTCTCTAAACCTGTTTCTCTCTCTCTCTCTCTAAACCTGTTTCTCTCTCTCTCTCTCTAAACCTGTTTCTCTCTCTCTCTCTCTAAACCTGTTTCTCTCTCTCTCTCTCTTCTAAACCTGTTTCTCTCTCTCTCTCTCTCTAAACCTGTTTATCTCTCTCTCTCTCTCTAAACCTGTTTCTCTCTCTCTCTCTCTAAACCTGTTT